CTTCATTGCGCTATCATTTATGGCCAGGTCGCTTCTAGAAAATATATATATAGCTCAAAGGGCCGGATCTGGTGAAATAAAAAATACTTGATAGTTTTATTTTTAAAAAAATGTTTTAAATAATTTTTTAATAACTGTCCTTCCCTCCAGCCAGCCAGAAAACTTTTAAAAATAATAAAGTTAAAGTACCCATTGTTGAACAGTGGTCCTCTTGCACTCCCAACAGCCCCACCTGCCCACCTCTGGGTTTCCCCCTCTCGTGTGTGACAACCCCCATGGCCCCCCCACACACCCCTTTACCATGTACCCCCCACCTACAGTTCCCCTAGGTGCCCGTCCCCCACTCCGAGCCCTCACCCACATGCTGGCTACCTGCGGACCCCATTCCCCTCCACATGTTGGGCGGTGCATGGTCAGCAGGCGAGCATATTTTTTTTTAAAATAGAGTATGATTCTTGACTTAAAGCTTTCGTGACTGCAATAATTAATATTCTTGGGGTCTTTTCTTTGAACCATCTCTGTGACTTTACCGAAAGACCCAAAAAATATAGAGTATGATTGTTGTGCAATTGTAGTGGGTATTGTGTGCATTACACGCGGTTACCACTACTTACCTGGTGTAGCGACGACGGTGCTGCACTCGCTCCAGGGGCAACAACACCACCAAACAATGAAGAGACCGCCCCAACGGCCCGACATGCAGCCTGCACAGGCGCCCGTGCGGCCGCCACCTTCGGGGAGAGCGCTTCGTGTGGTGCACTCCCGCCTCGCCGACCTCCTGCACGCCGCTGCTTCGATCATCGAAGAAATCCATTGAGGGGAGCCGACGGTGGAAGAGGGGGGAGCGGACCTGCAAGCGGCGGCCATTCCCGCCATCGGCTCTTCAACTCCCGCCAAAAATTTTGAATCTCCCGCCCAAGACGATGGCACTTCCGCCGGAGGACAAGTGCGTCACGAAAATGACGTCACTTCCGCCCATGGGCGCGCTTTCGCCGGAAGCCACGTGCATCGCGGGAACGTCACTTTTGCTCTCGGCCCACAGAAATTGGACATCACCACGTCATCAGCAACGCGAGCAGCGCTGGACACCGCCATTGTGGGCAGTGCCGATGCCGCGGATCCCGTGAAATCCAGCGTGACTAGACTGAACGAGGGACGTGTGTCTCCTTTCCAGCAGCGCTTGCCTGTCCTCAAGACATTCTGCGCTGCAGGTGGGGATTGGGCGGTGTTTGAACGAACATTCCTCTCCAACTGCGACATGGCGGAGTGGACGGAGGAAGAGGGACTCCGCGCTCTTTCAGCCGTCCTTGATGCCTTCATCACGCAACTGACCCTGAGACAACGAGCTGCATGCGTACATGGCCAACTCCCACTTCTGTGGAAGAAGTTAGAAGCTTCATTGGCTTCACTTCATACTATCGACGATTTGTTGCGGGATTTGCGTCAATAGCTAAACGCCTTCATGCCCTGATGGCAAAGGGGCAAAAGTTCCATTGGGGACAGGAGGAGGAGGCCACGTTTAAAGCACTGCGGGATGCCCTTGTGAATGCCCCTCCCCTGTGCTACCCTGACTTCGCACATCCGTTTATTCATGACATGGATGCCAGTAATACTGGCATCGGCGGTGTGCTGTCTCAGGTGATCGACAGGGTCGAAAGGGTTGTCGCTTATGGCAGCAGGGTTTTATCCCCAGCAGAGCAACGCTACTGTGTAACTCGCCATGAGCTGCTGGCCATTGTATTCTTTATCCAGCAATACCGGCCGTATTTATACGGTAGGCATTTTACCGTACGTTTCGACCATTCAGCGTTACAATATGCCTTGAGGATTTATCAACCTCTTTGGTTTATTCGGTAAAGTCATGTAGGTATAAAATAAATTAAATCACAACGTTTCGGGCGCAACACAAGCGTCCGTCATCAGGTGGGACAACCACAGCAAGAAAACGTCGTGATTTAATATATTTTATTTTATACCTACGTGACTTTACCGAAAGAACCAAAGAGTATGGATCCCTGCAGTCACGAAAACTTCAAATCTAGATTGATTGACCAACCATCCAGCCAATTGTGCCGCTGGCTCGAGGTCCTGCAGGACGACTCGTTTACAGTAACCTATCAGAAAGGAACTAAACACTCGAATGCCGACGCCTTGTCGCGGCTTCCCACTGGCGACAGGTGTGCATGTTTTTCAGGTTCTGGCCGATGCAAGCTGCCCATTGTTCCTACGAACCCCACGCCACTCGCTGCTGCAGCTGAGGTGGCAGTGCCTGGGGGTGGCTCCTCTGAGGAGCCGAACGGGCCATCCGCTAGAGATGCGTTGCTCGATTTATGCCTCGCGGCCTGGGGGTGCCTCCAAATGGAGGATGCCTCCCTCCTTAAGTTACGCCGCTGCACTGAGTGACTCCGGGATGTAAAGGGTAGCGAAGAGTTCGCGCCCGTCATTCTGCACGATGGGCTGTTGATGGCCTGGGATGGTAGCTCTCGCCGGTATAAGATTGTTGTGCGCGGAAAGGCCGTTTGGGCTGCTTATGAGCGCCTCTTGCACCTGGGAGTCCACAAAACGCTCACCATGCTGCAGCTCGATTTCTATTTGCCAGGTATGGCGTAGGATGTTGCTGACTTGCTCATGAGCTGCACCCAGTGTGCCAGGCAGAAGCCACCGGTGAGGCCATCGTGCCCACCCTTACAGTCCATTCATGTGTCCCGCATCAACGAATTTGTGGCGCTGGACATTCTTGGGCCCTTTTCAGCCACCTTCCGAGGTAAAAGTACCTACTGGTTGGGGTGGAATATTTCACGGCCTGGCCACTCCCCAACCAGTCGGCAGCAGCCATTGCCGAGGCCTTTCTCCAGGGCTATGTCCTGGACAAGGGTGCTCCGGAACGGCTGCTGACCAACCAGGGAAATAATTTCCCATCCACTCTATTGAAGGATGTGTGTCGCCTCCTGGGTACGCAAAAGGTGCGCACTTCCCCGTACTACCCACAAACTGACCGGATGGTTGAGCGTCTCCATCGAACGCTCACCTCAATGCTGTGCCACCAGGTTGATGAGCCACAACTGGATTGGGATCTTCACATCCCCAGGGTCCTGGCAGCTTACAGGATGGCGCCCCATGCGGCGACTGGGTACTCGCTATTCTACCTCATGTATGGCCGCGATGTCAACCCCCCGGCAGACGTGCAGCTACGCGTCACACTACTAGCCTCCAAATCCAAGTTGTTGGACCACATCCGGTTCAATACTAAAAAACTGACCGAGGCACGGGAGGCCGCCAGGGAAAATTCCGAGGCAAGACAATTGACTAACGAGAAGCTGCATGGCCACCGTGTATCCGAGCACATGTGGGCGGAAGGAGACCGGGCTGGGCTACACTCCCCCAGGTTCCCTTGGCAACATCCCCGAAATTGCTTAAACCCTGGAGGGGGCCGGTCGAGGTTGTCCGAGTCGTCCGCCCCCAGTGTGTAAAGGTTCAATGGGGTAAAAGGTCTTGGCATGTACATCCGCCGTGCCTGAAACCCTACGTCGCTCCGCTCACTTTCACCTCATCTTCACATCGCAGGGGCCATATGTGTGATGTGTTGGACGTGCTGGGGTGTACACCTGTGGAACCTAACCCTGAGACGAGCCGTCTTGTCCCACCCTCAGATGCCGCGGGATTGAGGCCTTCATGGCCACCAGTGTCGGCTGCCCCCGACACCGAGCGCCCACCTACCCTGCCTGATGGGGCCCTGACAGGGCTGGCCTCTCCTGACCCACCCCTGCAGGCTGTTCCCCACTTGGAACCAATTGCCGCCGAGCCGCCACAGAGACCTTGCGGCTCGTACGATGGTCCTGCTACGCGGACCCGATCCAAGACCCTCGGTTTTCGTGATTCTCCACATGCCCACGCCACACACACTTCCCCTTCCGTCGGATTGACATTGTCACCTTGATTTTGCTGACGGTCGGTCGCGTTGTCGCGGTCAATCATTGTGCGCGTACCATGGGGTGTGAGGGGGTCGAGCATGCACCATCGTACTCCCATGTATATTTGTAAATAATGTACACATGTACAGGTGGGCTGGGGTATTTATATGGGTTTTTATTGTTGTTATTGTTGCATTGAGGCACACGTACTTATTGTTGTGTTCGATGTTCTTAAAAAATAATAATAAGAGGGGAAGCTGGCAGCCGAGACGGCTGAGTGCTAAGAGGGGGGGGGGGGGGTAATGTAGTGGGTATTGTGGGCATTAAATGCGATTACCACTACTTGCCTGGTGTAGCTTCAGCCAAGGGTCAACAGAGGGCAACGGCGAGTACGGCCTGTATCAAGTAATGCCGTTAGGCCAGGGAACCCAGAGGGCGGTTGGGAACCGGAGGTATACACCCCAGGCCCCCAGTGGGGGTTGGGAGATTACGCAATAATCCAGGTCTCTCTAAAAGGTTCCAGAGAGTAGGCGTGGCCAGGGGCGGAGTGACCCTGGGACCTGAACGGTTTGCCAGTCGTCGTCAAGCTGAAGACCCGAAAAGCCAGCTTAGAATAGGACCCTGGGAACCCCCGAACCCGCCGTCCATCTAAGGGCCGGGACTGAGTGGGCCAATGGTCGGACCCTGGGAACCCCCAGGACCCGACGTCCTTCTAAGGGCCGGGACCGAGTGGGCCGGTGGCCAGAACCCGAGGACCTTGGCTGGGTCGGGTCAGCTAGCCTCCCCTAGGCCCCCCTAGCCAGAGGGCTGATATATAGAGGAAGTGGTCCCAGTGAGTAGGACACGCTAGCCCGAAGGCTACACCTCCCTAGGGTATCGGGTGGAGGGGCCGATACCCCTTTGTGCTAGGGATCTCGTGTTATAGTTGTTACTGTTAAATAAATGTGTTGCCTCCAGAAGAAGACTATCTCCATAATTACCACTACACAAGTATGATTGTTGTGCAAATGATACACTTGCATCTTGGTGACTTACTTGCTGCATTACATGCCCTTCTGTGATGTTTTTCTTCGTATATGCCCTCCAAAGGAAACTGCACAGACAGTGAATTCCAGTGTGCGAATGGACAGCAGTGCATGCCTGCTTGGTTTTACTGCAATGGAGAGGCTGACTGCATTGATCGCAGCGACGAACCTCTGAACTGTCAGTGCCACCCAGACCAGAAACGTTGTAATAATGGGAGCTGCATGGCAGTAAAGTTCTTCTGTGATGGAGTCAATGACTGTGGCGATTATTCGGATGAGACTAGCTGCAGTGAGTGCATGATGTTATTTTTATAAACTTTTTCATGAATGTTTTCACTAACTGGAACAACATTTGAACAATATACCTCGAGTACACAATGTACATTTAAAATTGCGACATGAAAATCGGGGTTTGGGTTGTCACCTTAGTGTACATGACACCATGGGACTCTTTAAGGTTTGCACTTTCGATGGCATGAGGCAAGAGTTTACAGTAACCTGGGGTCCAATTGCATTTCAGATGTGTGTTATTGGAATGTGCATCTTGTGATGTATTCAGATTCCAAAGAACACAGGATGAGATGTTATTATCCTTTGTGCAAGCACTTCCAAGAGTTCATGAACAGTGAGCCTGGTGAAATTTTGGGAGCGCATCGTCAGTAGTGAACCTTTGGGTCCTAGGGTGTTTCGGCCTTTCATACTATACACCCTCCCCAAAGGCGGCCAGCGACAGGGTGATCAATCTTACGCTTGCGTCCCATTCCCAATTAGTCATAGGAGTTGCCTTGTTGTTGATAGCCAACATCCCATGGGACTATGCATGGCAGGGGCGTCCTCCTCCCTGAGTCAAGCATTGTTGACTGCATACCTCCTGGCCCTCTCACTTTGGGGCCCAGCTGGGGTCTTTCCTCTTCATCCAGAGCCACTGACTGCTGCCTTCTGCCGCCTCCGATACAGCTCTGATTGCCGAACGCTGGCTCTGGCCCTTAATTCCCAGGTCTCTAAGCAGTCTGGTTGTAGATGTTGCCACAAAACCTCTGCAGCCCACCTCCACTGGTCGGACTTCTGTGTTCCAGCCATGATGCCGTGCTTCGGCAGCTAGATCGGCATAGCGCAGATGTTTTCGCTCATAAGCCTCATCTACTGAGTCCTCCCAGGGTACTGTGAGCTCAATAATGAAGACCTTCTTGAGCGAACGGGACCAGAGCACCATGTCAGGTCTTAGGGTGGTGGTTGCGATCTCCGTAGGAAACACAAGTTGCCGGCCAATGTCAACTAGCATTTTCCAGTCGCGAGCCAAGCGCAGCTGGCCTCGCTCTATTGGTGTAGAGCCGCTCTTTGGTGGTTTAGCCCCTTCGCGGACAAAGGTCGTCCGTAAGGGGTGTGATGCTGCTGGGGGTGGTAGGGAGTTGGTGGCAGTTCGCTTGTCCTCCAGGGCGGATGCAAGGTTTTTAAGGACTTGGTTGTGACGCCAAGTGTAGCGTCCTTGGGTGAGGCTTGTTTTACACCCTGTGAGAATGTGCCTGAGGTTGGCTGGCATGGAACAGAGGGCACAGTCCGGATCTTCACCATACCATTGGTGAAGATTAACTGGTGTTGGAAGGACGTCATATGTTGCTCTGATGGAAAAGCTCAACCGCCTCGCTTCCATGGCCCACAGATCCTTCCAGCTGATCTTCCTCTTCTCCACACTGTCCCATCGAGTCCACTGTCCCTGTTTGGCAAGAGAGACTGCCTTGGCCCACCTTGCAGCCTCCTCCTGATGGCGTACTTCCTGCACTACCATCTTCCGCCGCTCTGGTGCAGTGGCCTTACTCCAAGCAGCACGGCTAGTTAGTCCAAAGCCTCCTCTCCCTTGCTGAACATGACCCCCAATGTCAGCATGTCTGAGGGCTGCTGTTGCCTCCTGGACTGCTTTTCCTGGCCTCCATTTGCGCCCAGTTGCCAAGGTCGGCGCGTTGTTGCTCACCACTGGGTCTCGAGATTCATTCAGTGTCATCTGGAGCCTGGTTTTTGCACACTTGAATTCCTCGTTAGACTGGTGAGGGGCAGCTTGAGGACACCATCTCCATAGAGGCCTATGGTGGTAAGGCATCGTGGAACTCCGAGCCACTTCTTTAAGTAGCTCGTGACTCCTCTTTCCATCTTCTCCACTGTTGAGATTGGAACCTCATACACTGCTAGGGGCCACAACACCCGGGGTAGGAGACCAAACTGCAGACACCAGGCCTTTAACTTTCCAGGTAGCTGGGTGTTGTCGATGGACTGGAGGCTACTACTGATGTCTTTGCGCAGCTGTTGCACCTGGTCTTTGTGACATTTTTTAGGATTAATAGTGCACTGTAAGGTCAAAGTTATGGCTGCATATGGTTCTCGGGTGTCTGGGTTCCAGTGTAGGCTCTACTGCATCTTATTTTGGTCATTTCTTCGTGAAACACTTATATGCTTTATTGGCTGCACATATGGGTACCGTGTAACAGAAGCAACTCACATTTCACATTCCCTAATTTTTCAAGGCAATTTATATCCATAACTGCTCTTAATTGTCTTCTTCAGACTGCACAGATGGGTATTTTTATTGCAGCAATGGACCATGCATTCCACAATCCTTCGTCTGTGATGGGGACTCAGACTGTGAAGATCAGACCGATGAGCAGAACTGCCAGTGTAGCCCTGGCCAACAGAGCTGTCAGAACGGGAACTGTGTGGAAAATGAGTTCGTCTGTGATGGAGTTGATGACTGTGGGGATTACTCTGATGAGAGCATTTGCAGTGAGTGTTTGTTCCAAATTAGTTTACAGAATTAAATCATTGAAAAACTCAGCAGTAAAAAACGATGTCTCAGTGACTATGACGATTACTCTGGTCCGCAAACTGCAGTGATTATTTTACGTTTTGTCTTTAAAAAAATATATATAATTGTATTATTGATGTATGTCATGAAACAAAGTGGCCATTAAAAACCCTCGCACAGTAGTGCATCGCCCAGTGTTAGGGTATAGACCATGAAAGTAGATATAACATAGTTATGTCTGAGATTGCTTCAAATTACCTCTTATCCACACAGAGTGCTGTACTTTCTCACAGTCATTATTTGTTAATTCTCAGAGATGGTATTCAGCCATATTCAATAAAGATGTAATTTAGCATGGTTTTGTTGAAGCCTGATTTGTACCCAGGATCTCAGTGATGCTTCCTTAGAGCTTTGATTCCTGAGGCACCCAGACACCTCTGTGTTTATATAACTGGTAATTATCATTAGCCTATCGATAACAAAACTTCTATCACTTAAAAATTAATTATTCAAAATGTTTCCTGCAGGCTGCACAGATGGATACTTTCATTGCAACAATGGACCATGCATTCCAGTTTCCTTCCTCTGTGATGGGGATTCAGACTGTGAGGATCAGAGTGATGAGAAGAACTGCCAGTGTGGGCCTGACCAACAGCGCTGTCAGAATGGGAACTGGGTGCAAAATGAGTTCCTGTGTGATGGAGGTGATGACTGTGGGGACTACTCCGATGAGACCAACTGCAGTGAGTCTTTTGTTCTTAATATTGTTTATAAATAACATGCATTTTTTTTACATGCAGCCTAATAAAGATGACACATTGACATTTAACTTGGGGTTGAACAAGGCGGGGTTAAATTGATTAGTGCACAGCACTGCACTATGTATCTGTAATGACGACTTGACACACTTCTCTTGAGATGGCACTTTATTGAAGACACGTTCACTTGACATCTGGCGGAGATCCCACTGCAACAGCCCCGAGTCTCCCGTGCATCTGCCTTATATATCAACACGAGGCCACGCCCCCCTTCTCGATCGTTATCGCTGACTCTGGACCAGTGGCGGCTCCTGCAAAATATCTCAGGGGGGACAAATGTTTGGATGATTGATAAGGATAAGGTCCACCCATGCAATGGATAAATTAACAGCTTAAGCATGTAAAGGCAACTTCACTACTTTAATATTAATGAAAAATAAAGTGACTCTTATAATACATCTCCTTGTTTGTTTCTATACTCACTATTATTACACTGCTTACATCACATTACTCGCTTAATACACTGCTTACTTATACTGAAATTTTGCTCTTCTCTCTTTCAAAGTAGCAAAGTGATCAATTACTCTCTCATTGAAAGCAGACATGTTCCTGACTAGTTTCCTCTCCATGGAAAGCATAGCCAGTGCATTCAGACGTTCCTGTCCCATTACATTTCTCAGGAATGTCTTGATTCTCTTTAAGGTTGAGAAACACCTCTCGGCTTCAGCAGTTGTCATGGGAGTGGTTATGAGGATGTTCAACAGAGCAACAGTCTCTGAAAAAGTATCCTGGAGGTTGTACTTCAGCAAAACCTGGTACAGCGCCAGTGCACCACAGCAGCCCTTGAATTCTGGACTCTCATAAATGAGAGACAGTTCAGTCTTCAGCTTCGCCTTATTTAACATAGGGTATGCCCTGACAGTGATGTTCAGAGCCTCAACAGGGAATGTATGGCCATGCTGTTGAAACATCTCTCCTTGTAGCAGCGTGGCACAAGGTGGTCGGTAAAGGAGAACCTTTCTTTGGTGTGGACCAAGATTGTGTCGCAGACCTGACAAAATAAATACATTTATTTTAGTTATAAAATAAATTATTAATTATAATATAAATATGGAGATACAAGGTTTCCATCCCGACAGCAACAATGTATCAGGCAGAATCCATATTTTATATCTCCATATTTTTTCTAAAATTAATGCTATTGGTCACCCTCTACATCTGTCAATGTGTTTTACAAATATTTAACCAATGAAAAGCATTAAAGAGCTTGGAAATTATTTTGGGGAAAAAACAGGTTTTCTTTCGTTTCCTGAAAAGTAACAGTTTTGGACATACAAGGCTTCCGTCCGACAGCGATGTTTGTTCCCACCAATCGCTGCACAAGTTAAGGATACGTATGATGACGTAAGCACGTTAGTGCGAGCCCTCCCGGAACCCATAGAGAATACATTGCAGTGCCTGCAGTTCGAAAAAAAACATATTTGAATATAAGTCTATGGGAACACTCTGGGCGATTCTCAGCCAGAGTGAAATCGCCCAAAAAGAGGCGGTACTCCACAGAACGTGACATGACGCTGATTGGACTATATCCAGAGGCACAGTGACGGCTAGCGTAACTCTGTGGTTGAATGAGATTGTGAATGTGATTGAAAAAGTCCCTTTCACACTTTGGTGGTGCGTCGCCCAATCGCCCTAATGAAGAAACCGCCCCTGCTCTGGACGCTCTCTCTACCGGCAGACTCTACTGTCCTCTTCCGTCACCTTACCACGCTCCCTTCTCGAACATTCCCGTAGCCACCAGACCCTTCACACTCACAACTGATACCCATGTCACTAGTGCATTTGGCCTTTAAGCTGACCTCCCTGTCATTACCTCGTGTGGTCACTAGTACCCTCACACCGCATGCAGGCTCTATTATCATTATACATCCAGTAACCTGAGTTCAATTTCCAGCCATGGCTATAATCAGCGACGACCAAAATCTGATTTGGTTTATAGCTCCCCCATTTACCAATCTGCACTGAACAATGTTTGCCTTTTTGGTTAGAGCCCCTGACTGACATGGTGTGATACAACACTTATACAGCAGTGCATTGATACAAAGAAAAAAACTGTACATTTGTATTCATTTAATTGCATTATTTTTCTCCTCCAGGCTGCACAGATGGTTACTTTCATTGTAGCAATGGCCCATGCATTCCACTTTCCTTCCTCTGTGATGGGAATTCAGACTGTGAGGAGCACAGTGATGAGAAGAACTGCCAGTGCGGCCTTGACCAACAGCGCTGTCAGAATGGGAATTGTGTGCAAAATGAGTTCCTGTGTGATGGAGCGGATGATTGCGGGGACTACTCTGATGAGATAAACTGCAGTGAGTGTTTGTTCCAAAATAGTTCACGTAATTACATTTAAAAAGCGTATCATGAAAAACAATATCTCAGTGACTGTATGGATTAATCTTGATTTGAAGTTTTCGTGAGTGCAGGAATCCATACTCTTTGGTTCTGTCGGTAAAGTTACGTAGGTAGAAATAAAACAAAATAAAATCACGACGTTTCGGACGCAAAACAAGCGCCCGTCTTCAGGGGAAAATCGCGACAGCCGCGTTGTCTGCTGCGAGCAGCACAATGTCTGCTGCCTTGTGGAGAGAAGCTGTTACCAGCAAGAGTTTATATACGTTTTTAAGAACAAAGGTAGCCGAAGTAGTGTTAATTTGGGTATTATGGTGTAAAGCTAATAAATAGCGTGGTATGTAAAAGGAAATGAACTTAGATTAAGCATGTTGGAATATAGTGCAAAGTTAATGAGCTCCCGTCGCGCATAAGAGCTCAGATTAGCATGTAGGATTAACATATGTATTTTGATGAGCGAAGCATGTAAAAGTTAATGAAAAAATTAGCAAGTTAATGTCAGTCTATGTGTAACCAATGTTAAAGTTAATGAGAATATCATGTTAAAGTCAATGAGAGATTAGCAAGTCGATGTCAGTCTATGTGTAATAAATAGCGTGTATGGATTACTTTGATCTGCAAATTGCAGGGAGTCTTTGCATTTTATTTTTTGTCTTTTATATAAAAAAATTGTATTCCAATTGTCTTATTGATGTATGTCATGAAACAAAGTGGCCATTCAAAACCCTCGCACAGCAGGGCATTGCCCAGTGGTAGAATATGGACAACAGAAGTAGATATAACAGAATTACTTTCTGAGATCACTTTGAGAACTTTGACTCCTGAGGCACCCAGACACATCTGTGTTTATATAACTGTTAATTAACATTTACCCTATCCATTAACAAAAACGTCTGTAACTTAAATATCAATTATTGAAAATATATTTCCTCCAGGCTGCACAGATGGGTACTTTCATTGCAGCAATGGACCATGCATTCCACGCTCATTCGTCTGTGATGAGGATTCGGACTGTGTGGATCAGAGCGATGAGAAGAACTGCCAGTGTGGGCCTGACCAACACCGCTGTCAGAATGGGAACTGTGTGCAACATGAGTTCTTGTGTGATGGAGCCGACGATTGTGGGGACTACTCTGATGAAACAAACTGCAGTGAGTGCTTTGTTTTTACTATTCATAAATAACATGCAGTCTACAAAGATTAACTATTAACATTAATTTTGGGGTTCAGTTTGCGGGATACATTGATTAGCGCACGGCACTGCATCCAGTAACCTGCGTTACATTTTTAGCCATGGCTGACATCAGTGACGAGTGAAATTGTATTTGATTAATAGCCCCCCATTTACCAATCCGCACTGACCAATGTTGCTTTATATGGTCACACCCTCTCACTGACATGGTATAATGTGACCTTTATCCAGCAGCGGATTGACAAAAAACTGTAAACCATAATAAATTTGCATGTTTTTTCTCTTTCAGGCTGCACAGATGGGTATTTTCATTGCAGCAATGGACCATGCATTCCACAATCATTCGTCTGTGATGGGGATTTGGACAGTGTGGATCAGAGCGATGAGAAGAACTGCCAGTGCGGCCTTGACCAACAGCGCTGTCAGAATGGGAATTGTGTGCAAAATGAGTTCCTGTGTGATGGAGCGGATGATTGCGGGGACTACTCTGATGAGACAAACTGCAGTGAGTGTTTGTTCCAAATTTCTTTACGTGATTAAAGGATTGAAAAACCGCATCATGAAAAGCAATGTCTCAGTGACTGTATGGATTACTCTGTTCCGCAAATTGCAGTGATTCTCTGTGTTTTATTTTTTATCTTTCATAAAAAAAATATTGTATTCTAATTGTGTTATTGATGTATGTCATGAAACAAAGTGGCCATTCAAAACCCTCGCACAGCACGGCATCACGCAGTGTTAGGATATGGACCACAGACGTAGATATAACAGAATTACGTCTGAGATCGCTTCAAGTGATCTCTTATGCACACGATGTGCAGTACTTTCCCACAAAGCCAATATATTTTGATTTAAAGCTTTCGTGACTGCAGGGATTCATCTTCTTGGTTCTTTCGGTAAAGTCACGTAAAAGGGAAGTAATAAAATTATAAAAATAAAACATAATAAAATAATTCTCACGACGTTTCGGCCACAACGCAAGCAGCCGTCCTCAGGTGAAGAAGCTTGGTGGTGTTTCATTCTTCACCTGAGGACGGCTGCTTGCGTTGTGGCCGAAACGTCGTGAGAATTATTTTATTATGTTTTATTTTTATTATTTTATTACTTCCCTTCTACATGACTTTACCGAAAAAACCAAGAAGATGAAGCCAATATATGTTAATTCTCAAAGATTATGTTTAGCCGTATTCATTGAAAACATGATTCAGCATGGGTTTTTTTACCAGTAAGAGATGGCGAGGTTGTGAGAATCTCATCCGCTGCAATTAACAATACGGTTTAGTCACGAGTTGCTGAAGCGTGATTCGTACGCAGCATCTCAGTGATGCTTCCTCAGAGCTTTGACTCCTGAGGCACCCAGACACCTCTGTGTTTATATAACTGGTAATTAACATTAGCCTATCCATTTGTAGTGGGTTCTACGGAGGCACACCCTTGACTTTGGAGGCAACACGTTTATTATAACACCCCAACAGGGTAACTACATAAACGGGTCAGGTCAGCAAACACACTGCCTGACCTGCGAAGCCGAGCTTAACGACCGAAGTCCGAAGAGACGTAGCACCAAGGGTTCCATTCCAGCAGACAGCCGCGATCGCTCTCGGGACCTCTCTTTTATGCTCCCGAGCATGGCTTTGCTCCGCCCTCGGCCACGCCCCCTTCTGGATCTCACCAGAAGGTTCTCGACCAAGCATCACGTGTCCCTCAAGCCACCCTTTGGGCCCCCTCGCTATTCTCTGACTGCCACCAGAACCAAGCCCCCTAGGGCCTGCTTCATGCCATACCTACTCTGGTGCCAGAGAGAGGCTCAAGACGCACAGTTCCACTCTGTTGACAGTATCTGGCGCTAAATGCCATAGTGACTCCATTAACATCACTACACATTAACAAAAACGTGTGTCACTTCAATATTAATAATTGAAAATATTTTTCCTCCAGGCTGCACAGATGGTTACTTTCATTGCAGCAATGGACCATGCATTCCACTTTCCTTCCTCTGTGATGAGGATTCGGACTGTGTGGATCAGAGCGATGAGAAGAACTGCCAGTGTGGGCCTGACCAACACCGCTTTCAGAATGGGAACTGTGTGCAACATGAGTTCTTGTGTGATGGAGCCGACGATTGTGGGGACTACTCTGATGAAACAAACTGCAGTGAGTGCTTTGTTTTTACTATTCATAAATAACATGCAGTCTACAAAGATTAACCATTAACATTAATCTTGGGGTTCAGTTTGCGGGATACATTGATTAGCGCACGGCACTGCATCCAGCTACCTGCGTTACATTTTTAGCCATGGCTGACATCAGTGACGAGTGAAATTGTATTTGATTAATAGCCCCCCATTTACCAATCCGCACTGACCAATGTTGCTTCATATGGTCACACCCTCTCACTGACATGGTATAATGTGACCTTTATCCAGCAGCGGATTGACAAAAAACTGTAAACCATAATAAATTTGCATGTTTTTTCTCTTTCAGGCTGCACAGATGGGTATTTTCATTGCAGCAATGGGCCATGCATTCCACGTTCATTCGTCTGTGATGGGGATTTGGACTGTGTGGATCAGAGCGATGAGAAGAACTGCCAGTGCGGCCTTGACCAACAGCGCTGTCAGAATGGGAATTGTGTGCAAAATGAGTTCCTGTGTGATGGAGCGGATGATTGCGGGGACTACTCTGATGAGACAAACTGCAGTGAGTGTTTGTTCCAAATTTGTTTACGTGATTAAAGGATTGAAAAACCGCATCATGAAAAGCAATGTCTCAGTGACTGTATGGATTACTCTGTTCCGCAAATTGCAGTGATTCTCTGTGTTTTATTTTTTATCTTTCATAAAAAAAATATTGTATTCTAATTGTGTTATTGATGTATGTCATGAAACAAAGTGGCCATTCAAAACCCTCGCACAGCACGGCATCACGCAGTGTTAGGATATGGACCACAGACGTAGATATAACAGAATTACGTCTGAGATCGCTTCAAGTGATCTCTTATGCACACGATGTGCAGTACTTTCCCACAAAGCCAATATATTTTGATTTAAAGCTTTCGTGACTGCAGGGATTCATCTTCTTGGTTCTTTCGGTAAAGTCACGTAAAAGGGAAGTAATAAAATTATAAAAATAAAACATAATAAAAGAATTCTCACGACGTTTCGGCCACAACGCAAGCAGCCGTCCTCAGGTGAAGAAGCTTGGTGGTGTTTCATTCTTCACCTGAGGACGGCTGCTTGCGTTGTGGCCGAAACGTCGTGAGAATTATTTTATTATGTTTTATTTTTATTATTTTATTACTTCCCTTCTACATGACTTTACCGAAAAATCCAAGAAGATGAAGCCAATATATGTTAATTCTCAAAGATTATGTTTAGCCGTATTCATTGAAAACATGATTCAGCATGGGTTTTTTTAACAGTAAGAGATGGCGAGGTTGAGAGAATCTCATCCGCTGCAATTAACAATACGGTTTAGTCACTAGTTGCTGAAGCGTGATTCGTACGCAGCATCTCAGTGATGCTTCCTCAAAAACTTTGACTCCTGAGACACCCAGACACCTCTGTGTTTATATAACTGGTAATTAACATTAGCCTATCCATTTGTAGTGGGTTCTACGGAGGCACACCCTTGACTTTGGAGGCAACACGTTTATTATAACACCCCAACAGGGTAACTACATAAACGGGTCAGGTCAGCAACACACTGCCTGACCTGCGAAGCCGAGCTTAACGACCGAAGTCCGAAGAGACGTAGCACCGAGGGTTCCATTCCAGCAGACAGCCGCGATCGCTCTCGGGACCTCTCTTTTATGCTCCCGAGCATGGCTTTGTTCCGCCCTCGGCCACGCCCCCTTCTGGATCTCACCAGAAGGTTCTCGACCAAGCATCACGTGTCCCTCAAGCCACCTATTGGGCCCCCTCGCTATTCTCTGACTGCCACCAGAACCAAGCCCCCTAGGGCCTGCTTCAGTTCATACCTACTCTGGTGCCAGAGAGAGGCTCAAGACGCACAGTTCCACTCCGTTGACAGTAGCTGGCGCTAAATGCCATAGTGACTCCATTAACATCACTACACATTAACAAAAACGTGTGTCACTTCAATATTAATAATTGAAAATATTTTTCCTCCAGGCTGCACAGATGGTTACTTTCGTTGCAGCAATGGACCATGCATTCCACTTTCCTTCCTCTGTGATGAGGATTCGGACTGTGTGGATCAGAGCGATGAGAAGAACTGCCAGTGTGGGCCTGACCAACACCGCTGTCAGAATGGGAACTGTGTGCAACATGAGTTCTTGTGTGATGGAGCCGACGATTGTGGGGACTACTCTGATGAAACAAACTGCAGTGAGTGCTTTGTTTTTACTATTCATAAATAACATGCAGTCTACAAAGATTAACCATTAACATTAATCTTGGGGTTCAGTTTGCGGGATACATTGATTAGTGCACGGCACTGCATCCAGTAACCTGCATTACATTTTTAGCCATGGCTGACATCAGTGACGAGTGAAATTGTATTTGATTAATAGCCCCCCATTTACCAATCCGCACTGACCAATGTTGCTTTATATGGTCACACCCTCTCACTGACATGGTATAATGTGACCTTTATCCAGCAGCGGATTGACAAAAAACTGTAAACCATAATAAATTTGCATGTTTTTTCTCTTTCAGGCTGCACAGATGGGTATTTTCATTGCAGCAATGGAACATGCATTCCACGTTCATTCGTCTGTGATGGGGATTTGGACTGTGTGGATCAGAGCGATGAGAAGAACTGCCAGTGCGGCCTTGACCAACAGCGCTGTCAGAATGGGAATTGTGTGCAAAATGAGTTCCTGTGTGATGGAGCGGATGATTGCGGGGACTACTCTGATGAGACAAACTGCAGTGAGTGTTTGTTCCAAATTTCTTTACGTGATTAAAGAATTGAAAAACCGCATCATGAAAAGCAATGTCTCAGTGACTGTATGGATTACTCTGTTCCGCAAATTGCAGTGATTCTCTGTGTTTTATTTTTTATCTTTCATAAAAAAAATATTGTATTCTAATTGTGTTATTGATGTATGTCATGAAACAAAGTGGCCATTCAAAACCCTCGTACAGCACGGCATCACGCAGTGTTAGGATATGGACCACAGACGTAGATATAACAGAATTACGTCTGAGATCGCTTCAAGTGATCTCTTATGCACACGATGTGCAGTACTTTCCCACAAAGCCAATATATTTTGATTTAAAGCTTTCGTGACTGCAGGGATTCATCTTCTTGGTTTATTCGGTAAAGTCACGTAAAAGGGAAGTAATAAAATTATAAAAATAAAACATAATAAAAGAATTCTCACGACGTTTCGGCCACAACGCAAGCAGCCGTCCTCAGGTGAAGAAGCTTGGTGGTGTTTCATTCTTCACCTGAGGACGACTGCTTGCGTTGTGGCCGAAACGTCATGAGAATAATTTTATTATGTTTTATTTGTATTATTTTATTACTTCCCTTCTACATGACTTTACCGAAAAAACCAAGAAGATGAAGCCAATATATGTTAATTTTCAAAGATTATGTTTAGCCGTATTCATTGAAAACATGATTCAGCATGGGTTTTTTTAACAGTAAGAGATGGCGAGGTTGAGAGAATCTCATCCGCTGCAATTAACAATACGGTTTAGTCACGAGTTGCTGAAGCGTGATTCGTACGCGGCATCTCAGTGATGCTTCCTCAGAGCTTTGACTCCTGAGGCACCCAGACACCTCTGTGTTTATATAACTGGTAATTAACATTAGCCTATCCATTTGTAGTGGGTTCTACGGAGGCACACCCTTGACTTTGGAGGCAACACGTTTATTATAACACCCCAACAGGGTAACTACATAAACGGGTCAGGTCAGCAACACACTGCCTGACCTGCGAAGCCGAGCTTAACGACCGAAGTCCGAAGAGACGTAGCACCGAGGGTTCCATTCCAGCAGACAGCCGCGATCGCTCTCGGGACCTCTCTTTTATGCTCCCGAGCATGGCTTTGCTCCGCCCTCAGCCACGCCCCCTTCTGGATCTCACCAGAAGGTTCTCGACCAAGCATCACGTGTCCCTCAAGCCACCCTTTGGGCCCCCTCGCTATTCTCTGACTGCCACCAGAACCAAGCCCCCTAGGGCCTGCTTCATGCCATACCTACTCTGGTGCCAGAGAGAGGCTCAAGACGCACAGTTCCACTCCGTTGACAGTAGCTGGCGCTAAATGCCATAGTGACTCCATTAACATCACTACACATTAACAAAAACGTGTGTCACTTCAATATTAATAATTGAAAATATTTTTCCTCCAGGCTGCACAGATGGGTATTTTCATTGCAGCAATGGACCATGCATTCCACGTTCATTCGTCTGTGATGGGGATTTGGACTGTGTGGATCAGAGCGATGAGAAGAACTGCCATTGCGGCCTTGACCAACAGCGCTGTCAGAATGGGAATTGTGTGCAAAATGAGTTCCTGTGTGATGGAGCGGATGATTGCGGGGACTACTCTGATGAGACAAACTGCAGTGAGTGTTTGTTCCAAATTTGTTTACGTGATTAAAGGATTGAAAAACCGCATCATGAAAAGCAATGTCTCAGTGACTGTATGGATTACTCTGTTCCGCAAATTGCAGTGATTCTCTGTGTTTTATTTTTTATCTTTCATAAAAAAAATATTGTATTCTAATTGTGTTATTGATGTATGTCATGAAACAAAGTGGCCATTCAAAACCCTCGCACAGCACGGCATCACGCAGTGTTAGGATATGGACCACAGACGTAGATATAACAGAATTACGTCTGAGATCGCTTCAAGTGATCTCTTATGCACACGATGTGCAGTACTTTCCCACAAAGCCAATATATTTTGATTTAAAGCTTTCGTGACTGCAGGGATTCATCTTCTTGGTTCTTTCGGTAAAGTCACGTAAAAGGGAAGTAATAAAATTATAAAAATAAAACATAATAAAAGAATTCTCACGACGTTTCGGCCACAACGCAAGCAGCCGTCCTCAGGTGAAGAAGCTTGGTGGTGTTTCATTCTTCACCTGAGGACGGCTGCTTGCGTTGTGGCCGAAACGTCGTGAGAATTATTTTATTATGTTTTATTTTTATTATTTTATTACTTCCCTTCTACATGACTTTACCGAAAAATCCAAGAAGATGAAGCCAATATATGTTAATTCTCAAAGATTATGTTTAGCCGTATTCATTGAAAACATGATTCAGCATGGGTTTTTTTAACAGTAAGAGATGGCGACGTTGAGAGAATCTCATCCGCTGCAATTAACAATACGGTTTAGTCACTAGTTGCTGAAGCGTGATTCGTACGCAGCATCTCAGTGATGCTTCCTCAAAAACTTTGACTCCTGAGACACCCAGACACCTCTGTGTTTATATAACTGGTAATTAACATTAGCCTATCCATTTGTAGTGGGTTCTACGGAGGCACATTCTTGACTTTGGAGGCAACACGTTTATTATAACACCCCAACAGGGTAACTACATAAACGGGTCAGGTCAGCAACACACTGCCTGACCTGCGAAGCCGAGCTTAACGACCGAAGTCCGAAGAGACGTAGCACCGAGGGTTCCATTCCAGCAGACAGCCGCGATCGCTCTCGGGACCTCTCTTTTATGCTCCCGAGCATGGCTTTGTTCCGCCCTCGGCCACGCCCCCTTCTGGATCTCACCAGAAGGTTCTCGACCAAGCATCACGTGTCCCTCAAGCCACCTATTGGGCCCCCTCGCTATTCTCTGACTGCCACCAGAACCAAGCCCCCTAGGGCCTGCTTCAGTTCATACCTACTCTGGTGCCAGAGAGAGGCTCAAGACGCACAGTTCCACTCCATTGACAGTAGCTGGCGCTAAATGCCATAGTGACTCCATTAACATCACTACACATTAACAAAAACGTGTGTCACTTCAATATTAATAATTGAAAATATTTTTCCTCCAGGCTGCACAGATGGTTACTTTCGTTGCAGCAATGGACCATGCATTCCACTTTCCTTCCTCTGTGATGAGGATTCGGACTGTGTGGATCAGAGCGATGAGAAGAACTGCCAGTGTGGGCCTGACCAACACCGCTGTCAGAATGGGAACTGTGTGCAACATGAGTTCTTGTGTGATGGAGCCGACGATTGTGGGGACTACTCTGATGAAACAAACTGCAGTGAGTGCTTTGTTTTTACTATTCATAAATAACATGCAGTCTACAAAGATTAACCATTAACATTAATCTTGGGGTTCAGTTTGCGGGATACATTGATTAGTGCACGGCACTGCATCCAGTAACCTGCATTACATTTTTAGCCATGGCTGACATCAGTGACGAGTGAAATTGTATTTGATTAATAGCCCCCCATTTACCAATCCGCACTGACCAATGTTGCTTTATATGGTCACACCCTCTCACTGACATGGTATAATGTGACCTTTATCCAGCAGCGGATTGACAAAAAACTGTAAACCATAATAAATTTGCATGTTTTTTCTCTTTCAGGCTGCACAGATGGGTATTTTCATTGCAGCAATGGAACATGCATTCCACGTTCATTCGTCTGTGATGGGGATTTGGACTGTGTGGATCAGAGCGATGAGAAGAACTGCCAGTGCGGCCTTGACCAACAGCGCTGTCAGAATGGGAATTGTGTGCAAAATGAGTTCCTGTGTGATGGAGCGGATGATTGCGGGGACTACTCTGATGAGACAAACTGCAGTGAGTGTTTGTTCCAAATTTCTTTACGTGATTAAAGAATTGAAAAACCGCATCATGAAAAGCAATGTCTCAGTGACTGTATGGATTACTCTGTTCCGCAAATTGCAGTGATTCTCTGTGTTTTATTTTTTATCTTTCATAAAAAAAATATTGTATTCTAATTGTGTTATTGATGTATGTCATGAAACAAAGTGGCCATTCAAAACCCTCGTACAGCACGGCATCACGCAGTGTTAGGATATGGACCACAGACGTAGATATAACAGAATTACGTCTGAGATCGCTTCAAGTGATCTCTTATGCACACGATGTGCAGTACTTTCCCACAAAGCCAATATATTTTGATTTAAAGCTTTCGTGACTGCAGGGATTCATCTTCTTGGTTTATTCGGTAAAGTCACGTAAAAGGGAAGTAATAAAATTATAAAAATAAAACATAATAAAAGAATTCTCACGACGTTTCGGCCACAACGCAAGCAGCCGTCCTCAGGTGAAGAAGCTTGGTGGTGTTTCATTCTTCACCTGAGGACGACTGCTTGCGTTGTGGCCGAAACGTCATGAGAATAATTTTATTATGTTTTATTTGTATTATTTTATTACTTCCCTTCTACATGACTTTACCGAAAAAACCAAGAAGATGAAGCCAATATATGTTAATTCTCAAAGATTATGTTTAGCCGTATTCATTGAAAACATGATTCAGCATGGGTTTTTTTAACAGTAAGAGATGGCGAGGTTGAGAGAATCTCATCCGCTGCAATTAACAATACGGTTTAGTCACGAGTTGCTGAAGCGTGATTCGTACGCGGCATCTCAGTGATGCTTCCTCAGAGCTTTGACTCCTGAGGCACCCAGACACCTCTGTGTTTATATAACTGGTAATTAACATTAGCCTATCCATTTGTAGTGGGTTCTACAGAGGCACACCCTTGACTTTGGAGGCAACACGTTTATTATAACACCCCAACAGGGTAACTACATAAACGGGTCAGGTCAGCAACACACTGCCTGACCTGCGAAGCCGAGCTTAACGACCGAAGTCCGAAGAGACGTAGCACCGAGGGTTCCATTCCAGCAGACAGCCGCGATCGCTCTCGGGACCTCTCTTTTATGCTCCCGAGCATGGCTTTGCTCCGCCCTCAGCCACGCCCCCTTCTGGATCTCACCAGAAGGTTCTCGACCAAGCATCACGTGTCCCTCAAGCCACCCTTTGGGCCCCCTCGCTATTCTCTGACTGCCACCAGAACCAAGCCCCCTAGGGCCTGCTTCATGCCATACCTACTCTGGTGCCAGAGAGAGGCTCAAGACGCACAGTTCCACTCCGTTGACAGTAGCTGGCGCTAAATGCCATAGTGACTCCATTAACATCACTACACATTAACAAAAACGTGTGTCACTTCAATATTAATAATTGAAAATATTTTTCCTCCAGGCTGCACAGATGGGTATTTTCATTGCAGCAATGGACCATGCATTCCACGTTCATTCGTCTGTGATGGGGATTTGGACTGTGTGGATCAGAGCGATGAGAAGAACTGCCATTGCGGCCTTGACCAACAGCGCTGTCAGAATGGGAATTGTGTGCAAAATGAGTTCCTGTGTGATGGAGCGGATGATTGCGGGGACTACTCTGATGAGACAAACTGCAGTGAGTGTTTGTTCCAAATTTCTTTACGTGATTAAAGGATTGAAAAACCGCATCATGAAAAGCAATGTCTCAGTGACTGTATGGATTACTCTGTTCCGCAAATTGCAGTGATTCTCTGTGTTTTATTTTTTATCTTTCATAAAAAAAATATTGTATTCTAATTGTGTTATTGATGTATGTCTTGAAACAAAGTGGCCATTCAAAACCCTCGCACAGCACGGCATCACGCAGTATTAGGATATGGACCACAGACGTAGATATAACAGAATTACGTCTGAGATCGCTTCAAGTGACCTCTTATGCACACGATGTGCAGTACTTTCCCACAAAGCCAATATATTTTGATTTAAAGCTTTCGTGACTGCAGGGATTCATCTTCTTGGTTCTTTCGGTAAAGTCACGTAAAAGGGAAGTAATAAAATTATAAAAATAAAACATAATAAAAGAATTCTCACGACGTTTCGGCCACAACGCAAGCAGCCGTCCTCAGGTGAAGAAGCTTGGTGGTGTTTCATTCTTCACCTGAGGACGGCTGCTTGCGTTGTGGCCGAAACGTCGTGAGAATTATTTTATTATGTTTTATTTTTATTATTTTATTACTTCCCTTCTACATGACTTTACCGAAAAATCCAAGAAGATGAAGCCAATATATGTTAATTCTCAAAGATTATGTTTAGCCGTATTCATTGAAAACATGATTCAGCATGGGTTTTTTTAACAGTAAGAGATGGCGAGGTTGAGAGAATCTCATCCGCTGCAATTAACAATACGGTTTAGTCACTAGTTGCTGAAGCGTGATTCGTACGCAGCATCTCAGTGATGCTTCCTCAAAAACTTTGACTCCTGAGACACCCAGACACCTCTGTGTTTATATAACTGGTAATTAACATTAGCCTATCCATTTGTAGTGGGTTCTATGGAGGCACACCCTTGACTTTGGAGGCAACACGTTTATTATAACACCCCAACAGGGTAACTACATAAACGGGTCAGGTCAGCAACACACTGCCTGACCTGCGAAGCCGAGCTTAACGACCGAAGTCCGAAGAGACGTAGCACCGAGGGTTCCATTCCAGCAGACAGCCGCGATCGCTCTCGGGACCTCTCTTTTATGCTCCCGAGCATGGCTTTGTTCCGCCCTCGGCCACGCCCCCTTCTGGATCTCACCAGAAGGTTCTCGACCAAGCATCACGTGTCCCTCAAGCCACCTATTGGGCCCCCTCGCTATTCTCTGACTGCCACCAGAACCAAGCCCCCTAGGGCCTGCTTCAGTTCATACCTACTCTGGTGCCAGAGAGAGGCTCAAGACGCACAGTTCCACTCCGTTGACAGTAGCTGGCGCTAAATGCCATAGTGACTCCATTAACATCACTACACATTAACAAAAACGTGTGTCACTTCAATATTAATAATTGAAAATATTTTTCCTCCAGGCTGCACAGATGGTTACTTTCGTTGCAGCAATGGACCATGCATTCCACTTTCCTTCCTCTGTGATGAGGATTCGGACTGTGTGGATCAGAGCGATGAGAAGAACTGCCAGTGTGGGCCTGACCAACACCGCTGTCAGAATGGGAACTGTGTGCAACATGAGTTCTTGTGTGATGGAGCCGACGATTGTGGGGACTACTCTGATGAAACAAACTGCAGTGAGTGCTTTGTTTTTACTATTCATAAATAACATGCAGTCTACAAAGATTAACCATTAACATTAATCTTGGGGTTCAGTTTGCGGGATACATTGATTAGCGCACGGCACTGCATCCAGTAACCTGCATTACATTTTTAGCCATGGCTGACATCAGTGACGAGTGAAATTGTATTTGATTAATAGCCCCCCATTTACCAATCCGCACTGACCAATGTTGCTTTATATGGTCACACCCTCTCACTGACATGGTATAATGTGACCTTTATCCAGCAGCGGATTGACAAAAAACTGTAAACCATAATAAATTTGCATGTTTTTTCTCTTTCAGGCTGCACAGATGGGTATTTTCATTGCATCAATGGACCATGCATTCCACGTTCATTCGTCTGTGACGGGAATTCGGACTGCATAGATCAGAGCGATGAGAAGAACTGCCAGTGTGGGCCTGACCAACAGCGCTGTCAGAATGGGAACTGTGTGCAAATTGAGTTCTTGTGTGATGGAACCGACGATTGTGGGGACTACTCTGATGAAACAAACTGCAGTGAGTGCTTTGTTTTGACTATTCATAAATAACATGCAGTCTACAAAGATAATCCATTAACATTAATCTTGGAGTTCAGTTTGCAGGGTTACATTTATTAGCGCACAGCGCTACACTGCATTCAGTAACCTGATTTACATTTTTAGCCATGGCTGACATCAATGACGAGTGAAATTGTATTTGATTCATAGCCCCCCATTTACCATTACGCACTGACCAATGTTGCCTTATATGGTCACACCCCCTCACTGACATGGTATGATGTGACCTTTATCCAGCAGTGGATTGACAAAAAAATGCAAACCCTAATTAATTCGCAAATTTTTTTCTCTTTTAGGCTGCACAGATGGGTATTTTCATTGCAGCAATGGGCCATGCATTCCACGTTCATTCGTCTGTGATGGGGATTCGGACTGTGTGGATCAGAGTGATGAGAAGAACTGCAAGTGTAGTCCTGACCTACAGCACTGTGGTAATTAAGTGTATATTGAGCAATGTGTTTTCAATTGTGTTTTCAGCAATGTACATATAGCTTTAGTTATCAGTTATTGCAAGTGTGATAAATGTTGTTATTGTGATTTACATATACAGGCAATCTCTCGTTTACGATGGTCTGATTTACAATGATACACATTCCTGACGTTTATATAACTCCACCATAAATCGATTTATGACGCAGAAACTTGATTTACGATGCATCTTCTGACATAACCCCAATCATATTTGAACAGTCAGTCTGGTTTCCAATATTAGTTGGCGTGGAACTTTTGTTCTTCTCAATTCTTTTTGTGCATTTTTACCTCTTAAACCCTGTTAAATATGGCTGATAAAAGGGGAATAAATCGGCAAGTGTCCGATTTATGATGTGGTTTCCGAAAACGTATTATGTCGTGAAAACGGGGACTGCCTTTATAATGTGCCATGTAACACACTTGTAATGCTTTGTTTATATTTTGAAGACAAATGCACAGACTCAGTATTCAAGTGTTCAAATGGTTGGCAGTGTATTCCTGGACATTTCTACTGCGACGGAGAGCCCGACTGTGCAGACTCGAGTGATGAGAATGCAGACTGCCATTGCCACCCAGACCAATTCCGCTGTGGAAATGGAACCTGCTTGGGAATAACAAATGTGTGTGATGGAGTCAATGATTGTGGCGACTATACGGATGAGAGAAACTGCAGTGAGTACAATTTTGTCTTGGTCAAAATGTTCTCGTCATGATTTTACATTTATGCTTTGGTTAAAATTGGACATATTTAAAACTCATTTAATATTTTGTTTTAAGGTTGCTCTCCAAAACAGTACACATGCAGTAACAGCACCACGGAGTGTCTGGACTTAATCTATGTTTGTGATGGAGAAGTTGACTGTAGTTATGGATCGGATGAAAGCGACTGTGATCGAGGTAAGGTTTAAGTATTTATATCGATCCCAATTGTTTCAATAATGGTGTTTCTATTGTAGTGTATGAAATGTGTAGTTATCGAGAGAGTAAAATGCAAACTAGGTTATCAATAAAGAAGTACATATTGTTGAATTAGATAAATGTATTTACATATCTACAACATTTATTTGCACGAAACCAGAGTGTGCTGCAAGTGAGTTCCGCTGTGATGATAAGAAGAACTGCATTCGTGGAAACCTGTACTGCAATGGGGAATTCGACTGTGCAGACCAGAGTGATGAGAAGCCAAACTGTCAGTGCCACCCTGACCAACTTCGTTGTGGAAACGGAACCTGCGTAGCAAATGAGAGCTTCTGTGATGGAATCAATGACTGTGGGGACTTCTTTGATGAGAGCAACTGCAGTGAGTTAAGGTTTACTATTAAAATGACTGAATTTTCACCACTGACGTCCTCCCAGAGACTGTCACGTGCAGACACACATACAAGAACACATCGAGTTTATAAGATACGTACGGACCATGCATACAGGCACAAACATCACTTCTGTACTCTACTTGTATGCTGCCATATCTAAGCTCCCCACCTTCATCAACCCACGTTGACCGGCCTGGTGAAGTATGGTCAAATAACCACCATGATCCGCACGACATGGCCTTCATTCAGCAGTGGATTAATAAAGGATTGTCCATGGACATGTACAGTCCTTTGTACATAGATTACTAAAACTGTGTACTTTTCAAGAAGAACATAGTAGTTTTAATCAACTGAAATATTACATTTAAAAACATAGTTTTTTTTCTTTCCTGCAGCTTGTACTCAAAATGAGTTCACATGCAAAAACAGCAGGGAATGTGTGAGTAGTATGGATGTCTGTGATGGGATCACAGATTGCAGTGATGGATCGGACGAAATCAACTGTAGCCAAGGTACTTTCTAAAAATAATATTTTATGTTCCTATCTTTTAAAAAAATATATAAAATACGGATTCACCAGTTTGGACTAGGGTTGTTAAATATCAACTGATAACCAGTCACCTCTCATTATGAATTGCCGGTTGATTATTAAGCCATGGTTACATCACTCCTATCACAGCCTCGTCACTGTCAAACCACCTTCCACATAGAGCTCATTTTCATATGGCCTCCATGGAAGATGTTTAAGACCACCCCATCCAATCCAACAAATGAATTGCTGCACGTGAAGAGTGTGGGCCTACATACCTACTATAATCACCCAGAAATGTCTGTCCTTAATGCTCGTGACGTCACTCCACATCTACCAGCCCCACCTCATTTTAATATTCATGAGTATGTGACGTCCTCCCAATGGACACCCCCACCCCTCCTCATTCATAATAATGAGCGGGTGACGTCACTCAATATGGAGTACTGCCCCCCCTCACTAATAATCATGAGCAAGTGATGTCACTCCACATCTAACAGCCCCCCTCATTAATAATCATGAGCAGGTGACGTTCTCCAAATGGACACCCCCCCTCCCCATTATGATTACCTACTATAATGAGCAAAGAATGTCTGTGTGCAACGCTCGTTACGTCACTCCACGTCGACCAGCCCCCCTCATTAATTATCATGAACAGGTTACATCCTATTCATATTCTTTGGGTCTTTCGGTAAAGTCACGTCGATAGAACAAAATAATAAATATGAAAATTACGTGAATATAAAAGGTTACGTCCTCCACATGGACCCCCCCTCATTAATAATCATGAGCATGTGACGTCAATTTACAAGGAGCACCCTCCCCCCTCATTAATAATCATAAACAGGTGACGTCCTCCAAATGGACACCCCCCCCCTCCATTCATAATAATTAGCGGCTGACGTCACTCCACATGGTGGGCCGAGGCGCCTCCCCCCTCCTCGGCGTCAACTTACAACCCTCTGTAATTCTATTGAGACATCAGAGTAAAAAGGACATCATGATGAACAAGGGATTATAACCTTAAAATGAAATAGGTCTGTGTCACCGCGACCTTACAAATTGCACACGCATTAATGCAATATCTTGTCACGGACTGCTTTTCACTTGCAAGTTTCAGATTTACTGCAATACAACTGTCCTTGGATGGGCGAAAGGCTAGTTATTCATAGTTGTCACCATATTGTAGCTTCAATCATCATTCAATGTTGCTTGCCTTTAAACCCTCAGAGAACTAACATAATGTGCAGTTGTGCAAGGGTTTTACCATCTTCCATCTGATCACACAATATGTCTATTATAGTGAGGGTGGGAATCGGAAATAAGATTGCACTTGAGTGCCAGGGTTATCCTCCAATCATGATACATTTTGCCAACATTGCACTGACATGGGTTACAGAATACTTTTTTTACTTCAACACCTGTGTGTATTTGTAGTGAGTCCAACTGAGTTGCAGACGTTGTTCCTTTTAGAGGCAACACATTTATTTGTAACACGTAACACAAAGGGGTAACTGCCCCTTCACCAGATACAGCCTAGGGTGGTGACCACCCAGCTAATTACTCTATACAGAGGAGTTACTGCGACGAAGGGTCAGACCCTCACTCGGGTCTCCGACGACGTGGTTGACCTCGTAGGACGAACAGCTTCAGCTTGAGGTGTAGAGCTTCCAGCTTGTAGATGTTGAGCTTCCAGCTTGTAGAATGCAGCGACCCCGGTCCCTCTCAGGGACCCACCTTATATCCCCCTACGGTCGGGGCCACTCCGCCCTCGGCCCCGCCCGCCTTCTCGAGCATTCTCGTTCTCTCTCGATCCTTCTCAAGAGCTCTCCCTGGACATGTGACCACCCACTAGCCACCCCCCCCCCCCGACCTGGGGCCCCTTGTGTGGACTCTCCGAATCACGTGTCTACAGGGCCAACCAGAGTGCCACGGCCCGGGGCAACCCTGCCCCTGGGCTGATGCTCACCCCCTCCCCCTTGAAAGAGCCCCCACCACACGCTGTGCGTGGTGCCCGCACTATCCCAGTGCTCACCAAGCCCCACTAGGGCTGGTGTTACACACAGCCACCCACACGGCGCTGTCCCCGCTAGGGCTGGTGTTACACACAGCCACCCACACGGGGCTGTCCACGCTAGGGCTGGTGTTACACACAGCCACCCACACGGCGCTGTCCCCACTAGGGCTGGTGTTACACACAGCCACCCACACGGTGCTGTCCCCACTAGGGCTGGTGTTACACACAGCCACCCACACGGTGCTGTCCCTACTAGGGCTGGTGTTACACACAGCCACCCACACGGTGCTGTCCCCACTAGGGCTGGTGTTACACACAGCCACCCACACGGCGCTGTCCCCCCTAGGGCTGGTGTTACACACAGCCACCCACACGGTGCTGTCCCCACTAGGGCTGGTGTTACACACAGCCACCCACACGGTGCTGTCCCCACTAGGGCTGGTGTTACACACAGCCACCCACACGGCGCTGTCCCCCCTAGGGCTGGTGTTACACACAGCCACCCACACGGTGCTGTCCCCACTAGGGCTGGTGTTACACACAGCCACCCACACGGCGCTGTCCCCCCTAGGGCTGGTGTTACACACAGCCACCCACACGGTGCTGTCCCCACTAGAGCTGTGTCACACACAGCCACCCACACGGGGCTGTCCCCACTAGGGCTGGTGTTACACACAGCCACCCACACGGCGCTGTCCCCACTAGGGCTGGTGTTACACACAGCCACCCACACGGCGCTGTCCCCACTAGGGCTGGTGTTACACACAGCCACCCACACGGCGCTGTCCCCCCTAGGGCTGGTGTTACACACAGCCACCCACACGGTGCTGTCCCCACTAGGGCTGTGTCACACACAGCCACCCACACGGTGCTGTCCCCACTAGGGCTGGTGTTACACACAGCCACCCACACGGTGCTGTCCCCACTAGGGCTGGTGTTACACACAGCCACCCACACGGTGCTGTCCCCACTAGGGCTGTGTCACACACAGCCACCCACACGATGCTGTCCCCACTAGGGCTGTGTCACACACAGCCACCCACACGGTGCTGTCCCCACTAGGGCTGTGTCACACACAGCCACCCACACGGCGCTGTCCCCCCTAGGGCTGGTGTTACACACAGCCACCCACACGGTGCTGTCCCCACTAGGGCTGGTGTTACACACAGCCACCCACACGGCGCTGTCCCCACTAGGGCTGGTGTCACACACAGCCACCCACACGGTGCTGTCCCCACTAGGGCTGTGTCACACACAGCCACCCACACGGGGCTGTCCCCACTAGGGCTGGTGTTACACACAGCCACCCACACGGCGCTGTCCCCACTAGGGCTGGTGTTACACACAGCCACCCACACGGCGCTGTCCCCACTAGGGCTGGTGTTACACACAGCCACCCACACGGCGCTGTCCCCCCTAGGGCTGGTGTTACACACAGCCACCCACACGGTGCTGTCCCCACTAGGGCTGTGTCACACACAGCCACCCACACGGTGCTGTCCCCACTAGGGCTGGTGTTACACACAGCCACCCACACAGTGCTGTCCCCACTAGGGCTGTGTCACACACAGCCACCCACACGGTGCTGTCCCCACTAGGGCTGTGTCACACACAGCCACCCACACGGTGCTGTCCCCACTAGGGCTGTGTCACACACAGCCACCCACACGGCGCTGTCCCCCCTAGGGCTGGTGTTACACACAGCCACCCACACGGTGCTGTCCCCACTAGTGCTGGTGTTATACACAGCCACCCACACGGCGCTGTCCCCACTAGGGCTGGTGTTACACACAGCCACCCACACGGGGCTGTCCCTACTAGGGCTGGTGTTACACACAGCCACCCACACGGCGCTGTCCCCACTAGGGCTGGTGTTACACACAGCCACCCACACGGTGCTGTCCCCACTAGGGCTGTGTCACACACAGCCACCCACACGGTGCTGTCCCCACTAGGGCTGGTGTTACACACAGCCACCCACACGGTGCTGTCCCCACTAGGGCTGGTGTTACACACAGCCACCCACACGGTGCTGTCCCCACTAGGGCTGGTGTTACACACAGCCACCCACACGGCGCTGTCCCCACTAGGGCTGGTGTTACACACAGCCACCCACACGGGGCTGTCCCCACTAGGGCTGGTGTTACACACAGCCACCCACACGGCGCTGTCCCCCCTAGGGCTGGTGTTACACACAGCCACCCACACGGTGCTGTCCCCACTAGGGCTGGTGTTACACACAGCCACCCACACGGTGCTGTCCCCACTAGGGCTGGTGTTACACACAGCCACCCACACGGCGCTGTCCCCACTAGGGCTGGTGTTACACACAGCCACCCACACGGGGCTGTCCACGATGTAGGAACATCGAACGGCACGGCCCTTCCGGGCCTGCACCAAACAGTGACATTCCCAATGTCACTACATATTTCTATAAGCTATGTATTTAAAAAATGATGACACAACTGTTTGGTTATGTGTGGTTCCAGCCATATACAGATTTACAGCTCAAGCCATGGTCAATAACACTATGAATGTTGAAGATTTAGAAAAGGAGGTGAGATTAGTTTTTTATGCATTTTTGGAGACATTTTATTATGAATGTAACAATTCAAATTTTAATGCATATACTGTACGTTCATTCCATTATGCAGTACAGAGGAATCTTTAGATTCATAACTAGAGATTGTATATGCACTGCATAGACCAATAAACATGTATTCAATTGTGACTGCATCAGGGCGATTCACTGATTCAGAGGGAAACATTGTTACTGTTTAATGTGATTAAGTAACTTTGTTAATAGGTGGTGGTAGGTTAAGGTTTCCTCTACACGATATTGTTTATTTTGTCTAATGCTTGTCTCTATCCCCTCCCTGATCTCTGCCGCCTCATTCCATGTCTCACACCTCGTCTTACCCTCCCCCCCCCCCCCTCAAAAAAGCTACAAGATTATTTGAAACGAACATTAGTAAACAAAAATGTTATGATACGCATCACAATACTGAATTAATCATAATAGTAATACATTAAGATAATAAATTAACAATGATACAAGAAACAGTTGATGTGATTTGTTATTTTTTTAGTGTGCAAGGCAGAGATGTTATCTCTGCAACAGTCTGTGAACCTCACTCATCGAGTCCTCCACCACCGATGTTGAGTACTCGGTCTCCCAGACTGACAGTTTTTTTTGCTGCCGCAGATACAGCTTAGTTTGTAGATGCCGGGATATTGCATGTCAGGGAAATTGTCCTTCACAGATGGGATCAGATCATGAATTTTATGTACTGTGTTAAATCGGACCTGGATCTTGTGTTTGTTCATGATTTTGGAAATATTTTTGGTTACCCCTGCTATGTATGGCAAGGTGATGGTTTTCATTGGATCCTCAGATGGCTCCTTCCTCACGGTTGGGGTGATGGCTTTGCGGATTGTGTAGTCAGAGTATCCATTCGTCTTGAAAGCTTGGTGTACGTCTTTGAGTTCACTGGTTAGGTGTTCATGGTCGGAGATACATTGAGCTCTATGGTGTAGAGTTTTGATGAGGGAATTATTCTGTGATGGATGGTAGTGGGAGTCAGGTTTTGGTAGGCATCAGTATGGGTTGTTTTCCTGTAGGCAGAATGGCTCATGGAGCCATCTGGTCTCTTTTGAATTAGGACATCCAAGAAAGGTAGCTTGCCATCCTTTATACCTCCATGGTGAATTTGATGGCTCTGTGTATGTAATTGATGTGGTTGAGGAATTGGTTCAAAGCCGGTCGGCCATGTGGCCAGATGACAAAAGTGTCATCCACGTACCTCTTCCACAAGGACGGGCGTAGAGTGGATGCCTGGATGGTGTCCGTCTCAAATTTTTCCATGAAAACATTGGCTACAACCAGAGATACGGGAGAACCTATTGAGGTGCCTTCAGTTTGTTTGTAGAATGTTCCATTCCAGGTGAAATATGTATTAGTGAGGCAGTGTCTCACCAGGGCTGGTACATCAGCATTCAATCCTTGTTGGACCAAATCTTCAATGATTGCAATGGTATCGGGGACAGGAACTTTAGTGAACAAAGAAACTACATTGAAACTAACAAGCAAATCACCTGGGGACAGTGAGATGTCCTTAATTGATGATACCAGGTGAGCTGAGTTAAGTACAGAAGAGGTGGTCTTACCAGTGAATGGCGGGTGAGCTAATGGTGGAGACGATGGGACGAAGGGGTGTACCTTCTTTATGGATTTTTGGTAAGCCATATAATCTGGGTGGTCTAGCAGCAGAAGGCTTTAAGGAAAACCTTTGTTCTGTTCAATTAATGAAGCTGAATCAGTGATGATACTGTTCGTTTTTGTAACGAGGCTGTTGGTGGGATCTCTTTTAATTTTTGGATAGCTACCATCATTAAGTAGGTCCTGAATTTTGTTGTTGTACACGCTTTTGTCCATGATGACCGTGCGATGGCGTTGGATTGTGGGCCCAAAGGGTTTCGATCACGTTGGTTTTATACCTTTATGTGACTGTCTGGAATGTGGGTCTGACTTGGTGCATCCATGTCTGATCCCACGTGTGAGACGCCGAGTCGGCGACTAACTGCCAGGGCAGGATATGCATTTCCACCATTTCCGTGGACAGCATTCATGTTCATTCGGTGTGTAAATGGCGATGCCTGAACGCCCATACTTTGTTCAGTATCGTTTGTGGAGGAGAATTGATGCATTGTTCAGACCAGTCCAAAATAGTGCAAAATATTTATTCTGGTAAGTTGATCATGGTGCTTGACAGATATCTGAGTGCCAAACTCACTCCAATTCTCTTCCATTTCCAGATTGGCTGCTGCTTCGAGCACCTCTGCTTGGGCCCTAGCAGCAGTTGCTTCTTTTTTGAGCTATAGGGTACTTAGCTTAGCATCCAGCTCAATTTTATTCCGTGTGGCAGTAGCCACTAATATACTCTCTTGCTCTTCGAGCTCTGCTTTCCTCCGTGCGGCAGTAGTAACTAATGTACTCTCTTGCTCTCGTGCGGCAGCAGTTGCTAATATACTCTCTTGCTCTGCTTCCTTCCGTGCGGCAAGCAGTTGCTATGCTTGCTTCTTCTTGTATGCGGGCCTTTTCAATTAGCATGGCTTTCTCTTCCGCCATGTAGGAAATACGGGCGTTTGCTGCTTCTGCTGCTGCACGTGCCTGAGCTGCTGCCATACTAGTAGATGATGTCTGTGAGTGTGCTGAGCCTTTAGATCTTGTGGTAGACTTGGATGAGACAAAGTGCTGAGATCGTGTCTCTCTTAAGCCCTCCACATGGTCCATTGCATCTTGTATCACTGCCTGCACATTACCACCGAGCAGTTCAAGGAAGTGCTCTTGCATGCGCACTCCTTCGATGCCCTCATCTGTTTTCACCTTCATCAGGAGGGAAATGTATTTATTTGCCAGCAGCTTGTAGCTTGAGCTGCTCACCTTCACTCGCTGTATGGCCCGCTGAATTGAGGCCACTGTGTCTGAGGCATTTGAAGCTTCAGATATATCTGCTTCAACCCGGTCCCATGCCCTTTGTATCCTGGCAGCAAGGTCTTGCTTATCAGCTTTATAGCTTTCCAAGGCCCGTTGTGTCAGCCTGACCTCTCTTTGGGGCCTTAAACTCCCTTGGTCCTCTTGAGGCAGGATGGGAGGTCCTGGATTGCTTAAATCACTTTCATCAGCATCTATCCCTGCTGAACTGTGGCTTTCCATGCTGCGATGCTTGCAACACAATTTTAATATAGACTCGTTGCAGAGCTGGTTGCTTACTGCAGGGCTGACTGCTTGAGAGCTCCTTGCTTGCTGAAGGCTAACTGCTTGAGAGCTCCTTGCTTGCTGCAGGCTGACTACTTGAGAGCTCCTTGCTTGAGGAGCTGGTTGGGAGCTCCAAAAAGAATGTCTTCTTACTTGCTGCAGAGCTGGCTGCAGAGCTGGTTGGGAGCTTCAAGAAGAGTGTCTTTTTACTGTCTTGGCCTCGCGGTGTGCTGCGTTGCACCGCTATCCAAATAGTTAACCTCGCATCCAATACACTTTCAAAGCCAGGGTGAACATCCGACTCCAAACGTAATTTATTGAATTGAACGAGGTAAAACTGATGGAAAAACACAGCACGGATACAGCATCTGTTAATACTTGGAAATATCAATACAATTGTAATGCGGGCGTACACGACCTCCCGGAAGTGACGTCATGGGGGGAGGAGTTACGTCACGTGGGGGAGAGGGTTCAGGTCTATAAGGGGAGAAACCGGAAGAGGAGGGGGAGTGATCGGAGACTGGGAAAGAGTGAGGCCACGCAGGGCGGAGAGAGAGAGAGAGAGAGTGGCGAGATCGCCACATACAAGGACCCCGAGGTTCGGCACCGTCGGCCAACGGTGACCGACCCCGGAGCAGCAGGAGCAGCGAGGAGGCTGCAGAGAGCAGCGGGTCTGCAAAAGGGGAGTTGAGCAGCGGGGGTCTGCACGAGGAGTTCAGCAGCGAGTCTGCTAGGGGAGAAAGTGGGCTACGTGAGCGACAGCAGCCAGGGGCTGCCGAACGAAGAGTATCCGGGGGAGTGCCGTGAGGGAAAAGCATAAGAACCCAAATAAAGGACACGGAGACAGAGACAGCGTCCGAGTTCTTTATTACACAATGAATGAACACTACAACATCATAACATTGTCTTAGATAACCTGAAACTCAACAATAGATCCTGGATGGACCAGGGACCTACATTTGTACTGAACAGCTCTACAAGGGAATAAGCTGTGTTAAATAAAAGCACATCGTGTAATCATCACACTGCATCCCAGATGTACAGCACTGCATATAACATTGAGCTGTGGATGAGACATTTCGTCATCCTTGCTCTCAAAATCGCAATATACTTACTTGGGTACAAGTTTGACTCGACTTATTCAATTACAAGTAACATTCACAAGGCAAGTTACAGGCTTCGTTGTTAACTAGGCCTCGTTTTTATAATAATTTAACAGCATTATAAAGGCATTTATGGCATTATAACGGTCATTATAACATAACAGCACTCCCAATATTATAAGAACACTAGCTGTACTACCCGGCTTCGCCCGGGACTTGTATCCACCACGGCCGGCCGCCTTTGTCTCCCCAGTGGCGATGTTAATATGCCACAGCAGTTACTCGTTTGAGGCAGAGTCGAGCTAGGGGAGGTTCAAATAATGGTCACCGGTGGTGGCCGTGAGTGGGAATCGAACTGGGTTCGCCAGGTTGGTAGCGCAGCGTAGCGTTAAGCACTACACCCACCGATCCTCACACACCACACACGCACAGACACACACACAGACACACACACAGACACACGCAGACACACACAGACAGACACACACACACACAGACACAGACAGCACGCTAAGCACTACACTACCGCTCCCCACACACCACACACGCACACACACAGACACACACACAGACACACACACACAGACACACACACACAGACACACACACACAGACACAGGCAGCACGCTAAGCACTACACTACCGTTCCCCCTACACAACACACGGTTGCGCGTCCATAGGTACACATACACGCGCTTGCTGCAGACACACGACTTTCAGGGTGCGTACGGCAGTAAACGACTGAAATAATAAAGCGGCAATGCTGCGCAAGGAACGCCTTAGACCTGCAACACATTTGTGTAATGCGAGCGTAAACACACAAACACATACAAACACATACACAATACACACACATACATGCAGACACACAGACACACACATAACACACATACATACACACACATACATACACAGAAACACATACACACATACATAGACACACACATACATACACACAAACACATGCACACGCGTACATACACACATACATACAGACACGCAGACATACACATAAAGACATACAAAAAAACCCACATACATACACACACATACACACAAACACATACACACACATACATACACACATACATACAGACACACAAACATACACATAAACACATACACACATAGACATGACCCGGCTTCGCCCGGGACTTGGATCCACGATGCCCGGCCGCCTTTGTCTCCCCAGTGACGATGTTCACACACGACAGCAGTTACGCGTTTGAGGCTGAGTCGACCTAGGGGAGGCCCAGGTCCGTTTCAAATAATCGTCAGCGGTGGTGGGCGTGAGTTGGAATCGATCTGGGGGCGCTCAACCAGCTTAATGACTATTTGTACAAAGAACATATAAAGAATCGATTATAATAAGCAGGCAACAGTCCACATTATAGACTGCCAGTACACGCACTCAGCTTCATAAGCAGGCTAGAGTGTACATGATAGAGTGGCAGTACGCTCACCGAGCTTAATAAGCAGGCTACAGTCTACATGATAGACTGGCAGTACGCTGACCCAGCTTAATGACTATTTGTACAGTGAACATTTAAGTAATCGATTGTTGGCGCGTTGGGTTTAAAAGTAATATTAATTGCACACATTGTGGTGGGGGTGGAGTGAAGAGTACGAAAAACTTTGATGAATTTACCTCAGAGTGGCGTGGTGGGTGTCGAGACCTAGTAGCGTGCAGAGCCTGCGGCCTCGCCAAAATTGGGCACCTGGCAGAGGCAGGGTACGGGTGGCGTTCCTTCCCCCCCCCCTCAGCGCTCCAACAATACTGTGTAATGGCTATTATTTAATTATTTACGGAGCCTATGAAAGTGGCGAAGGCGTGGCTAGCCGTTGGCAGGGGCAACCGCCGTCCAATGAAAGTGCAGCCCTTGGCGAAGGCGTCGCTAGCCGATGCCAGGTCAAATGAAAGCGGCGAAGGCGTCGCTAGCCGTTGGCAGGGGCAACCGGCGTCCAATGAAAGTGCGTATGGTCCGGAGACACACAGACACACAGACAGACAGATAGACAGACAGATTCGCGATTTTATATATATAGATAATCGAACTTACAGACAATGCTTCTTAAAGTCCCACAATGGACAGTTACAGTTGTCTTCACTGGGACGCGATTTGTGCCGCCATCTTGAACTGTGTAATGGCGGACCCCCAGCCTCGTGGCTGAAAGGCTGTCAAATCGTAGCTTCCTGGTCACGTGACCAAACTCAACCTCAAAACAGGAAATTCCTGTGTACACACACCCCCACTCCTGCCGTGAGGCAGAATACCTAATATCGCACACGGGTGTGTTGGAGAGCAAATCCACAATATTTACAGTCTGAGTACGACGTTTCGCCAGTAATCATAACTTGCTTCATCAGGCGAAAACCAGATTTGTGGAGAAGTCGTCCTGGTTTGTTCCTTAAATAGAGGAATAGATGTGATGACTTCACTTGTGAGCCCTTCTTGTGCGAAGAGGGGGGAGATTAATTAATGCATATAAATTGCAATGGGTATCCATTGCCGGTTGGGTAATTTATATGGTAATGAAAATACATTATGCATGCACATTGTGCTTGTGCCGCCTGCCATTTGCGTGCAATAAAATAGCGCAGTACCTGTTATTGTCTGCGTGCACGTAATCCCCATTGATTTATGGTGACCTGCATAGGCATGCATTTAAACAATGTATTATTTGATGATTCGCTTCCAAGCAGCACTAAGCCTGCAGATATACGAACGGTTAAAATTATACTCTTAGGTTTTTTCGGTAAAGTCACGTAGGTAAAAATATAAATAAAATAATAATACATGAAAATAACTAAATTAAATCACGTTTCGGAGGCAACACAAGTCTCCATCTTCAGGTGGGACCGTCACAGCCAAATTTACTGTATTAAGTGAAGAGAAATCCAGGAGACAAGATCTTATATACTGTACTGGTTAAGGGGAGGGGGGAGGCGCTTATCTAAATGTGGCAGTCAGGGACTGGGAGGGTGGGGGGAAGTGGGCGGGGCTAGAAGGGAAGGTACAGCTGATACACCGCAAGAATTACGGCCGATGTTGGCTACCAAAACCAAAAATAGCAGCACTGTTAAACGCTGGGGATGTCAACAACTCGGTAAAATAGACTAGTACCTGTCAAATAAAATGGTACAAATATGCGTAGTTAAACCTTTTTTACATGGTTGATAACATCTTTCCAATGATTGCTCAATTTGTACCCATCATCACGGTTGAAGTTATGTCTATATTTGTATATCTGAGTGGCTTCGTGAAGAAACGTTTTATGGTAGCCAGAAATTTGCAGAGCACCTTGGTCTCGGAAAAGACAATATCATGAGAGCCCACAGCATTGTAACAATGATCAGCAACGGCGGAAAAATCAGTTTAGCCATGTTTCAGATCTGACTTGTGCTCACGGACACGATCAGAGACATGACGTTTCGTTTCCGCAATGTAACAATCACCACAGATGCAACTCCGTTTATAGACTCCAGGGTATTGCAAGTCAGGAATGACATCTTTCACAGATGGGATTAGATCACGGATTTTATGTACTGTACTGAATCGGACCTGGATCTAATGTTTGTTAAGAATTTCGGAGATCTTTTTGGTCACGCCTGCTATGTATGGCAACGTTTTGATCGAAGTTTCAGGTGGTTGTTTCTGTATGGTGGGAGAAACAGCTTGGCGGATAGTACGGTCAGAGTATCCGTTAGACGGAGACTTGTGTTGCCTCCGAAACGTCGTGGTTTAATTTAGTTATTTTCATTTATTATTATTTTACCTACGTAACTTTACCAAAAAAAACCTAAGAGTATGAATCCTTACAGTCACGAAAGCTTCAAATCTAGGGTTGAAATTCAGTTTTATTTCTCACAATTTCGATAGATTCTTCAATTCGTCTTGGCCAGTAGTAACTAGTTTTGCACAGAACTTCAACATTTTCATAATTAATTGAGTGTCCTTATTGGCACGCGTGTTCTGCCATTGCCGACAATTGTATTTTGGAGTATTTATATATTTACGAGATCTAACTCAAAACACCTATCTATATATATCAAAAAGGGAAATTTGTGAATATGTGTGTCTGTTCAAAATGTTTAGCGTACTTTCCTACATGCAACAACTTGAAATTTGCCATGTGGGTACTTTCCACACTGTACACGATGCAAAATTTTAAAAAATACACTTTGTATAATTTTTTTTGGGGGGGGCGCAATAATGCATATTTATTGCACGCAAGTGAGCGGTGACGTCACAGCTCTGTCATGTCACCCGCATGAGGCAGCGTGGGGGGGGGAATCACCATGAAGTGTGTGACGTCAACCCGCATACAGGACTGGCGAGAATCGATATCTGGTGAGGGTTTGTGGTATCGATTAAACGGGAATAGGCCGATTCAAAAGAAATCTACAACCTTCGATTGCTTTACTCGACTTAAAGATTCTAATCTTGGCGCGCGAGCGTAAGTTTTTATTTCCACCGCGCGTTGGGTTTTATTTTAATGAATGAGGTAATGATCTAAGTTTTATTTTCATTTGTATATGTTATGTTTTTAAATTTTAAGAAGTTTTTTTACATGTATTTTTCCCCCGGGCAACGCTGGGTACTTCCCGCTAGTTATGAATAAAACGCTGGTGAACAAAGTTAGGCTATGTTTTCAGAACAAATCCCAGTGTGTTCAAAACAAAACCCCTGATCACTTCGAAACAACCCCCCATTCTGCTCACAACAAACCCCCAATCTGTTCCGAGAAGAGCTCAGACGGCTCAACACGTGTCCCCCCTCCCCCCCCCTTGTGGTCGAGAACAGAAACTGCATTCAGCTCAGAGCCTCGTGCATGAGCGCCGCGGTGCCCGCCGGGAGCGCGGGTTCCACCAATCGGAGGTGAGAGAGAACGCGGGACTCGGGCTGCGTGCACGCTTCTACACCCCGTGGAATGATTTGTTGTTAATTTCTAACACAAACACATTTAACAGCTCCATCAGCGCCGCCGAGAAAACAGCAGTACGTTCCGGGGTCTCTTGTAAACAATACCGTAAGAGCGCGCTTTCCTTAAAGCAGGAAACCCCGTGGAGTGACAGTCGCGTAAGGCCGTAGATGAAGCACCGGCTGGTCCTTGCGGCATTGCCGGAATCGGAGCGCCCCCCTCCCCCCGCGGCTAGGCCGAAGGCCCGTCCCGAGGTCGCGTACAGTTATTTTCCATGAGTGACCGCACGTACAATTTAAACTAATCAACGGTTTATTTGAACAATGAATCGTGCGGTGGTCCTGTAAAATGAGTTAAAATACTACATTACTATTGTAAGGATGGGTTATTGAATCGCACTCGTTCTGTTTGCGAAGGAAAGGCTCACGCGTTTCAGGATGTTTCAGTAGAGTCCTGCACTTGGGATATTTTAACAGGGCCATTAAAGAATGGCTAATTGAGAGAAAATAATAATTTTAAAGAATGCATGTTACGTTATATTGTTTTGTCGCTAAAATAAATTGGAAACCAGGTCCGTCTTTCCGGCATCTCAGGACCGTGTGAGATAGAATATCGTTGTGAACAGCCAGCAGTGGCTGATAATGGTGATTCGCCTTCGATTCATATCCTAACCAGGTGTCACAATTATGAATATCCTTGTGGGTAGACTCAGTCTTTCAACCCTTCGGGATCGATAACATGAGCACCATTTAGTGTAGAGTCAACAGGGGTTGTGCTATGGATAGAATTTGGCCTTCTGTAGTAATGTGCACTTTCCTCCACTCTGACCCAGAGGCTGTCTACAGGAGCTGACCCATGCTCGTGTGATTGGGAAACCAGCTCGACTTGAGGTTTAAAAGTACTCGTGAACCCCCTGAAGAAGCCTATATAAAGTTAGTGTTGTTCAGTTAACGTGTAAACAATCACACTTACCGGCAGCGGACAGTAAGAAAACGCACAGTAAATCTCACGCTTCCACTGTGGTGAAATATGGTCACATGATGTGACCGACACGGCATGGGGACGTCTTCAGTGGATTTAAAGTTGCCTGAGTATTAAAATAATTTTTCATATGACACTTTGATGTGTAATGGTGTGTGTTCAGTGATGGACATGGAGGGGTTCGGTGAACTACTGCAGCAGGCCGAGCAACTGGCAGCTGAAATCGAGGGAGTGTCAGAACTGCCTCAAGTGGAGCGCAATCTGCAGGAGATCCAGCTCGCCGGGGAGCGGCTCCGCTCGCGAACTCTCACTCGCACCTCCCACGATGCCGCCGACGTAAAGGCGTAAGTGTAACGATGCGTTCATCTGACGACAAAGAGTGGACAACGATGCATCTGTTATTATGCTTTAGATACATGCACAACATCCTGCATGTAAGAATATTTTTGTTGTTTATAATACTACTGGAATGCAATTTATCATGCGCAGGGGTTGTGAGTCCTGCTGCGGAGAGTTCTAACCGTGAGCTGTAGTCCAAAGTGACAGGAGTCAAGAGAGATACAGTGGACGACTGAAAGTGGAGTCACAGTGGCAAAGGCAGGTGATCGGGAAGCCAGTTTGAGGGAAGCGAGGCAATTTAGCTGAGGATGACCGGCCGTCGAGGTCGACATGGGTGAGCTTTTGTTAGATTTCTTAGGGATCAAGCAAGGACAGTTGCAATCGTCATGGCGAGATCTAACTGTGCTGCAGGTGATGGTATTGGCGATTTCATTGGTGATGAGTGGACATAAGGACAGAGGACCCTAAGGTGGTATTTGCAAGATGTGATGATGTGGTTGGTGTGGCTGTCGAAGGATAAGGTAGAGTCCAAAGTGACACCGAGGGGCTTGATGTGGTCAGATGAATGGATAGGGGAACTTGTGCTTTTTATATCAGAAGGGACCGTGGAACCTGGTGAGTTGCTTTCTGGTGCCGATTTGAATGGCCTCGGATTTGGAAACATTCGTTGAAAGATCATTGGCCTAAAACCACTGCTGAAAGGTAGCAGTGCACTCTGGTCCAGAGGTTTCGGTGGAATCAGCTGACGCAAAGAGTAGGGTGTCATCTGCGTAGGAATGGCATTTGACACCAAATAACTCAATGAGGTACGTAATTTTGTTCTTCTTGGTTCTTTCGGTAAAGTTACGTAGAAGGGAAATAATAAAAAATAAAACATAAAATAATTCTCACGACGTTTCGGGCACAAAGCAAGCAGCCGTCCTCCCCGACAGCCCTGGTCTTCACCTGAGGACGGCTGCTTGTGTTGTGGCCGAAACGTCGTGAGAATTATTTTATTATGTTTTGTTTTTATTATTTTATTATTTCCCTTCTACGTGACTTTACCGAAAGAACCAAGAAGATGAATCCCTGCAGTCACGAAAGCTTTAAATCGAAATTTTGTTCTTGTGTATGGAATTATGTTTAGGAGCGAAATGCTATTGTCAAGGTCTGGTCGCCACGAGAGGTAGTGCAGACGATATGACATGTGTCCAGTCTATAGTGGTTGATTATATAGGCCATTGTTTGGATTTCATGGCCACAGTTGCGCTGTGGCTTGTCTTAAAATTTTACATTTATGAAGATGTGTTTAGCAGCCAGTTGATTTTCTGATGCGGTTGATGGCCAATTGGATAAATGCAGTGGTCTGATGGTCGGCGGACTGAAAGGAGCAGAAGTTGGAAAAGGAGGTTATTTGGTCTTTAAGCTGGATGAGGGCAGGACATTCCAGGAGCTTGGAGAGGGTGAACACGTTGATTAAAGTTGATAGCTTAACATATATTATGCCTGCCTGTGCCAAAATCACCTGCAATGCTCTCAATCTTGTTACATCTCAGTAAGCTAACCAGAATTTAGTCAGAATAGTGCTCGAGTGGGTGATCACCATATACAACAGGTTGTTCATAGGATACAGATTATATTGTGGGCAGCAGAGAACATTGTACGCTACTACTATTTTCCATCTATGCTGCCCTCTACCAATCTACAGACCAACATGGTGAGGTGTGGCCAAATAGCTCTCATACTATGTCAAGGTTCTCATTTCATATATTACAAGCCAGATTCACATCTTGGAGAAATAGGCAAAACCCTGGTGGATTTTTCCCCACCTGTTTTCAGTGGTGGAGGTAAAAGCAGGTTTCCACAAAATATCAGGTTCATTCGCACACTTGAACCTTATGACGGTGCCCCCGGTGTTCCATAGTACCCCGGCTCTCGCATAATGTCCGTGATGCAGTCATTTTTAGTCTGGATGGTCGGCGATGCGGCAATCGACTCATCTCAACGAGCTGTACACGATGCAGTATTCACAGTATGCTAATGTTTGGCGTTTCGACATCGCAGAGTAGCGCTGATTTTGGATTGATTGGTACCCCAGTTACAGAGTAAAGTACACCCCTGGAAAAAATAGTGTCCCAGAAATAAAATATTTAATTGCCTTGGCCATTTTTATTGGGTACCCCGGGGTCCCGCCATAAGGATCACTTGTAAACATTTGGAACTCAGTATGTGTGTGTGTTTATTTCTTCCCGTAATAATGGAATGCAGGTCTATTTTATTGGGCTCCAAGGGCCTGGACATCTCAAACATTTCCCATCGCCTTGAGAGCCTGAGCGCAGTTACCACCTTTGAGCCCCTGGAACCTGTGCGGGACACTGACATACAGGCAAGCCACTGGCTGGGTGTTTTTACTGCACACTCACACCTTGCATATGATGTAAAGCGAAACTCATTTTGAAATGCTTCGTAATACCATGTGCTCGATCAGAGTTGTGTCTTTAAAGCAGTAGCACTTGATTATTACTGTAAGGCGATGTAAACAAGTTATGTTATTCTAATGCCATACTGCTCTTATCCTAATATACAAATGCTCTTATTCAGGGATTTTTGAAGAATGAAAGGGATAATGCTTTGTTCTCGGCTATTGAGGAGTCCAGAAGGAGGGTGAGTGAACATTATTATTTTCATAAAACGAACCACTGAATGTTCTTTCTGGTCACAACCTTTTAATTTATTGTTTGTGAAACGTGCGCATATGCTTTATACAGACCTTTGCTCAGGCTGAGAAGTACCACTGGGATAACATGCTGGTGGAGTGGGAGCAGGAGAAGCAGCGAATACTCAACACTTTGCTGGGATCTGAGGAGGACATGTTCGATCTTGCTCCAGAGGCAGAGGTCTGGTTCCCAGTATCTGGCAATAACATTAGCATTCATATTGAATGTTAACATTTCTGTTGAGTGGACATTGTACCCCAATATCTTTTTATTTGTATTTTTCAGGGCATAAAAAATAGATATGAAACATCAACTAAAGGTGTATAAATGTTGATACGTGAAGTCTGCACCATTTATGTTTCATAAAAGCATAAACTGTTGTCAACTTCATTGTTTTCATATTTTTTTAATGGGAAATATACCTTGGTTGTCAAGATGTTTAAAAAAAAAAAGTATTTATTCTTGTAACATTCTAACCCGCCCCGACTGGACATCTGTGAAAAAGAGCTTATAGCTCATCAGATTTCGCCAGGATAAATATATATTCTGATTGTGATCTATCATTGAAACATGTTACTGTTCATGTACAGCGCTTCACTATGCCCTCGTGTAGCTAAAACCAGAAACTCCCATCTCCTTTTTTCAGCGGAGCATTCTCACGGACACCTCCCCTCCAGGCCGCAGCTCCATGGACAGCACTGAGATAGCCTATGCACGCCAGGTGAAGAAGACACTTTACCTGCCTTATCCATTTCATATTAATGATCCTATTTCTTCGCTAATAGGAGGGTGAATCTTCCCACACAGGTGTACGTCTACAATGAAAAGATTGTGCAGGCACAGATCCGTCCCAGCCTGGTGGAAATGTTTGGCGGCGTAGCTGACAAACTTGACGACAAGGTATGATGGGTACCCAAAATGATATCTACGTATTATATACATGGCAAATTGTGAATGCGTTCATGGAAAATAAAGTAATGTAAGCAATGCAAAATGTGATACTATTATGTGGCGTTCTTTGCACTTTTAGGGTGTCAGGCCTGAGCATTAAATAATTCTGAAGTGGATAAAAAAAGCAAGTAGAATTCTATGAATTTTCATATAATTGTTATAAAATATATGGACTTTAATGTTGGAGTATTATGTGTTGCGTTATGTGGTATTGAGGCCAGGTTTCGGCACGTTAGGGCTTTGGGATCAAGCCAGAAGATTATCGTGTGGATATTCTACCGTTACCTCACTATATCTACATCTGTCTTAAACCTGGTATTGTTGATATTCTGTGATGTGATTATTTGTCTCAACGGAACTGCAGATCCCCCATTAACTGTGATCTTCTCAGCTAGCTTACTGCGGCCAATATAATTATCTACTTACATTCGTGGTCTGGGATTTTTCTTGTCAAGTTATCGCATCTGTTTGGCTGCCTTAGGGGTGCTCTCAATTATAATCTGGAATTGGAACATCAAGTTGCATGGCAGCCAGCATTTATTGTTACGTACAGCTGGTTGTTTCCTGTTCCGTGACCAATCTGTAGTTGTCCTGGTACCTCGAGCTTGTAATTAGGTATTGGCATTACACAGTGTATACGTTTGACTTAAAATGACCATTTTCTATGACTGTATCTTGTAATCAGTTCTTCCACTAGAGGGAGGTCTAGTTCTTTGTGTAAATAGGATGGAGGAGGGCTGGTCTTGGCAGACATTGGGACCGGTCTTCACAAGTCCAGCAACTAAACAGAAGAGCAGATACTGTAAGGGCAGATCTTGGAGGGCGCGTGTACCTGCAGCAACTGCGGGATCTAGCATGGGGTGGAGAGCGTTGGTGATGTGTGGTGGCATCAACAACTCTGGCTAGAATGAAATTTTATCTTTTCATTATGCTTATTTTCAATGTGGTTGCATTTGTTCACGTGTGTGTATGTATAGAATGTGATAGAGCTGTGGTCGATGGTTCAGCACATGACTGATGTGCTTCTGGTGCCAGCCAAGGACACTTTATCATGTCGTGTTAACAAGGACATGCAGTCTGCTTTCGTCCGGCAGGCCCTGCTGTACCTGGAGCAAAGGTGTGTTTGTGAGGTTCACTGCTTCAACTTTTGAGGACACATCAGACTTTTAAATTGAAAATCACACCTCATGAAGCTGAAAACTGTAACTGCTTGCAAATATATTCTCTCTTGTAAGCTTGGGCTCTATGCTGTGCAGAAATGTCACCTGCCAGGCAGTCCCTGTTTAATACTGTCAATGACTTCTGCATCACATGATTTTGGTGATATTTGTAGGTGGCGTCAGTGGTGTTTTTTTCCCTTTTCTACTGCATTTCAACATTTACAAGCTGTATATTTGCTCAGTTGTGTTTTTTTGTGGGAATGATGTGGGCTTTTTAAAGAAAACATTTCCTGGAAAGGTCCACCCCTGAATTGGCCTCATGTTCAAGGACACACTAGTCACAAGCTATACAAATGTGATGATCTTGAACGAGGGCATTACATTGATTAAACTGTGCCAAAAGTTCACCAATCATCAAATGTCTGCCAACAGCTACAAGAACTATGTGATGACGACGGTGTACGGGAACCTGCAACAGGCAAAGCTGGGCGGAGTGCCGGGGACCCTTCAGCTCATCCACAGCTTCATTAACATCAAGCTGCCTCATCTTCCAGGCCTTCAGGTCCCTTGTCTTGTAGAACACTTGTAGAGTCCACGCCCATGCAATAACAGGCTTAGAAAATAGCAATTACTGTACACAAATTGGAATCCCTCATGTAAACATAAAAAAAATTATGTTTTTGGAGATACAGAATAATGAAAATATTCTAATAGATGAGAATACGTTTTTCCCCTTTCATCTGGCAACAAAACAGGTGTTAAGTTGTTAAAACACCAAACTGAAACCTTTTACAAGGAATCATGTCTGCATTAACCACAATACTTGTGGTCAAAATGCAAAAAAAATACTTGATAATATATGCATTGTCATGCAGACATGATTCCTTGTAAAAGGTTTGAGTTTGGTGTTTTAACAAGTTAACACCTGTTTTGTTGCCAGATTAAAGGGGAACAACTTATTTTCATATTTTGGTACTGGCAAAGGAGGTCCCATGATATTATAATAGATAATAAAGATATGAAAATGGGAAACATTACCATCCTTATCAGCCATCTATAAACTGCTGAATAGAGGCATCCACATATTGTCACCATGCCTCGTGGTCCTCCGATGCCACAATCCAACTTGCGCATGAGCTGATCTCATCGCTGCATCTCCACGGAGGTCGTCCTCTCGGGCATGTTGTCTCCTTTGCCATTTCAGCAGAAGTCTTGTCCATCTCCTATATATAATCCTCTGTAGTGTATCCTGGCCAGGGCCACTTTTTAACAGTCAAAAAGTATGATTCTGTCTTTGTTCTCTGACCCATGTGTTCTTATTCTTAGGTTTTTTCGGTAAAGTCACGTAGGATTCCCAGCATGAATCTCTACATGCTTCTTTGAATATTTTAAAGCTTTTTTTCCCCCTTTATCTTTAACAGTCCATGTATCCTATCTATATATATATAGCAGGTAATTTGCACTTGTTGAAAACGTTCTTCTTTAGGAATACAGGTTTGTTGCTTTTCATTGTAAAAAAAATCTCTACATTCTGCTTTCATGCACCACTTAATGTTTTTCAATCATTTCCTTGGATATTCATATTTTTTTTGTTTTCTGGTTGTCTCCAACAATTATTTCCTTTTGTTTGGCGAACCTGTTGTACATGAATTTTTGTGCATCTTCAATTGAAAGTATTGTTTTTGGTGGTGTGAAATAATACGAAAGTAATAACTAAGAAAAATAAATTACCAAACGAATATTAGAATGAATACTCTTAAATTTTACTATTCATTTTTATTTCATAAATAAATCAACAGTTTCAGTATTGTAGCCATAATGCAGATCTCATTTATTAATGTTGTTGAAGATGAGCCTATGTTATTTTACACTTTAAAACATGATAAGAAATAGCTTTTAAGGCAATATTAAAATGACAATGCATACACTTTTTTTAATGGTTGCATTAACTGGAAAATAATCAACGGTGGTATAATAATAATAACAGTGAAAGTGTATTTGTTTTCATTGTGCTGGCAAAAGCAGTGGTGCCATGGTTCATGCATTGCAAACTAAACGATTTTTTTTATTTAACCAGGTAAGGCCCACTGAGCTAGAAAATTATTTTTCAGACACGACCTGGCCAAAAATTATAGCTCAACGAAGTGGCTCATCATCACGTGGAAATTAATTGCAACCAAATACTCTAAATGCACGTTTCTAAATGCGGGGGGGGGGGGGGGGAAAGCAGAGGACCCGGAGAAAACTCCACACGACCACAGGGAGAACATGCAAACTCGAAATGTACAGGTGTCAGGGTTGGGATCGAACCCACGACCTCCTGTATACCAGGCGAGGTAGTTAACATCTAGCCACTGACCTCAGTCTGAATCCTGGTCATGGCTCATATAAATAGCAATTGGTATTTGAAATGTTTATGCCATCTCTTTCACCAGTTTACATTTCCCCCATGGCTAACACGGCTTGGGGAGGTCTTCATCCTCTTTTATAATTATGTTTGCAAAAGAGTCATGCATTCCTGAAGGCAGAGTCTTATGTTTATTTTCAAGCAATTCACCTGTGTAGAGGAGCTCCTTAGTTTGGTGGTTCGTTTTTGCACGACCTTTCACTGGTGTTGTTTTGTAGGACGGGGAGGTTGATTCTCATCCCGTGTGGGCCGTGCTTTACTATTGCCTGCGCTGCGGCGATGTCACTGCTGCACTCTCAGTGGCCAACCGCTCACAGCACCAACTCGGCGAGTTTGTGGGCTGGCTACAAGAGTACGCCCAGAGCCAAGACCGCATGTGAGTCATAGTGCCATTGCAACAAAAATGTATATTTATTACACAGTCATGTTATTAGATAGAGCTGATTGCTTATGACTACTGATTTGTTCTTTGGATGGATTGACATGCAGGCTTTCCCCAACCTCGGCGAACCGCTTGCGCACGCATTACCGGCGCGCGGTCAGGAACGGTACGGACCCGTACAAGCGTGCTGTGCACTGCCTGATTGGCCGCTGTGACGTCACAGACTTCCACGGGGACGTTGCTGAGAAAACGGACGACTTTTTGTGGCTGCGGGTAACCTTATTTGCTGTATTGTCAGATGACAAACAAAACTGGAAGTGCATTCGTTTTGTGGTTTGTTTTTAGCTTAGCAGACTACATCTACATGTGAAAATAGCAGCTGGCAAATAAGTAAAGTAGTTCAGATATGATAGTGTGAGTCAAAAGGATTTTTAGCCAAGCTAAGGCGCTTACTCAAGAAAATAGCATGCTTGGTGCCATTAAAATGGTAATGTGTGTGTGCGTATAAAGGCATGTTTGTCACTGAGCTGTTTTCGCTTTGCTATGCACAGCTTCACCAGGTGAGCTTCGAGGAGGAGGCTGGACTGGGGACACAAGACCGCATATCACTGCCGCAGCTACAGACACAGCTTTTGGAGGAGTATGGTATGATACTGTTTACTTTCAAACTTCGCTTCTGGCTGTAACTCTAATATACAGTATTTTATCAATATTAATTGCTAGCAATGCGCACGTCCTTTGGACGTGTCCCTCCATCCCGCCTTACCCCTCCAGCCAGCATTTTATATATATAAAATGTAGTATGATTATTATTCATTGACTATTTTCATTTTGTGAAGTGACCTAAGCTTTCAACAGCAATGAAAACAGACATTGGCTTTAAACCACTTACGTAGTTGGAAGGTAGACTGTTACATAATTCATCCCTGGGGTCTCATGGTTAGTATATTCTTAGCACAGGTTGAAATTTAACTCCAAATCCTGCAGGGCTCTCTGCTGCTGTTGTTCATAATCTGATGCAAATATCATGAGTTTGTGGTGGGCTGGCATGTTGATGCGTGTCTCTGTGTATGTATGTATGTATGTTGAACTTGTTTCGCAACGTATGCTGATGGGAGGTGCGTGTGTGTTGCACCATGATCTGCGTGTACATGCAGGGGAGACGCACTTCTCAGCCGGCCAGCAACCCTTCCTCTACTTCCAGGTGCTCTTCCTGACGGCACAGTTTGAGGCGGCCGTGGCATTTCTCTTTCGCGTGGAGCGTCTGCGGGCGCACGCCGTGCACGTGGCGCTCGCCCTCCACGAGCTGAAGTTGCTGCTCCAGCCGCCGCTGCAGGCGGCACAGCTGTGTACGTCTGCTGCGCTCGCACGATGCACGACGGTGGCGATTGGTAGCAACCATGGCTGCTGCCTCTTATTGAAAATAATATGCATCCCCGCACCCATCCCACAAAAAAAACATGGCTTTTGTATTCTTTGGGTCTTTCAGTAAAGTCACGTAGACAGGTTCAAAGAAAATAACAAAAAACTACGACGTTTCGATCGCAACACAAGCGTTCATCATCAGGAAGCTTTAAGTCAAGATTAATGGCTTTTGTAGATATGATACGTATGTATGTATGTTGAACTTCTTTCGCACCATACGTAGCCAACCGCCAGATGGCCACAGAAGCACGTCTGAAAGCGCGCCATGTGGCAACCGTCTTTGATCGCCATGCTGTGTGTCTCGTGTTTACCAAAACTATTTCGAAGCTTCATTTGAGAAAAAAGTAAATTGCTGTGTGTGGATCATACAGTTAGAGTATCTAAAAAACTAAATAGAATTTTCATTTTTGCTTGTTGCAATAACTTGCATCAACAATATTGCAAAATCAATTGTTTGCTGTTTGTGCACCAGCAAACCCGTGTTTTTAATCTTATACCTGACGAATATAAAGTAGCTATGTACACCCCACCTACATCAACCAGCACTGACCAACGTGGTGAAGTATGGTCACATCGGCGTGAGATGCCCCTCATCCAGAAATGGATTTAAAAAAGGGCCTTGCATATTGTGATTAAATCGATTTTTTTGTTTCCTTATTTCCTCTTATGCTTAGTCAATTAAAAAATAATGTCGCTAATATTGCTCCCGTTAATCGGTGCCTTGACGAAAATGAATGCCATCCAATGGACACCTTTAAGTTGAGTGGATGAGGAGGTAATGATTATGACGATGGCGGGGTCGGCAGTGAGCAGAGAGCCCAACGATCCTGGTCCCATGCGGCGTCTTAACCTGGTGAGGCTGCTGATGCTCTACACGAGGAAGTTTGAGGCGACTGACCCACGGGAAGCACTTCAGTACTTCTACTTCCTGCGGTCAGAGATTTTTTTTTTTGCTTCCCCAACAGCGCTTGCACTAATAATGTCCCCGTGGCAGATGTGTGCGCTTGAATCAGTCTCGTTGAGATTTTGCTCTCATGATTGTACACATTTTTTAAGTGTTTTAATGTACTCTTATTGATTTTATAGTAGTCCTTTGTGCGTGTTAAGTTGTTTATACCTTTGTCTGCTTTAGAGCATCCTATTGCCTGATTGATTTAACGGTTCTAAAAATGCGCAAATGTGTTTTTTTATGTATTTTTATATGTTAAAACAGTTTGCGTTGGTGCGTTGTTTTGGTATATTTGGAAGATTGTTCAACCTTGTTGGTAACAGAAAAAAGTGTTTTTGCAAAGATCCCATTATTTATTATATTTTGTCGTCCACATTCAGCTTTAAGAAATGTAAGAGTAAATAATAGCTGACAGGTTTTTACACACAGGCCAGAGACTACGAAGAGGCTGTATGTAGGTCTGGCAGGAGAGCACTGCATGTGCCTCTCGGCAGTGTGTGAAAATAATCTTTGGGAGGGGGCTGAATTTTTTTTAATTGTTAGAAATGAAATATAAAATGTTGAGAAAATTAATGTCTGAAAATGAAAGAGCGCTAGTTTATCACTTGCGGATCACGAGGTAGACTTTGCATGCCCCAGGGGCGTGGGGCACCTACGTGCACTACTCGTCGTGTCCCTGCACTCATTCCAGATGTTCGTAGAGAGATTTTTACCGTACAGGCTGTGTATTTCAATGCAAGCTGATAAATAGATTTGAAAATGGCTAAACCTTGTTAGACCGTGCCACCGCCATGGCATGTGCCTTTGCTTTTATGCTGGAATTTTAGCGCATGTGCCATGACTGATGGGAGTTGAGCATTCGTTTGGGGTTGTGCATTTTTCTGGGCAGTGCGGAGAAAGATGGACAAGGGGAGAACATGTTCATGCGATGTGTGGGGGAGCTTGTGATAGAGACGCGGGAGGTATGTATTTCGATTACCGTGCAAATTCTTTTTTACGTGTGGGTGGAGACACAAAAATGTACACGTGCTAATGTATATGAATGCAAATTCAAAATAAATACAGGAATATGTTTTCTTTGTGTTTTCATATATATAATAGAGGCACATTTTAAAGGAATTTGTCATAACAAATGTATATTGGCTTCATAATAGCCTTATATGTTTTATTTTTGAGCGTCACTGTAATAGCCCTGTGAGAGTCGCTTTCACGAACAAATCAAAAGCATGAAAGCAGCTGGCGAATGTAATTCAGCAATAGTTCGGCTCATAGTTGCAACTGTTCAGTCTTCATTTTAACTAATGGCTTTGACTTCTGTGTGTACAGTTTGACATGCTGCTGGGGAGGCTTGAGAGGGATGGGACCAGGAGGGTAAGATTTGAAAGTCAAAAGCATGGCGACTTGCGAGCTCTTCGCCAATCACTATAAGTCTGCATCTTTGAAAAGCACAGCTGATTTAATTAAATCACGTGTTGCTTTTGGTTCGGTCTTTTCATTGTTTTGCTGTCATTGAACCCTGCTCCTGTGCACACGTGTTCAAACTTACAGCCGGGCGTGATCGACAAGTTTTCTCAGGACACGAGGGGCATCATTTGCTCGGTGGCAGCTGTGGCTGAGAGCAAGGGCCTGTTTGAGGAGGCTGTCAAGATGTACGACCTGGCAGAGGTACCTGCAGGGATGACAACTTTCATTGCCAACCAAGCAGAGGCTTGTAACTGATAGGCATGATTCAGGATCACGATTTGATCCAACAGTTCATATATTTATATTAACACTGGAATACTGTTGCAATCATAGTGGGTGCACGGGTCACAAGAACTAACTACATATGACGTACATGAATATATTATAATTGGTTCTTGTGTGCGATTCAATACATGTATCATGAGTGTAGGAATAGATTTTAATTGATGATTTGTGCATTGTAACACCTATTGAGGCTGATAATTGCCAAATGCACTAAAATGCTATACACTTTGCTCTGGTTAAGTTTGGATCAGGTTGGTAAAATATTGTCAAGCAACCCCACCATCAACGTGGTCTACATCATGCAATGGATTGACATAAGGATATGCATGACTTATTATTTATTCCATGAAAATGAACTTACATAGGAGAACTACTCTGAAGCCGGGATGGATTTCATTTTGCATTTTTATTGTGCATTACCTCTCGTGCCTCATGGCGAGAGAGTGCTGATAAAATCCAAGCCCATATGTGCTGTGCGTGTTGCTCACGCTTTGCGCTGATAATGTTGCTCTTTGTTGTGATGGCACAGAAAGCTGACAAGGTGCTTGGGCTGATGAACCAGCTCCTGAGCCCCGTGGTGTCAACCCAGGGTGCCCTGCACTCCAACCGCGATCGACTCAAAACCATGGCGCTCGGCATTGCGGAGAGGTCAGTGCTCACATGTTCTGGAGCAAGGGACACGGACAACAACACGTCAGCTCGTGCTTGTTCAGTTAATTAGCTGCTTATTGTTGATGCTGTTTTGCAGCGATTTGTTTTTCTACAGCCCATGAGCAAATAACCTCGAATGCTTTCAATGTGGTAAGATGTCGTAAGCTAAGCAGCGTTGATCCTCTTTAGTGCTTTTATGGGTGACCACTACACGCCAGGTTGTTACAGGCAGCGGCGGCGGGGCTGCGCTGCGTTGTAGGCAGCGGAGGACAGTGCAACAAAATAAATGTTTGTACTGCGCTTCTATGCTTCCAAATGTTTGTTCCCTGTATTCACACCACACTAACCAGCTTTGTGAAGTATGTACTGACCAACCTGGTCAACAATGGTAAATAGCCTCGATAACCCGCACGGCATGGGGTACCCCCCCCCCCCCCCTATATAACAGTGGGTTTGCAAATAGAGCTTTACATATATGTGTACATATTTTCCTCTAATAAACTTATTGGACTATTGATTATCACCTTTGTTGGTTGATCTTTGTTTTGAGCGAAACAATTTGTTTATTGTTGTTCATTCACCTAAGTGCATAGGTCCTTTCTGTTGACACATCCGCATGTCTGCGCGCACACACAGGTATCGAACTCTGCATATCAGCACGGACAAGAGGATCGGTGCAACTTTCTATTTGCTGCTGGACCTCATGACCTTCTTTGAGGAGTACCACGTGGGCCAGGTGGACAGAGCCATGGATGTAAGGCTTCACACACACTCGGAGGCAAATCTCCATGGCGTGGCCTAGAAATACATGAACTATTTATCCTGCCGTAGTTGGATGAATTGTCATGTCAGGGTTGTGGTTCAACTCAAGAATATTTGCTTTTCTCTCGTTTCTACTGTTTAGTTTGTACCATCTCTATCGTATATTATAACTCTCATTCTCTGTCATTTGTATCCTTGCCAATTTATCGAATTAGTTTTGTCTTATTTGTGTATTTAGTTTATATTATACTCTTTGGGTCAAGATTTAGTTTATATTGTCTGTTGCATATGTACCACCTGTCTTTTTACATTCATGACCCTAAATGTAACACTAGCATACATGCATGAAAATGTATCGTGAAAGTAAGAATCGGTGAGTAAATGCATTGTTACATATCTAGTAGCCCATGTATTGCTACTGCTACAAAAATGGTCATAATCCTCCATGTGTCTCGTGCCTGCAGAAGAGATGCTACAGCAAACAAAGAGTGCATTGTGTTAATTTTTTAAGAAATGCACAATGCGTTCTTATCCCTCCAATGCCGTAGCAGATGAGAGGCTCCATTAAATAAATATAATTCGGCTACTGACCTTTGTGCCCTTATTCAGATGAGTGGATGTGGAATCTGCAGTGATGCCTTCATCACAGTGCTGCATGGTGTACGCTGTTTTCACCGGCAGGTAATGGAGCGGTTGAAGTTGGTGCCTCTTGACCCAGACAGTATTGACGAGAGACAAGCTGCGTTTCGGAACTTCTCAGACGAGGTACGCTGTTTTATAAATCGGCTTGTTGATTTTTTGCAAGCACTGTAAATTCAGAGTGACCATTAACTAAGACGGCATGCACGTGCATCGCTTGGCTCAGGTGCGCAACAGCCTGCCGGATGTGCTGCTCGCCACAATGAACATCCTCCTTACCAAGTACCGCCGGGCCAAGGCGGTTGGGGGTGGCGCCCCTGCCAGGCCACAGAGGACCGCCGACGACATGGACGCAGTGAGTGTGCATCCCACCCAGTATATCCACACAGCTGTGCCACGTGTCTCCCTCGGTAATGCTCGACTAATGAATGGCGAACGGTCCTCAAACATCTTGATTTGAAGCTTTCGTGACTGCAGGAATCCATACTCCTTGGTTCTTTCGGTAAAGTCACGTAGATTGAATATTCACGTAGATAGAATTTTGTTTTTCTATTTACTTGACTTTACCGAAAGAACCAAAGAGTATGGTCCTCAATAAGTAATCTTACCTGACCCACTGATGAATAATTTTGGAATATATAACCGTGAACTTGCACACCTAATGAGCCAACGAATTTACTGGGGGCTTCGATGCAAATCCATTCATGCGTTTCTTCTCAGCGGCTTCAGAAGTGTCATCAATAGGAGCGAGCGATGATGGACCAGGCGGTGTGACAGCCTCATGATCCCCCTTTGTGTCGCGGCACTGCGCTGTGATTGCATGTTCGGGTCGGAATAATGATGTGCACGCTGTGTGCTGTTCCTGTGTGCGTTTTGCAGCTACGCAGGCAAGCGCAGGTGCTGCTCATGTTCTCGGGCGTCGTTCCGTACCGCATGGTTGGTGATACCAACGCGCGCCTGGTGCAGATGGAGTCTCTCATGAACTGACCACTCCTGCTGGCCAAGCAGGGGGAGGGCAGTGCGGAGAGGTGTTGTGGTCTTTGCCCAGTCAGTGATCATCAAAATATGCGTAACCATACACGTTGGTTGTGGAGTTACTAAAAGGAGGACGATGTGTTCTGCGCACAATAGGTGCTTAAAAAATTTACACGGCATAATGTGTTTTTGTTATTTTTTGTGTTACTTTTTTTGACGTTGTTGACCAAAAGTGTACTTTCAATTATAATAAAAATGGAGCCCATAAAGGGGTGAATACAATGTGCACATTTCCCTTGCAACTTTATGTTATGTCTAGTGGTATTTGCCCAAGCCTCTAATGGTTACGAGTGGTTGGATAGCACTGAGCGCATGACATCATAGCAGTGGGACAGCGTGCAGTGGAGAAGTTATGAAATGAGAATCACAGCGCTGATTATGCTAGGGGCCTGCTGCGTTGGACACATTTCTGAAGTCAAACCACAAATGTGGTTTTGGTAAATGTGGAAAAACTATTTCTTCGGTGCAGCGTCCACCATTTGTTAATGGGATTCATTTTCACAGTAAATCGAGAAATTCTGGAGGAGAACTTTGAACCATATATTTTCACTGATAACACTTGCGTTAAGCACGCCTAATACGGCGTTATATGAGTGCCAACAGGTTTTGAATTACGTTTTCCAAATAGCTCCTGCTTAAACTCCAATGTGTCTGACATGGCATTTGAGAAATCTGCTGGGGCAGCCACTTAATAGACAATGCCATGGAAGAATGCCATTGGTGTATGTCTATTTACCTTGGGTTGAAGCTTATACCTATTAAAACCTGAGTGAACTATTCAAGTGGGTTTATTATTAATAATAATGCGTACTTCTTATAGTTTTTTTTTATATATACTTTAAAGCTATGACAGTAGTTTGTAATTGTTTTGCACAGATGGCAATGAAATTTCATGCTTGAGTGTTGGGGTTTATCAGTGATGAGTTGGTGATAATTATTCTCTATTGCCCTTTATCCTAATGTTGCACTTTTACATTGATATTGAGAGTTATTCCAGTGTGGTGTCAAAATATACAGTCCATTTAAAGTCCCTGCCTCTGTCATAGTTCTCTCCATTGTAGGTACACAATGGATAATGGAACCTGACATACTCATGCCCTTTTTAATACCCTTTCTGTGTTAATAATACTCTCTATCTTTCCAGAAATGGAGCCTAGATCCTTGAGAATTTATTTTTTAACCAAGAGTGCATTTTCCAAGATATACCGACCCTGTAAATTACACACCACTGACAGGTCAAATATTGAGTGATTAATCGGTGAAAACATTTTATTTATCTTGGCTACACTAACATAAACCGCAAGTGTGGATTTACATCAAATTGAGGGATTAATGCGATACAATTGTAACTTGGAAGTGTTTAAAGAAATTAACGGTTAATCCATAACTTCACCTTCTCTGTTACTGCATCCGATTCCATCAATTTATCAAACTGCCAGTTACCCATGCACAGTAATGCATATTTAATTTCATTTGGCGTCTCTTGACAATTTTAAACTGGGTACTTCACAGCTACTGTTTTCAGGTTGTTGTGACCCATTAGCAGAATATCCATCAGTGTCATTGTTCCGGGAGAAAAGCCACCCCCTCGGTTAAATGTGTGATACGATGCCGTATACAATTCCCGATACAAATTGAAGAGCATTTGTAACAGTGCGCCTCCTTGGCATTGTTTATTTAATGAATTCATTTTTTATTCGGTGTGTTCACAATAGCAAGAGCGCGGCATACAATAATTCAAAAAATATATATGCATTATGCATGCAACTGGAATTGACTACCAAAAATCGCGAGATACTGCGACACATCAAAATGCTGTATTGGTGAGCATATGCTTCTCACTGCGACCTCATATCACCGTTTCCTTTATAACAGGCCATGCATATTTTCACGATATGAATGCGCTGGCTTTTTTGAAAACTCCATTGACTTTAAACAGTTGCTGTAAAACCACATGATTACTCAAACCTTAACGTACAGCAGCTGTTGCTTGTATGGAAGTGTGCATGGAGCTGTTGTGCAAAGGGCAGAGTTCAGGTGCCTTGGAGCTCAGCGATTCCTTAGATACTATCTGTCCATCTTTCTCAGGCAACGATTATTCCACATCATGAGCACCCTGCACCTGCTGCTTCTCTCATTTCCCAATTGAAGGCGTTCGAGACGACGAGAATCCTGAATTATGAACCTTTCAGGTCACCACCAGACTACAATTAAATATTTTTGGAGGATTGTTTTTTTATTCTATTTTATTTTTCTACCTATGTTACTTTACCGAAAGAACCAAAGAGTGTTTTTTTTTCATTTCAACTGAATGTTCATGGTTTTCTGTACGAGTCGTTCATCATTTCCGTAATGTTTTGTATAGCTTAATGGACTTTATTGCCCAAATATGCGTCTAGATGGTGGTAATTTTACAATTTTCAAACACCCTCAAACCCACATTCTTTGGGTCTTTCGGTAAAGTCACGTAGATTTACCCTCAATCCCAATTTACTAAAGTGCCAGCCAAAGGAGTGCGGGTTCACGTAAATGATTCCACCCATCCACGCCATTGAGGGGCATCGTGTGGCAGTGCTTGTGTTTTTTTTAATAAACAAGGGCACAAATAACAAAGATGTAGCCACCATAAGTGAGCCCATGCATGCGGGGGGTTTGTGGTGGGGCACAGCACATGGAGGCTCCTTGGACATGTCACATTAATTGCAAAGCTTGACATCTAGGTAGAGAATATTAAATGCATTATTAAGTGGGTTGATGGACATGCAAAGGGTGGCAGACGAGCGTAATGTGGATGAGAGACGGGGGTGGCTGCTGGGTGATGCAGTTGAGGGTGGGATATTTTGGGTTGGGTCGGGGTGGTGCTGGGGACAGTGGGTAGTGACGAGAGGAGGCACGGAGGGTGAGGAGGGCAGCCCCCGGGGCACGGCCGGTGTGCGCGTCACGTGGAGTCGCCAAGCATGACTCCGAGGCACAGAGCCAGCTCCGACTTCTGGATTTTGCCGTCGCGGTTCACGTCGCAGTGGTGCATGAGCGACGAGCGAAATCGATCCAAGTCCACTCCGCTGAGACTCGGCTAGGAACACAAGGATGCATTAGTGTTTCAGGGAAATGTACGTCAATGTCTGATGCACCCTGGCTTACCGGTATTAGCCTTTTTGCCTGGTAGGTCACAGTATTGGTTGGCTGGGTGAAGTGATGCCGGGTTGGTATGTGGCCTAGGCTGGCGATTGCTTAAGGATAGGAGCAACCACTACAAAGCTGTGTGCATGGAATGCATTACAAAGCAACGCTGGACTTGTACTTTATGCCTACAAATAACAGCTGATTTGAAGTCTGGTGACCTCAACCCAGGATGACTGAGAGACGGACCAGAATTGAAGAAGCTCAAAGATCCAATACCAAGTGGAACTGCATGCTTGATAAGTACATGTATAATGACGATGTCCCTACATCAGTATTATTAATGTGTACTCTGCATATCTTTAATGCCTATTTTATGCAATGTTAGACAAGTTATGCATTATATATGTGTGCAAACGCAAAGTGAGAATGAATAAAACATCTGCATTGATGTGGAAGACCATTAATGCGGCCAGACTGGCTCGTTAGCAGAGGTGTGTCCTGTAATGAGAGTGATATTTAGGACTAGCGAGATACCGTTTCCTCCGGTGAGCGGTTTGTAAGCAATGCATAATGGGCTGCATGCGGTGGTAATAGGAGGACCCTGCTGTCACGCTTGACATTTGTAGTGCAAGTGTTAAGAGAACGAGAGAGTCTGGCCACAGACAAAGGTCGTGTTTGGATTGAACGGAACACAGTGGGTGTAATTGTACCTGCCGCCACCTTGGAATGTTGACATTTGGCAATGGGCTAGGTAAACTAAGGAAATAAATACATGTTATCACGATTGCTGGGCAGATGCCTATATGCCCAAAATTCACAGCAGCTTGCAACAAACAGCACTGTTTAAGTTATAATCGATAAGAGTTTACAATTTTTCTTGAATTGAGCGAGGTTGTAAGAACTTGGGAAAATACGACGGGAGGGAATTCCAGTCGAACAGTGCGAGGGAAGCAGCGGAAAGAGAAATGCTGCGATACATTTACGAGTATGTGACAGGATTTGTACGCAAATAGATACATGCATTAAATTTATAATTTTTTGCTTTGATTTATCAAGTGAAAAGAACGTACACCAGTAGCATCGGTAATTTGCTGCTGTGGTTTGTGATTTAATTTTACCCATGAGATAAACAAATCATTGGGTCATTCCCACTGTTTCCCACTACTGGACATCTGTGAAAAAGAGCTTTATAGCTCATCGGATTCCTCCAGTATAAATAAAGATTCTGGTTCACATTTTACACCGTAAGTAAACTGTTTTAAGTTGCATTCTTGAATCCATTATGCCATAAAAACTCGGGTGAAACAGAGGTCAATATTTACATAGTGATGATGAGTTATTTTTTTAATTACTAAATATTTGTGTATGTCTGAACCCTAAATCTAAAGATCCTACCATGCAAACACTGATTGAATACTGTGCAAGGAATTCCACACATACACAACTTTCCCCAACTCACCCTGACGAGCTCAACCATGTCCTTGACCAGTCCATCAACCTCTGCACCTTCCAGCACACCAGTACCACTCTGTAACATCAGTCCACCACAGGTAATCGTACTGGTTCCAGCTTCTGTGTTTTACCTATGCTTTGAGACAATATCTTGCCATTATAAGTATTGCTGCATAAGCAGCCCCGTTAGAGGGAGGCTGTAGGGGGCTCAGTGCCCCCCTGCTGAAAATTCAAGCCCCCCCTTCTAAATTATTGCAGTGAAATCAATAAATTTTGGTACAAAAATAGGTACAATAAAAGCAATGGGCGTCTCAGCTTTTGCTCATCTACACAGAGGGTGAAAGCTAGAGCAGAATGCACATTACACCAAAGCAAACCATATCTTCACTCATTTTGTTTAGAAGTTAACATACTTTTGAAGTTTTTTATGCTGTGTAGCACCCCTCCTGATTTTTTGTATGCTCCCCCTTTAAACAAGGTCAGACTGCAGAAACATCTCAGCAGATTCGTCAATAACACTGCCTTCAAAAGAAAAAGCATAATAAGGGAAGTGTCAGGAATGGCCTTTTCCTCAGCATACTACAGAGATGTCAGAGATGTAGAGTGAGATTGCAGGGCTGTGTGTTACTGGCCCGTGATGAAGTATTCATACGCTTAAATCTTGACTTAAAGCTTTCGTGACTGCAGGAATTCATACTCTGGGTCTTTCGGTAAAGTCAGGTAGATGATGTTTCCATCCTACCTGCCGATGTTAGCAGTTATTTCCGACTCTCTGAGTTGCATTCCTCGATGTGGCGGTAGCTACAGACATGCTAATCTCGCACAATATAATGGCCAGACCAATAGCTTTGGGGTACCCTCGATCTTCCTTTTCTAACCCCGCCCACTCACCCTTGGGCTGCACCCATCTCAGGCCTATATAACACCCTGCTTCAGCAGCTCTCTTGCCATATTTTTTCACCTGAGGATGATGGCTTGTGATGCGATCGAAATGTATTTTTTTTTCTATCTAAGTGACTTTACTGAAAGACCCAAAGAGTAATCATATGCTTGCTTCTTACCACGTCGTAATGGTCGAAGATTTTCTCAAAATCCCTTTTCCTTATTTCTGGAGTAGTGTCCTGGGAAAATGAAAATTTGGTCTTATTAACACATAGGCTTTCACAACCAATATCATCCATAATACAGGGTGCTTGAAATGTTTTTAACACTTCTCTGGAACTATCGTTTTTAATGGGAAAAGAACGGATAATACACTTTAACATGATGACAAATGTTTGTTAATAACTTCAAAAAGTCAAAGAGTCTCCACTTGTTCACCATCATTGTCAACGCGTGCCTGGAATCTTCTCCAGGTGGTCTGGGGGCACATTTCTTGTGGTGTTGTTGCAAATGTTCAGAAGTGTAAAAAAATTGAAGCACCTTGTACAGGTTTTTTGGGTTAGATCACGTAAATATAAATATGTCCTTAAACCCGCCACCACCCAAAACAGCCAATTAAGGCTTGATGCATTACAAAATATGCAGATGTACCATCCAGCGCTGAATGAGGGCCTTCCAGCCACACCGTGGTTTTTTGTGGGGGATTAATTAGTCATACTTCATAAAGTTTGTCAGCACTTGGCGGTTTGAAGCACAGACATGGAAACATAGAAGACAGGACAACTACTAATTTCGCTGCACTGACCTCTGCAGACTACCATGCAGCTCTGTGTAAGTACAAACATGAATGCATACGGTACTTCACAATTCTATACTGGGATACATACAGTATTTATATTTTCAGTGCAGCTTTTTGTCAGAGGCTGTGCGTATTCCCCACGCCTCCTGGGCATGCTCCTCTGTTAATGTTTTATATAATTATGGACCCTGCTGTACCCTAGACGTTTGCAAGAGACCACACTTATGGGAAATCATTTTTCATTTGGTACATGGCGAACTGCAGACATCGCAACCCATTTATTTTTCATTTGAACCTGTCGGGGTATCTGGGCGCTTTTAGGCAGTCCCATTATTTTAAAACACAGCTGCTGAGCACTTGGCCCGAAGGCCCAAAATGTGAAGCGACCAGCTTGACAAGGGTGAACACGCGTCTTGAGTCGAGCAAGGCCGCTATGCGAGCTTGAGGAAAAAGAGACGATTGGAGAGAATTCTAAGGTGGAAAAATTCGACGGAATAAGAAAGAGAAGCGTTGTGACGTGCAGTGTGGTGGTTGAACAGTAGAGTTTAGACAAAACAGTCTGGTAGAGTCCTCGACATCGGTGGAGGAGTTAATGAGTGAAGTCCACGGTAGCGAAAATGCCCAGAAAATGTGACAAGTTCAATCTATTAGCTATCGGATGTGTTTTCAGGTTCTATTAGCTATCATGTGTAATCGAGAAGGAAATGAGGCGTTTAACTCAGTTCCTGAAGATGCCCCCATTATGTAGAGAGAGACGTCGGACATCATGCCGAACAGCATGCGGTACAATCCAACAACAATCGGAGAGTGCCACAACACGCCTGTAGAAACCTATGCAGTGGTGGTATATTTCACCTTCTTGTGGCTGCGTTATCATTGTTACCAGCACGTAAGCCCGAGATTAATCGTTTTGCTAAAGCCATATTAAAGTGCTTATATGTGTGGTTTTTTTTAAATTAAGGATTTGCATAATGGAGACACTGGTGTTCTGATGACAAAGGCTTGGCTTTAAGTGATGATTGTAATACCTCATTAAGGCGATGTTCTTCTATAAAAAAAAAACAGCAACTTTGATAGCTACACACAGCTAAATATACATATACTATAACTAGTATTGGCCAAACATCCCAATGCTGACAGATTACGTGCAGATTACTCATTTGGAATTACACAATGCATCATCACCTCCTACTGTGAAATCTTAGCCAGAATGCAATGTCTGTATGCGTTCCATTGCTGCTCCCAGAATACCTGTGTTACATGTCCCTGCTGGTCACTGGCTTGTTTGATCGAGAGATGCCGTGGGGATGCCGTGTTCCAGACACTCTGTGGACCTCGCCTGCCCACTGTCCCCCGTGACAAGCATTCTACAAATGCAGGCGCTCTTGTCGAAAACGATCATGGTGGCCTAGAAGATGAATCCGAGATATATATGTGGTGCTGACTTTGCAAGCATCTTTTCTTTTATCATGGCCAGTTAGCTTAATGTAATAACATTAACTTAGGTCGATTAATTAACTAACAATGATAACTAATTATTTGTTCCACGATAACACACTGTGTTGAAACCGGTCCAGAGTTTGCTTGTACTGATTCAATGCTCCTTTACATGATGCACTCCTCCAAATGCTGTGGTGCCGATGGGTTGTGTCAAGAATATTTTTTTTACGTGGAAAGACAGATATGTGGAGACATTGTTTACTTATCTACGTTTCAGTATTCGTGATTAATTAATCAGGCCCTTTTTAAAACAGCAAGCCACTCCCACATCCTGCCTCGTGAAGGCAAGAAACCCCCTGAAAGCAACACCTGGCACAATGCGGCTGATGATGATGATATGCCTCACGTTGCCAACCCTCAATCAACTCCTCCCGTCCAGCAGCACACATTTTAACAGGTGATACTTTTTTTAATACATTTTTTTATGTTATCCCATTAGAGTAATCGAACTGATAATCGGCAGAGTAAGGATATACTTTCCACATTTTTTAAAGTAAGCATATCCGATGGCCCAGCTCTATAAAGCAGGTAACCCTAGGAAGTCACTTTGTTGTGTTTGCTGTTGCACTCCACTGAGATGCGAGTCTGCTGCCCGCATGCCTCAGAGTTTGTGGTCGGCTCACCTCGATGCGAAAGCACAGCAGGAAGTTCCCAGTGTCGTGAAGAGCCATTATCCTGAAATGCACAACAAACCCGATATTTATAATTACTGTAAACCACTCTCGCCATCATGGATAGGCTTCGTGCTCTTCACACAGGGTATCTGAATGGACAAACGGCTTGGCATGTGGAGTTACTTTCACATGTATTAGCAAAGGAAGTGCAGATCACTGTAATGAGACTGGAGATTAAGAGGAAGATGTAAAATTGACAGCTTGCCATCTTTACTGACGGCTCGCACTGGACGGGCGCAACAAGTGACATGGACGCAGCATCACCGATGTCCCGGGTAATCCCAAAATGCAAGCAAGGCTATGAGAAGGAATGTGTAGGGATGAGATGCATTTTTTGTACCTGGTCATGTCCCCCAGGTCCAACCGTCCATCCTTGTTCCTGTCGAACAGCTTCATCTGTAAGATATTTTATTTATTTTTTAAAAAACTCGCTTGGAGAAGCCTTTGTCAAAACCTGGAGGTTAGTTACACATTCTCTGCATCGTGTGGGTTATCTCCTGCAAATGGTTTTGGGACATGGGGCATCACCAATCATCTCTTGTTTACAGCCTTAATCCAGTGGTATAAATTCAGCATTTATTTGGTGGGGCGAGTTAATCTATCTAGCATCCACTTTTAATTTCCCACAGAGTAATACTTATGTTTAAAAACTTGGTTAAATTAAGCACGAAGGATTTTAAAGGCTTCACATTGCTAGCCATGCGCTGTGTTGACTTGGTTTGTAATTTACATTGCAAGTGGTATCGATGTAATGGTCATGTGATGACATTTTAATGACTAGAGCAATGCATCTTGGTGAGATGCGACGGGATCCTGAACATAGCAACTGGCAAACACAATCCAGACACGGACAAGCAAGGCAGTTAACACTTACAATCGTTGTTTACAAACCGGCTCGGTTTGTTTGGTAACATTGGTCATTAAACAAAAGTGCACTGACGAAACATGAAATTCCGATGAGATAATTTCATATAGAGCAAAAAAAATGGCAGCAATATTCCACCAAAATTTATTTGCGAGATTATTTTGCTGAGCAGCGCAACTTTCGCTCGAACCTATTGTGCCAAGAGGCCTCATCGATTCCCATGTCGCTTTGAATGTCACTGAAATGCTTTTAACGGCAAGTTTTTTAAAGCATTTTTTTTCTTTCCCGTATTGCTCTAAAGCAATGGGGCAATGGCTGTAGTGGCTCTGGAGATAATGGCGGGACTAGGATAATGGGTTGAAGCCCTCTGAGCGCTGGGGGAATACGGCAAGCGAAGTATGGTAATTTGGTGAAGAGAAAGTTTCCGTCTCCAACCGGATAGGTTCATGCTCAGGTTATTTTATCTATAAACGGTTCCACCAAACCACACCCCTCACCCTCATCCCCCCTTCCCCCATTTCAAAATAGCCATGATGCTAAATTATAAATATTCACGTTAAAAATATTATCAACCTTCAGATTATAAAAAAAACACTGAAATGCACTCGGCATAATTTTTGCTGTACGCACAGCCAATTTGTTACGAGTACATTTTATTGTTGTTTAAATAATGTTGCCTCTTGCCTCAGCTGCGGCGCAAAGAAGAGCAAAAGAGAAATTCTTGAATTGTTAACAACCCGTCATTTTAATTATCCGCGTTTGTGAAAGTCAAGGAAAACGTGAAGGCTCCCTCCTTGACTGCGTTTGTGCAAGAAAATCAGACATTTTGACCATTTCACGGCTGTGCTGTAAAAATACAATTTTACAATTCAGCTTTCAACTTTGTTGTTTTAGTGAAAACAGAGGGGAGCACTCTGCAAGGGCATGCTCCAGCAAACCGCTGAACCCAGTAACTTAGTTTTACTCCAGGCACTGGGAGAATAATAATGGTCTAGAATATAGCCGGGGATTATTGTCATACTCGATATTTTCTGGAGAGCTGCTAGGCTGGGTTTGGAGTAGGCATATTTGGTAATAGGTACTAAGAGAGTACAATTTACACTTGTAGATTATAATTATAATTGTTGTGCCTTGTACACACCACCGCAGTATCATGAGGACAAAATAAGGTGAGATTAATATGGCCTGCCAAAATAACTTCATGGGAATAGCATTCCGGACTTCTCGGGCTGAAATGAAGCACATGTGTATAGCTCTGTGATGTGTCTTTGGGTAGTACGGTGCATCGTTCAGCATGTCCACACTGTCCCACGTGCTGAGAGCTGCTTCAAGGAGCAATTCATTTCCTGTTATCAGTTCCAGAAGAAGCTCCCAGCACATGGATTGAAACGCCAAACATCAAACATCATGCTGAACAACACGCGGTACGACCCGAAACCAAACGACTCAGTAGTTCACTGCTGTTTTGTCTGTGAATGTGGGCAACGGAGGCCTGACTGCCACTCGTGAGTCAATGCCGGTCACTGTAGGTTCGAGTGGGAATTGAGCTGCTTTAGAGAAGCGTCACTTGCTAACGTAACTCACGCATTCAATGCGTGCAGGACAGGTCGGGGATGCACATCAAGGTCCCTTACCATTGCATCAGTGTACTCCTCCAACTTGTGGTCGGAAATCTTCTTGGTGTGTCTTGCCAGGAGGTCGCTGAGAAAATTCTAACCACATAAGTGAAAGGGAACATACCCGTTAACAGCACACAAAGACAAACCTCCACGTGTAGCCTACACAGGCTGTTGGGTTAAATGCACCTATAAAGGCCTCCAAGCCCACAAGAGAGTGATGTGGTCAGCACCACGCCATGCCACGTTTGTTTCCCCAGTGCTAATGATTGCACACTGCACCAGGTACTCATTTGCGGCTGAGCCGGCCTAGCAGAGGCCCAGGACGGGTTCAAATATTTGCCACCGTTATTGGTCGTGAGCGCAAACCTAACTCGGGTTTGATTCACGCAGTGTGCTAACTGCTACACTACCGCTCCCCACACACACATGCAAGAACATGTACAGACAGTAACTTCAAAGTTTAACCAAAAAGGCAAAGGTATCAGAGGGGTCCTGCCGCTTGAGATTAAGGGGGACGCTAGGCACCTGGGGGTACAGCTCATCGATAAAAGGCGACCTTGGTCTTGTTCATGAGATCTGGTCTTGAGGTACGTCTGCTCCGTTGTCAACCAGCGAGGGAGCCAGTGACAGATGGAAGCATCTCAGGGGTTACCCTGGGTTTAGCCAACTCACATGCTTTCTCTGTTCAAACGCTGATGATCGCCTGGCGCGGTGAATGCAAAGGAATTTCACCTTGAGCTCGACGGCAGAGATGAAGCCACTCCGATTGGAATCGTATTTCCGCCAAATCTAAGAGACACCCGCAAAGGATAATAATGATTAAAAGCACAGCAGGAAAGCCAATAATGAACACCATTTCAAACACACGTGGCCACAGAAACTCAAAGGGATGCACAATCATGATTTCCATTCTGAAAAAGTATCATTTTTACTGCCAGGTTCCTTAAGCAAATGAACACATTGAGAAGGATTGAGTTAAACAATCTGGAATTGGACACGTACAGTAGCATAGCCTAAACGCAGGGCTGAATCTCTCGTGTTTTTGGATTGCTCGTAAACTGAGGTGTGGTACGGGACTAGGAGCTATCACCAGAGTGGGATGCATCATGGATGGAGTGTGCCGAGTGCATAAATATAGTCCGGGTCACTGACATGGACAGACCTCTTTATAGAAGTGTAAACTGTGCAGAAAGAGCAAAATCTGAATAATGTAAATGTAAGATAGGAGAAATCTTCGTTTATCAAGATTTCTCCTATCTTACATTTACATGCAAATTTTATCTCTAGCCCCGCCCACTGACCCTTGGGCTACACCCATCTGAAACCTTTATAACTCCCTGCCTTAGCAGCGCTCCCGCAATATATGTTTTCCTGCTTCAGCAGCTCTCACCTGATGACGATTGCTTGTGTTGCGATCGAAACGTCGTGATATTGTGATTATTTTTATTATTTTTTTCTATCTACGTGGCTTTACCGAAAGACCCAAAGAATATGAATTCCTGCAGTCACGAAAGCTTTAAGTCAAGATATAAGCTATGATGCACAGGGGTAATGTCTCTGACAAAACTCTACCAATTGTGTAATTAGAATGGCACATTGTCACATGTCTTATGATCCTTATACTAAATTGTGCAGCTGTGCCCCGACAAAAGTGGCATGCCAATGCAAGGCGCCCAGCTCTGCCAGGGCATCGCTGCTAAACACACTCGCAACGGGTCATGAGACATTAAATTTCACACACCCGACTGCCTTGTTTTCCCAAAAGGTCAAGCTATGGGAAAGGAAAGATCAAAATCTAATTTTTCCCCTCCATTTCTGTATTGTTTCCAGCGCCTTTCAGTGCTGCACAATGCTCTCAGCAGAGGCTTATTCCTGTGGTGCCCAAATCAATTCCCACCCCGAGTACAGCAGCCTCGAGTGGATCTCAACCCTCCGAGTTAAACCCTGCAATGGCTTTAACCTTTTCGCTCCCGATCCCCAGATTTCAGGATTGACATTTAATGATGACGAGCATTCCACAAACATCATTATATGCTCACAGGTGCACAATCGTATGACTGTCACGACAAAATGCAAATTACCTCTGTGATTTATTGCACTGAAATCTGTTACAAAATTACACGAGTGCATTTTATTGCAGAAAGAGTTCAGGTTGTTTTTATTTCTTTAAACCGCAAGCCTCCGCTGAGTGCTTTAGCTTGCAGGATTTCTGGCGTTTGGGTGCAGCCAATTTTTGAACTGCATTGTATGGATTACTGAAAGTTATTCAGTGGGCTGTATTAATACACCCAACGTCAGCCTTCTCATTCCGTCGCGGTTAAAAGGGTTAAAGGATAAAATCTGACTTTCGAAATTTTAAATGAGACTGTGGCGTGATGCACATTTGTGGGTGTTTGCCTACCTGGCTTTGGCAGTGAGCACGTGAAAGAGCATCGTTATTCCCTGGCCTGTTGCCAGCCAATGATTTTTTTTTAGGTGCTCTTACTTTCCCATTCTGTTTAAAGATGTATCCTTAAACATAAGAATGGATGGGGCTGGAGCATGCCATTCCTTTAATATTCCTACTGGGATGTGATGAGAGGTATCGTTTTGTATCAACGAGGTACGACTCTCCACAGCATGGCAAGCGAGGGCACATGAAAGCAGTTTAAACGATTACTGCCCAAAGTTTACTTCCATTGCAACTGCTACTGGCACCTGTTAGATCCATAAGGGTGCAGGGTGTAGTGGGATGGTGCAAGTCTGTCTCAGTCAAAGATCCCGGAAATGTATTTCTGTACCCGGAACACGACATGCAGTATCCCTCTCACTATGACTATGGCTACTTACCTACTCCAGTGACCAGGAATATATTTGGTGAGAAATTAAGCCCTGGGTGTTGAAATTACAAAACATCAGAACCATTGATAAATCATGTAATGTCTTTTGGTGACAATTTCCACGTGGCAGTGGAGTTTGGCCACGCGTCATAGACTTTTATTGGAGTCTCTGTTGTATTTTTGGAAAATTTACTTACCCTGCCAAAACCCCCTGGGGTCCATCCAAGTTACATGTGGTACTCAATATTTCTTGGCTTGAAGGAATCAATTTTTTCTGTTAATATTTCTAGCGGGCAGCTGTATGTTTCGTTATCGCTCATACCAGCGCATTGGAGAAACTCGCATCTGTGTTACGCTGTCAGTTGATGCTTTGCTTTCAGTGGGAATGGTAACCGAAGAGATTACATTGGCACGATTGGATTAAGGATTGTTATCCTCAGTTCTGTTGTGTGTTGTCATGCCCATTATCATATGGATTATGCTTATTTTGCCTTAAAAATGTGAACATCAACCAGGGTGCAAATGTCACAAAGGTATTTTTGAAGATTTTTGCATTTTGAAGCTCCTGGAAATTGAAAATTCTTCACTGCCCTAGGGTAAGATTCACTGATTCTGTGTACATGTATTTTGTATCATATCTCAAACATATTTGTTTAATAAGTCTTTTAATAAACAATTAACTTGGTTGAATTGTAAAGTGCTTATCAAGGGATTGTGCATGAAAGAAGCTGTGTAAATGCAACCATCTTATGTAAGCACATAATTCCACAGCATATATATTTGTTAATTATTTAACACCTACCATTAAGAATATACACGTAATATATAGTGGGCTTTACCTACTGTCTACCAAATATATTGTCACACTACAAGGGAGGTAAATGTTCACTGATGATGGTGATCGTGTATTATAAATGTTTAGCTTGAGACTTAAAGCGACTGAGAACTTTAGACTGACCCTGCCCGATGAGTGAAGTCAAGGGAATAATTTTTGGGGGGACAAATTAAATGTTGTTTCTATTACAAGTTACAGGCGTAGCCTCACCTACGCTTGTATTACTAGTCACAGGTGTAGCCTCAACTACACTTGTATTACTAGTCACAGGTGTAGCCTCAACTACACTTGTATTACTAGTCACAGGTGTAGCCTCAACTACACTTGTATTACTAGTCACAGGTGTAGCCTCAACTGCACTTGTATTACTAGTCACAGGTGTAGCCTCAACTGCACTTGTATTACTAGTCGCAGGTGTAGCCTCAACTGCACTTGTATTACTAGTCACAGGTGTAGCCTCAACTACACTTGTATTACTAGTTACAGGCATAGCCTCAACTACATCTGTGCAACATTTCAACTTTCTAGTTCTTCCAGAAAATTATTAGAAATTACATCTTGCCACTCAGTCAGTGGATCGCAATTGTCTATTTAGCAGTAACGTGACATTTCAGAGAACCTTCCAATATGCCTGTGGATAATACACTCTAAGGGCAGGGAATTTGATTGACTTTGGTATGACGTATATAATCCTAACATATGTGCCATTATTTGATTAGTGCTATAAAAATTACAAAAAGGCACCTTTCAGTGCTATTTGAGCTTTTCAAAGGAAATCTATTTTACATATGATTAATTCTGTGATTTTCATGAAATGCATAACCAAACCTTCACGAGAACGTGATAAGTATATGTTAATCTAAAGGAAAACATAATCACGTGATTTTTGTAAGTGGCATTACAAACTAATCCCCTGATTGGTTTCCATCGCGAAATAAAGTGTTGTAGATGTAATCAGATAGAATATTGGTGGAATATATGTGGAGGATGAAGGAAGGGTGGCTTTCCAATGTTCTTTTTTGGGTTGCACCATGTATGGCTTGAAAACAAAACGCGAAAACACATCAGAAAATAGGGCAGGAATTAGAGTGAACGACCAGAGATTGGTGACTTCAGAAAATATATTAAGCCAGTGTGTTGATGACAATGTATAAGTAGACCCTCGCTTGTTGACTGTGTCCAGGATCTGGCAGGAGGAACGAAGCGATGGTGAAAAGTGGTGGCGTCAATCACATATGCCGTGATGACCTCTTGACCTCATTAGCAATAACACGTATTGACATGGGACCTGGCTTGTGGCCTCACCTTCATGAACTCCACACTATTGTCCAGCTTGAGCTGCCGACGGAACAGCAGCAAGAAGTTTTCATCCTCGGGCAGGATCATGTTAGCCAACTGCAGAGCAAAAGTGATTTGTAAACGAGAGAGATTGGGGTGGGGGCAGGGTAGACTGATGTTGCCTTGTTACATTTTTTTTTAAACGTGTTTTTTAAATTAAACAGCAACTTGTTACGGCATCATGATTGGGAATTGGACAGCGAATTACAGGGTTAAAGGTCGTGAGCACAAACCCTTGTTGCATGTCTATGTGTGGGGGTATGGGGGGAAGGAGATGGGGAGGAAATAAGCTGGGCGCTCAGGGCAGAACCAATCTTAGCCGTCAAAATAAAAGTGACGACCCCTGCATGCCCTCATTTATTCTCTGCTGCCGCCCTCAACCACCACTCCCCACCACCCTGCAACCCTGCAACCCAGCGAGCCCAGCAGCCTCTGTTATGGATCAACCTAAGAATCATACCTGTGAATTGTAAACCTTACAGGGGTGTATAAACAGTGATGATGACAAAGGTGAATTGGTCACGCACAAGGGAATGGATTTCCCAGGGGATCTTTCCACGGGTGCAAAGAATGAGTATTTACATGCTTCAATGCAGCAAATAACATTCTCGCCCCTACTCTGAAGCCGTAACGCGCATTCAAAATCAAAGTATAAATGAAAAAAAATTCATGAGATCGCCGAGTGGTTCATAGGTCATAGCACTGAGTCAGCACAGCTACGATCCTGGGTTCAAATCAGAGCAAGTGCCGTGATTAAACTGGGTTCTCAAATGCAGTGAGTTGATGGTCTCAGCCTCGACATTGATGACTGCCCGACAAATATTAAAATTAGATTTTAGTTAATTTGGTCAAATACAGATTTGGAAATTTAGGATAACATTGAGACTTTTTTTTATGATAAACAATGCCATAGCAGAGTGTATGGAAAAAACGTGCACCCAACTGTGCAAAAGATAAAAGGCCACTTAAAGGATTTTTCAGAAATCCTGTGAAAAAAATATCTTGTGCAGCCCTACTCTGAGAAGCTCTGAAATTTATTTTTCATCTCATGCCTGATGTCGATAGCACAATGTAAATAAATTGGGGGGGGGGTGGAAGAAATTTTTAAATACATGAAAGAAAGAAAAAATAAATGTTATATCTTTTCATAGTTATGCTGCTGTTTTATTTGATGCTTTCACCTGCAGTTCAATGCTCTTTGCTGTGTGCATACACAGTGCAAGTCTTATGGGCTCTGGTAGCTCTTTATTTTTATATAAGCGACGCGCTCACCTCCTCGATCTCCAGCTTCCCGTCAGCTGTGGCATCGTAGATTGACATGAAGCGATTCCGCAGGCTCCGGACCTGAGCATCAGTTGGGTTGCTCTAGGAAGGCAAAGAGCGGCACGGAACACAGCAGGAATAACCATAATTACACACAGCAGTGTCCACATAATGCATGGCAGAAATACCCAACTACTGCACACGACATGCAGTCTTAAATTAAGTCCATTAGCCCAGATGAGATATTTTACTTGTCGGTACCACCTGAGGCAACAAATGTATTTGTGTGGCCAAAAACAGTGAATTATGCGATAGCTATTTGAAATGACTGGGGTGACAGACAATTCATTCACTCGTATTAACCATGATGTGATACTCATTTCTGCTCCGTACCAAGCTGCTGTCATTGCCCCTTAATGAACACTGATTTAATGTAAATAGCAGCTAAGGGAATGTTGTACCTCAATTGTTTTATGCAACTGATCCCTGGCCTGTAAGCGTATGTGTGGCAGAGGTGGCCAAGTCGTTCAAGGGTCAGAGCACGGAGTTGGCATCTCTGAGATCCTGAGTTCAAGGCTGGGTTTCAGCCACCCATTATTAAACTGTGTTGGGATAGTGAGTTGATGGTCTCTGCCCAGTCATGAATGAATGCACACAAAAACATTTTCCAATCATATAAAATTAGATTTCCCACTGAATTTGTCTAAATTTCAGCTCTTCGACTTAAAATGCTGTACTAAGGAAGGTGGCTGGTGGATTCAAACTGTGAACCTCTGCAACAAGCAGTACACGTGGTACCGCTAGGCCCCATCACTACCCTTCTCACAGCAAAACGCTGATAACAGCACAATTGGAAAATTATTTTGGGAAAATGGCATACGTGATATTTGAGTGATAGGGGCGGTGTTACCAAAGGTCATTGTGGTTGTTGTTAGGAGCCTCTAAAGCTCACTATGGCGTCCCAAGTGCCGCTAGGTGAATCAATATCTGACCACAACCTCTTAAAGGCAGGGTTCCTAAGGTTAGGTTTTTTTTCTCGTCTGTAGTGATCGATTGTGATGAAGCACCTGTGTGATTTTGGCTGAAGTCACCTATTCATGCCGTATAGTATACAGGTGGTCACAGTCTGTCCGCAATTGAAGAGAGTGCCACTCAATCGAGGCTGATCTCACATGAGAGAGCGTGCACTCTGCCTGCTTTGGGAAAATATGCCCCGTGGAGTTTGAAAATGAGGACCAAGTGAAGCCACCTGCTCCAGTACAGTTGTAAATCTGGAGTAATACGAGATCCTCAGAAAACTCTGCACATAGCCCTGGTTAATGTGGACCAGTGTTCTTCACTGCAAGGCCCGCGGACCACTGGCAGCCGCTGGTGGCCTTTAGTACGTTCCACGACAATACACAAATGTGAAAACACCCCATCATGCTGTCAAACCCAATGGTTTAAGATGTGTGGCGGACGTCAAACTGATGATGTCTTATCGGCTAAAGTGGCCCCCTCTGAAAATTAGTGAAAAACACTGATGTAGATAATACATGCTGGCGAAGTAAAACTTTTTAACTTGACTTTTAACTGTTCACTCAATGTGCATTGCACATGATACAGTTTGCCCTCTTGGGCTGAGGATTTTAGTGACTGTGCCTCTCGTGCTATACCATTAACAACGTGCAACAGTTCCTGTTCAATCCACTGCTGGCTGGGTGAAGGCCGCCCTATGCTGTATCAGTCATGTAGATTGTTTGACCATTGCTTGATCATGCTGGTCAGTGCTGGTTGGTAAAGGAGGCGATGGTCCAGAATTGGTTCAAATATCACTTGCCACTAATGTCAGCCATCGCTAGAAATGTAACTTTTGTTACCGGTTATTGTATTTGTGTAATGGGTTTTACGGAGGCACACACTGGGAGGCAAATTCTTAGGTTTTTTCGGTAAAGTCACGTAGGTAAAACATAAAAATTAATAAAAGTAAAATAAAATAAAAATCACGACGTTTCGGAGGCAACACAAGTCTCCGTCATCAGGTGGGACCGTCACAGCCAGATTTGCTGCATCAAGTGAGGCAATGATTCAAGATGTAATCCCTTAAATGCAAGTTGAGGGGGGAGGAGGGGGAGCTCATCAGAATGTGGTAGCCAATGAATGGAACGTATCGGGAGGGAGGGGGGCGGGGCTCAAAGAAGGCACGAAGTGCTACGTAGAACGTATCGGGAGGGGGAGGAGGGCGGGGCCAAAAGGATGGACGACGTGGTACACGACGTGGCCCCGCCCCCCTCCCTCCCGATACGTTCCATTCATTGGCTACCACATTCTGATGAGCTCCCCCCCTCCTCCCCCCTCAACTTGCATTTAAGGGATTACATCTTGAATCATTGCCTCACTTGATGCAGCAAATCTGGCTGTGACGGTCCCACCTGATGACGGAGACTTGTGTTGCCTCCGAAACGTCGTGATTTTTATTTTATTTTACTTTCATTAATTTTAATGTTTTACCTACGTGACTTTACCGAAAAAACCTAAGAATATGAATCCTTGCAGTCACGAAAGCTTCAAAACTGGGAGGCAACACGTTTATTCTAACACCCCGACAGGGTAACTGCATAAACGTACGGGATAACGACATAGGTGGTGACTACCACGAGTAACTCAGACCACAACGAGGTAACTACATAACTGGGTCAGTCAGTAATGCACTGCCTGACCCTCGAAGCCGCGTGTAATGACCGAAGACCGAAGAGACGTAGCGCGGCGTGTTGATTCCAGAAGACAGCCACGATTGTTCTCGGGACCTCCCTTTGATGCTCCCGAGTGTGGCCTCGCTCCGCCGAGCACCACATATCCCTCAAGCCACCCTTTGGGCACCCTCACTACCCTGTCCCGGTCACGTGCCCTCTTGCGTTCATCCAGACTGTCACGTTATTACTTGCCCTCACTCTGACCGTCACCAGAAACATGTCCCCTAGGGCCCGCTCCCATGGCATACCCACTCTGGTGCCAGAGAGAGTCTCAAGATGCACAGTTCCACTCTTGTGACAGTAGCTAGCGCTAACCGCCATAGTGACTCCATTTACCTCATTATATGTGTGGTGTGGTAAAATACGCGGTGCGCACTGCTGACCGAGGGTAACCGATGGCAGGCAGGTGCACGTGTGCAACGTAAGGTCGCACGAGCAAACCTCCCCCTCATTAACGGGAGAATCTGTTGCAGATGGGGTAGGCCCGGGGTTGTACACTGGCACTGGAGGTGTCGCCTTGGAGACGTACGATAAGGGGTGAATGATGGCCTGACAGGCGCCAACCTGTCTGGCCCTAAAGAGACACAAGGGAGGAGCTGGATAATTGGGAGAAGGATATAAGGGGGTGCGTGAGAGAAGAGCGGGAGTTCGGGTTGCTGGGACCAAGGTGAAGACATCTCGCCACTGCTGCTCAAGCCAGGAACGGACCTCAACCCTCATGAGTCGCCGGGCGGGTGATGGTTGAGCCACCTGCCCGAATCGGACGAGTGAGTGGGTCTGAGGGAGAGCAACTGTGTGCAAGCTCTGTGTGAGCGAATCCTCTGTGTGAGCGAAGCCTCTGTGTGAGTGAAGCTGGGTGCAAGCCTCTGTGTGAGCGCAGCTGTGTGCAAGCCCTGTGTGGGCTGCCGTCTGTGTGCGGAGCTGTGTGTGCAGAGCTGCTAAGAGGAAGAGCTGCCACAGGCAGGTCAGCGAGGTGTAAAGTTGATGGGAGAAGTTGGTTAACAAAAGTGACTGTATAGACAGAGACAGGAGTGCCTACAACTAAAGCAAGAATAGGGTAATAAAGTGTAAGCAGGTGACTTGTAACAACGTGTCCGACAGTAATTTTAGAAGACACTACATTTGGTGTTAGAAGTGCCAACGAACCTTCGGCCGCCACTCACCTGTTTGAGCAGATGATGGCCATGTCGACCACCGGTCTTCCAGGGCGCGCTTCCCGCCACTGTCGGGTCCAAGGCATCGCCATTTCGGAGGCTACAACTAGGCTCTGCGCGTCCTCTATTTTACGTGATTGGCCCACACCGCAGCAGCAGCTTCCGCCTCAAGCTGGAGGACGCCTCCAGTCTTCGACGACTGCAGCCGGTATGCTAGTTCATAGCTGGAGGGCGATTGGACGGCCTTTCTTCGTTGGTTCGAGGCTGCCTACATCTCGGTGGGATGGACACCTAGCAAAGCGCTCCGAGCTCTTCCCATGGCCCTCGACGACGACTCGCTTGCCGCCTTCTTCACCATCCCTGAGGCGGATAGAGCGACCCTCACATGTGCCTACACCGAGATGTCCGCTATCTACGACCCCCCGTCTAATGTGCATGGAAGATTCCGCCTGCGACGAAGGGGCAAAAACGAGATGCCGTTGGCGTTTTGCAGAGCTCTCCTCACTTTGGGGGCACGCGGCTTTTCCGAAAATTGACAGCCAAGCGCTGGACTCTCTCACCTTGGAGCGACTTCTCTCCGTGGCTCGGGAGTTGGGGGTCACCCTCGTGGTGACGGAGTATGACAACCTTACCTCCCTGCAAGTGGCCCGCGGCATCCAGACACACCTCGACCTCAACGACTATCCGGCGGTGGCGGTCAGCGCATTGGGGCCGGATGCGGACGCACTCGGGGGTGCCTCCTTTGACCGGGGGTTGGAGGAGAGGGGTGCTGCACAGCGCCCGCAAGTGCGGGAATGGCGCCCCAGGCTGCGCCAACCAGCCGGGTGCCCCTACTGTACCTGCTACAAATGCGGCTGTGCGGGACACATCGCCATCGACTGCCGCTGCAGGACCAGAGGGTTCCTGCCGCATCCATCCTACGGCTCCGACTCCTCTTCCCGCGACGTACAGGCGAGTCAGACACACGGCCATCCTTGTCCCATAGGTCGCGTGCGGCCTCAGTCTGTAACATCTCATCCCGTCGCGAATTGTACACGGGGTGCACGTTCGTTCATGTGTGGCCACGTGGCGCCAATCGGTGGGACACGTTGGCTCATCGTGTTGTGTGCGCCGTGGCAGGTTCTTCAATAATTGAGGGGCTGATTCAGGGGATTCGAGTTCGGTTGTTGGTTGACACGGGGGCCGTTGCGACTATGGTTTCTGAGGCTGTGTTCCACACATTGCCTTTGTCATCCGATCCTCTTGCCCCTGTGGAGAAGGCTTGTGTTGCGGCTAACGGGGGGAGCATGGGTATTCTGGGGCAAATATCGGCCACTGTTCAAATTGGGGAGATCCTTTTGGAGGTTCAATTTTGGTGTCACGTACGTTGGCCTTGCTCTGTTTGTTGGGCACCGATTTTCTGAGGAGGATGCCCTTGAAAATCCTAATCGACCAGGGATGCATTGAATTACCATCAGGGCAGCGGTTGCAGTTCCTACATTCCCCCGGTCGATGGCCGTTGCAGAACACCGTCGTTCACGCGATGTCTAGCCAAACCGTTAAAGTACCTGTGCGTTCAAATGCTCGTGCCACTGCGGTTGCGCAGAGAGTTGCCTTGACCCGGACCGGAGGAGGGGATCCTAATAACCCCGTCTAATGTTGTCTCGTGGTCCCCTTTGTTAGTGGGGGTTATGACGGTTGTGTCCACCATGCAGACACTGTTTCTGCAAGTGTTAAATGCGGGACACGCGCCGGTTGTGATTAAAGCGGGTATGGTCCTTGCACACGCTTCAGCAGCCCGTTGTCTTGATGATGCGGGGCCAGCTCAATTGGTTGCAGGAAACGTCGGTGAAGCTGATGAGCTGAATTCTGCGTGGTTGGAATCCCTGTGCTCTGAGAACCCTGCACTTATGGTAGTGCAGCGAGCTCAGCTACGCCGGCTTTTGAACGATTTTTCAGATGTTTTTAGCACTGGCAAATTTTATATTGGGCGCACTTCTCTCCTCCATCATCACATTAACACGGGTGATGCATCCCCAATTCGGATTAATTCACATTGACTCAGCCCCGCTGAGAAGAAACAGGTGTGTCTGGCTGTTGACGAGATGCTGGCAGCAGATATTATTGCTCTGTCGAACAGCCCGTGGGGAGCGCCCATTGTCCTAGTAAAGCAGCGTGATGGAAAGTTTAGATTTTGCGTTGATTTTCGCAAATGAAATAAGATATCTATGGCAGATGCATACCCCCTGCCTCATATGGACGACTCGCTCGATGCATTGTCGGGGGCGAAATTCTTTTCGACACTCAATTTATTGTCTGGATTTTGGCAATTGCCCCTCGACGACAAGTCGAAACCAAAAACCGTTTTTCGTACGCCCCAAGGCCTTTATCACTTCAATTGCCTTCCAATGGGATTGAATTCAGCACCGGCCACCTTTCAGCAGTTAATGGAGTTGGTCAGGGTAGGAATTTCTCCTTGAAATTGCTCCAGGAGGTGTGCGAGTCCTTGGGCATGCAAAAAATACGCACCTCACCATATTATCCGCAAACTGACGGGATGGTTGAGCAGTTGCATAGAACCCTCACCGCTATGCTATGCCAGAAAGTGACTGAGGGACAGTCGGATTGGGATCTGCACATCCCAGGGGTCCTTGCGGCTTACAGACTCGCACTCCCCATGCCTCGACGGGGTTCTCACTGTTTTATTTGATGTATGGGAGGGAGCCCGAACCCCCTGAGCAAGTTCAGTTGGGATTGAGCCCCCCGCGAAAAGTTTCAGCAGTGCCTGACTCCATGTTGAAAACGCTGGAGCAGCTGCGGTTGGGCCGCGAAGCCACTAGGGGCAACTCGGCCCGCAAACAGGCCTGTAACGAGCGGCTAAGGGGTCAAAAAGGGCCAGGAATACCCTGGCAAGTGGGGGACAAGGCTTGGCTACATTGCCCCCAGGTGCCTGTGGGCACGTCCTCGAAACTGTATCATCCCTGGCACGGACCCGTCGAGGTCATTGAGGTTCGGCGGCCACATTGTGTGCGTATCCGATTGGGCCGGCGGCACTGGTTTGTGCATCCTGTGCAATTAAAAACATATGTTCCGTCCGGTCCGGTCGATTCATCCCTACATCCCTGCCGGCTGGTGTCTAATGCACCTGGTGCGCCGACCGCCACGCCTAAAGTAACAGGTCATGAGGAGGAATGTTCTGTACCGCCTACAGGGCCGGAGGACCTAAGGACCATGGACGGAGCGTTGCAGACTCCCTCAGCGGACCACTCACACTTGGAGACAGGCCTGCTGCACATACTCGTTCACGACGCATCGTTTTTCGTGAATTCTCCATTCCCTTGTTCTTGTTATTGTTCATGGTCACTGCTTATGATTTTCTTGTAGTTATGGGTCGGTCACTAGTCACAATAGAGTTGTGTTAGGGGTTGTCATGTTGCCTGCACCCAGGTTATATATAATTACAGCTGGGACAGCTGCGTTTTTATTCGTGGGGGGGGGATGATGTAGTAAGTTCGCACGAGCAAACCTCCACCTCATTAACGGGAGAATCTGTTGCAGACGGGTTCGGCCCGGGGTTTACGCTGGCACCGGAGGTGTTGCCTTGGAGATGTGCGATAAGGGGTGATTGAGGGCCTGTCTTATATTCTGCCCAAGCCCACTTTTTTCCTTTCAGCCGATTTGTTTTTACTTACTCGACTTTTTAGCAATATATTTTAATACTTTATCAAAACAGCATCAAATTTTATGACATCCCTCCCCAAATGTCAACACGTCCTGTAATGTTTTTGTTGTTGTTAAACTGACAATGATTTGGCTGTGACGCTGGCTCGGATTGTCACTGTGGAACTCTGATTAGTGTGAAACATCCTGTCCCGTTCTGCACTATCCAAAATTGTGAAAAACTCCCTATTCCAAGAAAAGCAATCATTATTTCTTACACGGTTCAATATCAGAAAAGTTTCCAAATAAAATATTACTGGCTCGACTGTGTTTTGTTTCGTTTAGTGTAATATGAGCCTGTAAAGTTTGATCTCCTAAGGTATTTAAGTGGGGACATGCTAAAGCACAGGTCAATCAATGTCACTCAAGTGGACGATTAAACATCATGCAACAGATTTAATCATTCAGCTGCAAGATTTTCCATGCTTTAAATAGTTTTCCCCATAAAAGTAGATCACAGTCCTTTGTCCTTCCACTGCTGGATGAGATACTCTCCATACTGTCAGCCATGCAGTGCTATTTGAGCATATTTCACCACGCTGGTTAGTATTGGTTGATGAAGGTTGGTGAAGGTTACTTGAGCCTCATAAATGTAGACTAAGGCAGACCTGAGATATTTTCTGTAACTTTGTTACAGCAAATATGTAAAAAAGTTAAGTAGTTAAAGTTAAGTACACAAAAAAAATCGTTCCATGTAGTTGACATGAGATGAAGCCTGGAGAAATTGTAAAAAATTATTGACATAATTAACTATATTAATTGTTTTAATGAGGTGCAATGTAATGCAATTACAGCAATATTGACACCCAGGTTCTGAGTGACGGTCATCCTGGACTGCTTCCAATTGCTCTCGACTCCCAATCCAATTCCGGATCAGTTTCAAGATCGCACTCAGTCTTCAAGATCCACCGTGGACTCATGCCTGTCTACCTCTCGACTTGCATTTTACTCCACTCCCCTCCACACAACTCTCCAGCAGCCAAAGGTTTCTGTCGAGGCCCTCAGTCAAGCTTCAATCGGTGGGATGGTGCTTATACTCCTCTCCTGGCCGGTGGTGAGATGTTAACTACCTTGCTTGGCATGCAGGAGGTGGTGGATTCGATGCTGACCCTAACACCTGTATATTTGGAGTTTGCATGTTATTTCATGGTCGCGTCAATTTTTCTCCAGGTCCTCCGGTTTTCCCCTCCACATTTAGAATAAAAATACGTTTCGCGTATTTGGCTGATATACATTTCCATATGATGAGCCACTTCGTTGAGCTATCATTTGTGGCAAGGTTGCTCCTGAGAAAAAGCTATATAGCTCAGTGGGCCTTACCTGATTAAATAAAAAAAAACAGTTTCGTTTAAAATACCTGCAACTCCCTTCTCTGAGCAATCCATGCTGTCCAAGTCCAAGCTCAAGATCTTCATTGTCCAGCTGCACATAACGGATTGCCTCTCTCCATATATATGAAACATATGCCCACTGTTTCTGTACAGAATCTTAAAATGTGGTCGCATTTAGATGCTATATAAATCCACATTGTGTTTCCTTATCTTGCTCATACCTCTGCTCCGAATGTCTTGACAAGATGTCTGAAGAAGTCATCAAGCTCCTTGCCTTCAATATAGCCATTGTCTGGGAAGACAGCGACATTTATAGTTTAACATATGAACAATCGATTCCGTTTCTTGGCGCAAGAGTAATTGATATTGGAAAAACAAGTGAAACTTTTTTGGAAGGATCAGATGAACAACAGCTGTCTCCCGAGAGGATAAGATAATCTTTGCTTTAAAACCCCACAGTGGTGGTGTTAATCTTAATACCTTATGATTAGTAGTGGTGACACAATGTTAAGCACACTGCACCTCACCGCATTGTGCACATAGCCATGGCTAACATCAGGAGCGAGTGATATCTGAACTGGTCCTGGCCTTCACCCAAGCGTGGTGAAAGCATGGTAAAAAAAAAAACACCCAGACGTGGGCCGTGCATGCTAATGTCACATGCTAGTTAATGGAGTGAACAAAACGGTGAAAACGAGACCAAAGCGAATAAAAACTTTACTCGAACCGTGATCACAATCATAGCAATCACATATCTGTTTGTGATGGGAAGGTGAGGGGAAGGTGCAGAGAGCGGGGGCCTGTGGGTTGTCTTGGTATGGTCTGGGACTGTTGTTGCTATTGTTTTACTGCCTTTTCCAAACTTGATGCAATCAGAACGTATATACTTTCTTTATTTGTTTAAGGTGCGCCACGGTGGGGTGCCGTTATCTTTCTCGCATGGTATGCAGGAGGGTGTGGGTTCGATCCCGACCCTGACGCCTGTACATTTGCAGTTTGCATGTTCTCCTCGTGGTCACGTTGATTTTTTTCTCCGGGTCCTCGGGTTTTTCCCTCCACGTTTAGAAACATGCATTGAGATTATTTTGCTGCTATAAATGTCCAAATGATAAACCACCTTGTTGAGCTATCATTTGGGGCCAAGTCGCTTCTGAAGTGAATACCTCAATGAACTTTGCCTGTATGTGTTTGGGCGATTTGTTTACCTTTCTTGTACTTCGCACTACTATCGTGCTTTTGTATTGTTTGTTGTTATAACGTTCTTACCCGCCCCTACTGGACTTCTGTAAAAAAAATAGCTTAATAGCTCATCGAATTCCTCCAGGATAAATAAATATTCTGATTATGTGAATCGTTGCATGTGTAATACTGCATATTTAATAGAAGCAATTCACACATGCGGCGCAGCACATCCAGTACACATCTCACTGTGACTGTGGCCACGATCAGCATACTGCAATAAATAGAGTGAGAAATTAAGCCCTGGTAATATATACGGCAGAGCTGCAATTACAGTAAAATGTTATCGTCTTCATCGCAATTATTAATCTCACGTCATTCCTCAACAAATCGGTATCGGAACGCGAGAATCGATCCCCACACGTGGGTGACATGATCGTGCACGGGCACGTGTCAGTAAAGCTGCGCAGGGTGGCACACGCGGGATCCGGCTTCATGTGAACGCCACCCTGTTATGCCCGCCGCCGTCTACTTGTGTAAACGATCTCAATGTTTCGTGTTCATGAATATCTATCGTCTGTGGTCAGGTCAACGGCATGCGCGGACGCGGAGTGGTCACAACAATGCACAGCAGCTACGATTGTAATTCCGCATTAAGTTAATAATGTACAGTACAGTTCTTTGCTCGATGAGGGGCTCCCCACACTGTGTCGGTCAAGGAGCCGCATTCGTTTTGACCATACTTGACCATGTTGGTCTGTGCCGTTTGGTGAACGTTGTGGTGGGAGATGGCGGTGGGCAAAGTCAGTTCAGATTTGGCCAGGGTTTGAATGGTGTGCCCGCTTCGGTTTGTAGCGCAGTGTGTCAAACACTGCGCCACCACTCCTCCACGTGTGCATGGTATACGTGGTCATCACTTTATAACAACAGTACCCTTGAGACTATGATTATGTAGGCAGGCGTGGTGGGGGGGGCTTAGATATTACTTGCCACTGATGTTAGCCTGGGCTCGAACTTAGGTGTCCGCTTTTTAGACCATGGCTTCCCTAGGTTTGTGAATGACCAAGGCTCCGAGAGCCACACTTATGCAACTCTAAGATCATTAGAAAAAAATTACGCATTTGTCAACAACAGTACCATAAAATGACAAATACATAATGCTTTGTGTGCTATGAAAAAGGGGCATTGCCTGATTAATAGGCGCCTATTACATATATATGTGTTTCCTTTAAGGTAGTGTGATTGACGAATATGTTGAGTTTGTGTTATTTTTGCTTTGTGCACTACTGCCAATGCAGTATCATACATTTTGTAGAATTATTAGGATTCATTGTTAATATCTGAAACATCCTGAGCGAAAACAATGCTCCCTTGTGATTCTTAGGAGTTACATAATAATTACCGCGCCTCATATAGCCACACTAAGTCACCCCTATGATTATGAGGATTCAGTGTTGATCCCAGATGCTCGGATTAGGATACGTTTATGATCGTTCGGCATTCACTGACAATGCCCGAGGCTCGCAGTCAATTTCGAAAGTGCTACAGACGCTAATTAACCACAACCACAACAAAACCACGCCACCCATGCCACGGACTTTAATATGAACTTCGCTACACGACTCGCTGTGTAGTGTATGTATGTATAACTTATTTCGCACCGTGCATAACCAACCGTGCTGATCGGAGGTGCGCCAGAGCGTAAGCAGAGCATTTTCCCGACCTTGGTCGGTCTAAATTGAACAATTGAACCTCATGGCGGTACCCCGGGGTACCAGAGTACCCCGGCTCTCGCACAATGTCCGTGATGCAGTCACTGTTAGTCTGTTGATGGTCGGCGATGCGGCAATCGACTCATCTCGACGAGCTGTACACGATGCACCACTACTACGGTGCGTACACGCGTTCAGGGTTTCAGCGCAATCGTCCTCGCTGCGTTTAAACATCGTAGAGTGTGGCGCCGATTTCGGATTGATTGGTACCCCAGTCGCGGAGCTAAGTACATCCCTGGAAAAAATTGTGTCCCAAAAATAAAGTATTTAATTGCCTCGGCCATGTTGTATTATGCGGTATCCCATGCTACCGCCATAAGGATCAATTCCCGTCAGCCAATCTACGGAATGTCCCTGCCCAGGTGCGATGGTGGCGGTGGTGGTGGCGCTTACCCTGCCAGATGCCCGTCCCTGGACGCTCGGTATACACTGTACATCACCAGTGGTCGAGTTGTCAGAACTGAGTAATTGTGTTCACCGCTTTTCTTAAGATAAAGGGATTTTCACCTTAAAACCAGGGTTTAATTCAACATCGTACATACATATTTCACACGAATAGATGCATTTGATGAGGCGGACGTCAATGGCACGTAATAATTATCATAGTCATCTGTAATGTTCTATCAACTGCTGGATGAAGGCTTATCCAAGCGGTCGTACTTAAACAATAATAATAAATCTCATCCGTGTGTCAATCCACTGCTGGATGAAGGCCTCACCCCACGCGGTGTCGGTCAATGGGAGTTGCTTGACCATACTTCACCACGCTGGTCAGTGAAGGTTGGCGAGTGTCGGCGCGGGGGTGGGGTGGGGACTGGCTGGAGATTCGGTTCAGATACCACTCGCCGCTGGCGTGTTGGCCCTTGGCCGTGGCCGGGATCACAACCCGATTGGCCCCTGGTCCGAGCGAGGTGAGATAACCACTGCGCCACTGCTCCCCTCCCGACTCCCCGAATGAATAAAACACTACGCAGTGGCGTGACCACAATTGCGCAATTCGGGATGCAAACGCGGATTTACGGCGCAAACGCGCAGGTTGTATGCAATGACTGCTGCATTTTTCGAGAGCAGTTATCGCCGTTTCAACTCAAACAAGTGGCCTCTGCCAATGTGTGTTCACAATGTTTTTTCACGCGTTATTGTTCCTGCTTGCCGCCCTTTAAGGACGGAACGATGCTAGAATAATTTCCTAAGCGCGAGTCTTTCTTCAATAGCCTATTGAAAAAAGACTCGCGCTTAATAACTTAAAACCATCGCCTATTGACAATAGGCGATGGTTTTAAGTTTCTTAACAATTCCACGTCACTTGCTTATGATGTTCGGTTTTCTAATAAGCGTATATTAATTTGCGGTAACGTAACAAAAAATTAACAACTACAACAATGACAAAATCCACTCGCCGTTCCAGCGAATCGACTGCTGGATTAATGAAGTGTATTTATCAGCGTGGTAAAGTATGGTCAATTACCACACACACACACCGAGTGGTGTGAGCAGTCAACCACCGCCATGGATACGGAGAGGTATGGCAACGCGTGTCTCTACTTGTAAACAGCAATTAATAATTAATATAGCTAAATATAATTGGACACCTTTAGAGATGCCCATTTCATGTCTGACCGTTAGCCTACATTGTATTATTCCAAATAATACAGCGACAATCAAAATGTAATGCACTTATACAGAAACGCATTACTCAGTCTCGAAATAGTTTTTCTCCCTGCATGGGGATGTTTGGCCAATTTCTTTGCGCCGAGTGTCTTGCGTGTAGGGTTGAATGGAATACCCGAAGAAAACACACGCATGCGAGGGTATAACACTCAAAGGTCTGCACAAAGCCTACTACTGCACCTTCCCGAGCACCTTAGCCCAGCCAAATTTTTTTTGGGGGGGGGGGATTTCACAAATCAGCCTGTTCCACCAACCCTTTTGCTTCCACAGGTCAGCGCTTGTGCGCTTGTATATCGTATAAAGCCCGGCTAACAATGCCACACGCGCGCGCGTTCGCCAATTACGAAACCGGAATTGTCCGTCACTATTTAACGCGCATACGAGTCAACATTTCAGACAACGGTCCTCCATCAACGCCGTAAAACAACTCCGAGAATATGTAGGCGACGTTGAAGTATAAAATCGGCACATTAAGTCTGATAACCGCGCAATAAAGTGGAACTTACGTTCTCACAACAGGTACCACCCAAACCATCACATACATTCACACCACCAGCGCCACTACTCCCACGAATGGTGAAGCGAAAAACAATGTGGGTGCGTGCACATGTTCGTGTATGGATGGATGGGCTTTGAGCCCAATCAACACTCACTGTCGGCGTCAAAGCGATTCCAAATCTCGAGGAATTTTTGCGCACTGATGTCTCCGAAGTCAAAATTCGCCATTCCTCCGTGATAGTGGCGCAGAGAGAGAGGAGATCACCTGCAGGTGCCTTTGCTGGGTACACCTGGTAGATGAGTCACTTGATGGATGTGTAGTGGTAGTTAGCGATGGTGACCTTCTCTGGAACTGCGAGCACACCTCAGCACGTCTTATATATATGTGGAGAGACACACACGCACACTGAGCTTGTAGTGCCTGTAGCGCAGAGCCCACTTGAGAGATCAGCGGCACATCTGCGCATGTGTCGCACAAAAGCTGGGGTTCTCAGCTAGGAGATGGAGAGCGGGTGGGGGGGGGACTTTTGGGATTATGGTGGGGGTAAGGAGTGAAAGGCCCTCATCACAACGACCCCCCCCCAACCACCACCCTCGGCTCCCTCGCCACGCGATCATTCCCACCCACATCTCATTGAGCTATATGCGTTGCAGTGCGGGCCCTACTGTATTATTAACGAGGGATAATCTTCTCCCCGAATGCAGGAATGGGTATAGGGTCGTGCTTAGCCATTCATTGCCATTTGGAAGAGGTCACCAGAGGTGGCGGGTGCTGTTGTAATTTTTAGGGACGGACAAGATGCGTGCTAATTTTACAACGCCAAATAATGAAGTTACGGAATGTCCTGGTTTAGCCGGGACAGTTCTTGTGGTTACTGAATGGCTCTGCAGGTGTGCCCCATGAAGCTACCGTGAAAGTTGGAATTTTCTCTCCGGGTTTACAAATCTTTTGGCGGCATGCTCGACTCAAGAAGCGGGCACGGGGCAGTGTTCGATAAAGAGTGGGCGGGGCTACCTGAGCAGTGGGCGGGGCTACCTGAGCAGTGGGCGGGGCTACCTGAGCAGTGGGCGGTGTTACCTGATCAGTGGGCGGTGCTACCTGAGCAGTGGGCGGGGCTACCTGGGCAGTGGGCGGGGCTACCTGAGCAGTGGGCGGGGCTACCTGAGCAGTGGGCGGGGCTACCTGAGCAGTGGGCGGGGTTTCCTGAGCAGTGGGCGGGGCTACCTGAGCGGCGATAACGTCAGAGAGAGGGAGAGGCCCCCCCCCCCCCCTGGGACTGGTTGAGCCTTCCAGACATGGGGAAATCATGTTTGCCATTTAGACTTTAGATACAACGAAAGCGACATATACATTAGGAAAAATACGCAGGTTAAAGGTGACATATTGGGCTTGGGCAGGACACCATATGAGGGATGATGGCCTGTGGTAAGAGAAACGACGGAGTGGCAAGCCAAAGGAGAGAACACGTCAGGCAGGACGCCCACCGTGGAACGATGACATACGCCGATTTGCAAGAGCTCGATGGACTGTTCCATCACGGGACAGTGAGATATGGCGACGGCTTAAGGATGTCTACATCCACCAGTGGATATATCGTGTCTGTGTACATTCCACCAAGAAATGCCCCTTGGGGAAAAAGAAGCGTTAACTCGAGAGCGAGCGCAGCCCGTATTAGCGCCCAGCAGCAGCCGATGTCAACACACGCTCCAATTAGCGCTTAGACGTGAGGGCTGCTGCACAGAGGGATGTTGTGCTTGTGCGTGTAGTCAGTGAGGTCAAAGGTGTCTCGCTCACGTCTGTTGTCGGTGGTGGAACTGCCGTATCCCCACGTCCATGGCATTGCTGGATGAGGGCCTCCTCACGCCAGACGTGAGGAAACCATTGTTGGCCATTATTCACGATAAGCCGGTGAGTGTGGGTTAGTGTGGGTTAGTGAATGCGGGGAGCATAGATGCTGGTGCTAATAACTAAAGTACAGCAATGTATTGCTGCGCTGTTCTACAGCTTTAAATACACCCGGTGTTATGCACAAGTGTAGTCCATCCAAGCACTGCAGGCTAAATGTGCTTAGCTTCGAGATTGGGCCCATTCGGGGTGATTTTGTCATAACCGTATTTCCATGGCAGTAACAATTAAATCCATCTAAAAAATATATCGCTGTAGGCCTCCCACAAAGTGGTACTGATTTTAATCGACCTCGGATTTGAACTCGCAACCTTCCAATTGAGCACGGAGCACACTTGCATGGGCAGGTGATAACAGCCGCATTTTTTTCTATTCCCTGCTCTATTGATTTACAGCACGTGTGTGTGTGAGTGTGTGTGTTTGCCCCGCTGCAAATTAAATGCGATTTTCGCATCATTCAATATCTCATTACATATAGCTCATCCTCCTGCCCCCCATGTCATGTCACTCCGTACGGCTCCATAAATTGCAAGGGCAGACGATGACAATAGAGCAGTGATAATAATGAAAATGCATTGGATGTTATTAGTAGCACGACATTACTGAATAAATCACCAATTATTATCTATCGTCCATTCATCACATTGTCATGGTGTTTTGTTCGAAAGAATATATATACTCTAAAAACATCATCCGTTAAACATTTTTTTTAGATATAAATCATACAGCATATGACCAAATCGTCCTGAATGTGCACGATTTTGTTCAGATCTCTAAATCTCAGATAGGCGTCTGTCTGGCGAGTTCTAACAAGTGTTATAGGCTGCGACAGTACTAACCTGTGTTATGGGCTGCGGACTACGTTGTAGACAGCCGAGAAGAGTGCAGCAAATTGATTTGTTGTAAATGCACTTCTATGTTCCAACGCCGATGCTCCCCACGGGCACTAACCTGCACGGATCCGAATAGTGAATGGTGGTAAAAAAAATCCCCAACGAATTGCGCGCCGTGTGGAGACCCAAATCCAACAGTGGATTAATAAACAGATTGACCATGTACATCGGAATAAGGGATTTCCACCACGAATAATATCTCTTACTCGTAAGTGTAAGCACTAATTGGAGCATGTGTTGGCATTGGTCCGTTGCTGCGAAGCACTCAAGCGAGTTGATTTTTCTTTTCCGATGTGACACTTGGACGTGGCTTGGTACCATGTTATATAATGTATATATCATCAGCAGCAACGACCAATCAACTGCTGGATGAAGGCTTCCCAAATCCTTCACCATCTCTCATGGTCATGCATGCGATGTAACGATGCATCCCATAACTACGCACGAGCTGATTTCATCACTGCATCCCAGCAGCGGAAGTTTTCACGGAGCGTGTTTGGCTTTACTTTGGCTGCCCCCGTGTTGTTTGTCTTGACCACCGGCCATCATCCCTAATAGCGACGTGCCCTGCCTGAGCCCACTTTTCAGTCAATTTGTTGGCTCTATATTGCGGATGTTGTCTGATCTATGTGTTCCTCTTGATGTAAGTCTTTTTCCAAGGATGCGTCTGTCCCTGCCGGGCGGTGGTGGCTACGCAAGTGGCTACGCAAGTGGCATGTAATCCGTCAATGTGGAGGCACGGGTTGCTGGAACGCACAAATGTTGTGAAACTCCCCTCCAGTGGGCGTTGATGTGTCATACTTTGGCTTTCCAGGAGAATGCAGTAGAGCGAAAATGTGTACTTCACCTGTATCGTCAATACGGGATAATGTTTCCCCTTCGCACGCATTGGTTTTCTCCGGGTGCTCCGATTTCTTCCTCCATTTAAAGAATAATTAATTGGCCGATAACACCTTAATACATAGAGGATCGCAGAGCTTGGGCAGTTGTTGGCACCAGCTCATTGCGTTCCTGCCTTGTCTGTAGTTCCTTGCGCCTCGGAGTCGTTTTCTATGTGAGTGAGCGAATACTGTGCATCGCGTTACAACATGAAATTGTTATAACAGTAAAGGAAGGACCGACCACTACAAAAAGAAGTCTTCTGTGCTTAATTCGGTTAAATCACAAATTAAAAATCGGGTTAAACGTCATGTGGCAAGCATGAGTCATATTGTAGAGTGAATGGGAAAGTGTTGTCCTCTACTGTGTGTGGACCAGGTTAATTGAATGGATCTCAGAGGTAACTCTGTGATATCTGCTTCCGTGAGCCGCTTTTTGACACTCAGGGTTTAAATATTCTGAGATAAATTCGAATGGAAACTTCGTCTCATGAAGCCGATATCCGGGCGCGGTTCGCCCACTAGGGGCGTTGGGGCACCGCCCCACCAAGCAGCTGGAGATACATTATTTTTCTAATGAAAATATATTTCTAGAAAAATTTGTGTTAAAAAAAATATAATGATTCTTTCAACGTCAATTGCCTAATGAAGATAACACTTAAAGTTGGTCATATTAGAAGCCGCTGCAACGCCACAGTCTGATGCGTGCCTCGGCGGGGTCTCGGGCCACTGTGAAGCCAATATAAGACCCTTTTTGTTCATTATTAAAAAGGCAATAATAGATATATTATAACTTATTAAAAGTGGCTTTTCTCTATGTGTCCTATCAAATAAAACATCTTGTGGGGCTCACTTGACCCCTGGTATAAAAAAAATGTTTTTGCCTCGCTACTCTCGGCACATACAGCTTTCCCTGTCGATTTCATCCCATTTCCACCCTTGACGGTCAAAATTAAATTGCATACGCATTTGCAGCCCATTTCCAATCCAACGCTGAAAACCTTAATGCCAAGCTGTGCGGCGAGAGGCCTTCACACCTCACCACGGTGGTCACTGTGGGTTGGAGGGGAAACACGAACGGTTTAGACATCACACTCTAATGATGAGAGCCGTTCATCGTGCCAAAGTGGCTGGGTTCGTAGCAGCAATGCGTGAAACAGTGCGGCACCGCTGCCAAAATCATCGGCTATGGAAACGATACAATTATGAACTAGCATGTCTACTGTAATGTAAAGATGCATGGATTCATGCAGATTTGTACATGCTCATCATAGATGGACGAATACATAATCCTCATCATCAATCATCCATCCTCATAATCAGTAATCCATTATTATCATCACATCGATGAGAATCAATATTTTTCGATGCATGTGTTGTCTATAATGGATTGAATGGTCCCCCAGTCACGAGTGGCCGCTACAATCTCCAGAATGTTCTAAAATGTTTTTGTCGAGTCGTGGCTGAATTGCGACGCGTTAATTGAAACTCGTTTCTCTACTCAAGTGGGGTGACGCTCATCCACATTCCTTTGGCGAGGTTCAGTCTATCCATGACGAGCACAGTTTACTCGGTACATATGAAACTACATCAATAAGTTAATAAACTAAATTAACGCAGTGTACCTATAGTGCATTAACATTGATGCATGCGGTGCTGTACGGATTAATTATAGTTGTATTAGTATAAGAGGTGTTACCCCATTATCACCAATAGTAATTACACTTTGCCTAGGAAACCCTGTCTCATGACTTTAAAGGACACATTTCAGCCTTCTTCAAAAACATTTAGTGTTAATACGTTAACTTCCTGGTCGAATTCCGAACATCGCCCATAAAGTCTGCATAGACTGCTCGGGGAAGTGCTTTTAGTGAGCATCTATTAAGGTCAGAGCAATGCACGAGGGAGACAGTGTGGTCAGCATCACGCCTGGCCGCCTTTGTCTTCCCAGTGCTGATGTTTAAACACCAAGTAATCGTTTACAGCATGTGCCCACACGCACATATAACACAATATGGATTTATATAGGGTCTAAATGCAACCTCATCCCAAGCCGCTGTGCATAAAAAATTGGCATATTTATACATGTATAGTGTACTAATTCATAGACACTAGTCGGAGGCACTCTCTCTTGTTAATCCCGGCCTTCACAGCCATAGGGGATAACTACATTCTGAGTCAGGACAGCCAACATGCGTTGAGACCCACAGCTTAAAGAGGCGAAGACCACGACGACGGCAACACGACGAGTTCCACTCCAGATGGCAGCAGCCCCGACTGTGAGTCGGAGCTCGCCTTTTACCCGCACAGCGTGGCCAGGCTCCGCCCTCGGCCCCGCACCCCTCTGGATCCCCCAGAAGGCTCCGTGCTTCGCCCAGAGGTCCAACTGGTAGGACAGGTTGCTACTCCCAATCCCATTGTCTACCAATCTCCCAGCGCCACGCGCTACAGTGACTCATTCAATGTCACTACACATGCACACACAAACACATATCGTATCCTAATGCTCAATTAATATACATTCAAAAATATATACTTGACGTTTACTGACATTCACGTCCAGATTCCTAAGTTCAACTCTCTTGTTTATCTTTATGGTGGGTCACACCATGGTGTGGTATGCTATGCAATACCATGTATTTACATTTTGACAGTCTTAGAGCTTATTTGACAATGTCTTCTCCCTTTGAAAATATCTACGGTGCAATATTGGGCAGGATTGCTGTGGCCAGTGGCATAAGCACGGTTGGCTACATATGGTGCAAAATAAGTTCAACATACATACATAAGGATTTTAATATTATACCTGTCACAAAACAGACCATCATACTGTTTGGCGAACGTCAATGTCTGCATTTAAGAATAGTTAATACAAACGCCACAAACACTGGGGGTACGTTTTTACATCCATTTAATGAGCTTCAAATTTCCAATCGTGAACCTCACCTGGTAATTGTTTACGTTCGAGCGTGTCAATCAAGACAGCGGTGGCGAGTGAGAGAGCTTGTGTTCTGGTGTGTCCCATGGCCAATCTCGTTCAAGTTTTCATCAAGGTATGGACTTTTTATTGACAAATTAAGAGTGTTACAGATGGATCGTGATGCATCCCATTCTATTTTATTCTACAGTTTGTCAATGTGAAAAAACGACGTTTTTTTTCTTTTTTCAAAATTTCCATCAAAAAGCCCCAAAATATACAATGATCAGGGCTGCACGTGAGATTTTTTTCCAAACATGAAAGCCTCGGTGAGATGGTGTTTCTGAAAAGACTACTTAGTGCCTGCACTGTGGTTGCGGACACACAGAGCTAACATAAAACAAATTGAAATCCTGGTGCTTTGTGCGACGGAATGAAATGCCGGCGACACATTAACCAGCCTGCCTGCATATTCATTTAACGTCTCCATGGCCTTCCTTTCAATTTGGCACTCGATTCAGTCCAGAATCATTATCCTTAAATCACACATGCCCTGTCCAATTTTCAAATTACGTGAAATCACTCATGCATGCACACCACACTGTTTGGTCGTCACAACAAATATATTGTTTTTAAGCAGAACACAGGATACGTGGGTGGAAATGCTGGTCGACTGTGGAACTAGTGTGGCTGGTAGTGCGTGTGTTCCTGTTTAAAATCCCCCATGTGGGCCATACGAGAGGCTTCAGACGTGGGCCGTGCGAATTCCAAGGCAGAGGGCGAGCTCCCACTTCTGTATCTTGCCATCCTGGTTCGTGTCACAGCGGCGAAGCAGTGAGTCACGGAATTTGGATAAGTCCGCCACGGTCAACGATGGCTGCACTCGCAGTAGGGGGGCGGGGGGGGGTGAGAGGGGGACGGCATGCACCCGAATGAGGTTAGTGGGCCACTGCAGGGGGGTTGATGTGGGCCCTCGTGCAAGGAATGAGATGGGGTGACACCTTGTTCACCTTCACCCTCTCCTTGTAGACCAGCACTTGCATCCAGGTGCAGTTACATCTCCCCCAAACCGAAGACTAAGGTAAGTTCTCCTTCACACAACTCGTTTTCGCTATAACGCAGTTCTTCCATTTGGGAAGTTTTCGCGCAATGCGCGCGTTATAACGTGGAACACGCCCGTTATAACATGGTTTCTGAGTGGTCGGCGACTAACTACTTTCTTTTGCTACACAGCTGAGCGGTCCGAAATAGTACACAGAATGATACAGTAATGCGGCGACATACCCTCAGTTATTTGTCCCGCTATCTTACTGTGTGAGCGTTCATTGTATCTTGCCAAACTTTATCGTTACATTTTTAATGGGGAAATCGTTTTCCCTTAATGCGAAACTTTTCAGGAACGAATCTACCACGTTAAACGAGGACTTACTATGCACTTAATTTCTCACTGCATATTTTATGGCTGGAGGTCGCTACGACCATTGCCAGTCAAGCGCAAAACCAGTCATGGTAGTCTTAAGTCCTTGACTCAATGCCATCGCTGAAGCTGTTTACGTACGTTGAGTGAGAGTCGTTGCCACCCCATTGTGATTTTCCCCTCTGAGCCAGACCCAGCCACTGAGGATCCCATTACCGCAGCTGGAATATCCGTGGCAACAGGCCAAGGATGTGACGACTCCTGTGCCCTCAAGGGCCCAATGAGATCAAGCTCATGCACCCTCTTCCATATCAAGAAGGTTCTTAGAGGTTTTGTTTCAGCCGGAACTTTACAAATAAAAAAAAACTCGGCTTTAACTGAAAGCACTAGCTTCATCCCTTAACAATATAATCCCTGACCTCGAGTGTGGGTTATTAAACCGAAATCTTAGACGGTGCAATTCGACTGGATTCCCTGATGCTTAACCTTGAATATGGTGACAACTTTTATGAATTCTGCATAGAACGTGTGACATTCCAGAGATAATAATTCCGACGGATTTAATGTCATAAGGTGTAAGCTTATTAACCTCACAGATAATTACATACATTAAACAGCGGCAATACTATTCATGAGAATATGTGCTGGGTTATATTTGGAAGCGATGACGTTTTTTTTCTTTATAATGTACAGTAATGTAATTGCAGTAATTCTTCTTAGTAATGACACAAATCTAATTATCCGTTCAAGTTTTCGATAATTAAGAGAAAAAATCTGCCCTATAATATTAACATTTTTCTTGGTTTCTAACCTAAAGCAGGGAGTTTTCAACAGTAATCTTCAAAACTTCGCATGTTCCTCCATTTCACATTGACCAAATGTAGCCATCAATAATGTACATGTCATAAAAAAAACTTGAGTCTATAACCAAATCACTCGTAATGCAATATATCTCATCGTATCTCAGCAGCTAAGCAGGCTTGAGCCTGGATAGGTGACTACCATATGCACAAAACATGATGTTATAAACTACTTGATTATCCGCAGAGGGCAGTAGTGCAGCAATATATAAATTGTTGTAGTGTATATTCTTGGGTCCTTCGGTAAAGTCACGTCGATAGGTTCAAAGAAAATAACAGAAAATAACAAAAAAACTACGACGTTTCGATTGAAACACAAGCGGTCGTCTTGTGCTGCGATCGACACGTCGTAGTTTTTTTTTTCTGTTATTTTATTTGAACCTATCGACGTGACTTTACCGAAAGACCCAAGAATATGAATTCCTGCAGTCACGAAAGCTTTAAGTGAAGACTTGTTGTAGTGTACTTCTATGCTCATATGTCTATGCTATCTACCTTCACCATCCATTGACCGGCATTGTGAAGTATGGTCAAAAAACCCATTACAACCCGCATAACAAGTGGGTGGCTCTGATCCAGCAGGAGATTAATACAAGGGCTATACATGTGCATCTGGAGGATGATATGTGCTGAAGCTTGCCCTAAAGTGGGCTCCAGGCACTGAAGTTAATGAAGACCAGTTATTTTACACAAGGTAAGATAAGAATGACACAGAGAGATAGACAAAGAAACACGTACATTATTTTACACAAGGTAAGATACGAATGACACAGAGAGATAGACAAAGAAACACGTACATTAGGCAACATAGGCAAGTTAGAGACACCATGTTGACTGCCAAAAGAAGTTCGTGCGTCTACCTATGCCATACCTGCAACAGTGGATAGATTATGGTGGATAACGATGGTGGTGATGAGCACAGCCTCGTGTGCTTTATGCCGGTGGGTTGTGCCCTGGCGTCATTTCATGTGCGTATCGGCGCATGCCAGCATGAGTCAATAAGGTGGAGCAACGCACCCGGACTAACTCCATCATGTCCTTGACGAAGCCGTCCACCTCAGGCCCCTCCAGCACCCCGGTGCGAGTCTGTGTGGGAGGTAGCGCGGACGGAGACAACCAAATGCAAGCATCGACAGTGAGACATAACGGCTTCCCTCTCTCTGATCTGTCTCATCACGAGTTGCGCAGGTTTGAGTGCCACATGAGACTCTCCACCTCGCTTTCCTCCTTTCGCTTTAAGATGTTTTTTTGTTCATGTTTTTGTTTTTAAATCCTTTATATTAAGTTCGCATGCTTGCTTGCGTGCTTGCGTGCTTGCTTGCTTGCTTACGACCGTACAAATCTTTCGGTAGTTTTTTAACCCACTTCACGTGATCCAATCGAGCTGACATTTTGCACACAGACTCGTTGTGCGAGACAATTAATGTTCGTGAAAATTTTTTCCAAAATTTTACACTGTTCAGGGAAAACAAATTAAATATTTAATTACCAATTGTTTAATACGCAGACAATCATCTGACCCATAGGTGGCAGCCATCTCAAGCCAGAGGACGAGAGGACTCTAGCCGCCACGCATATAAAGGATTTATAGTGAAAAACTTTGTTTTTACGGGTTATACTTATTGTTTGTGCGGTTGCACCCGATTCAAGAGCCGAATGGCTCACAGGGCTCTACCTAATACATGAACTTGAACTTGTCCTCAGATCCTTTCTATTAAATCCTTTATATTAAGTTCGCATGCTTGCTTGCGTGCTCGCGTGCTTGCTTGCTTGCTTACGACCATGCAAATCTTTCGGTCGTTTTTTAACCCACTTCCCGTGATCCAATCGAGCTGACATTTTCCACACAGACTCGTTGTGACAGACAATTATTGTTCGTGAAAAAAAAATTCTAAAATTTTACACTTTTTATGCAAAAAAAATTATTTTACATTTATTCAAATAGAACTCATTCATGGCTTTGGCTGAACGTCACAGTATAGGAGCCCAGAGCGTAACCCCTCCACAGGCCGTGGCGGAGTAGCGCAGTTGGTAGCGCCCTCGCTTCCCACGCCAAAGGTCGCGGGATCGATCCCCGCGTCCTCCACAGGCGAATATATTTTAAATCCTTTATATTAAGTTCGCTTGCTTGCTTAGGACCGTGCAAATCTTTCGCTCGTTTTTTTAACCCACTTCCCGTGATCCAATCGAGCTGACATTTTCTACACAGACTCTTTGTGTGTGACAATTAATTTTCGTGAAAAAATTTTTCCAAAATTTTACACTGTTTAGGGAAAACAAATTAAATATTTAATTACCAATTGCTTAATACTGGCAGACAATCATCTGACCCATAGATTGCAGCCATCTCAAGCCAGAGGACGAGAGGACTCTAGCCGCCACGCATATAAAGGATTTATAGTGAAAAACGTTGTTTTTACGGGTTATACTTATTGCTTTATCTCTTCCACTGCTGCCTCCACCCATACTGGTTCCTTCCCCCACCTCTAACCCACTCCCAGTTCCCTGGTCCTCTTCATCCGACTCCAATTCCTGACCCGGCTTCCACGTCTCGCTTTCTCTATGTGCACCTAACCACATCTCTCCCCTAGCTCTCCACCGGGCTCCTCAATCAGCCCACCTATCCGGCACCCAGACCTCTGCGTCTACCACCCTTCACCTACCCTCATCCATGCCCAGCCACAGCACCAGTCCATCTTATCACTTCACGCGTGTGCCCCATACCCCGCTGCCTCTCGTTCACGTTGCTCCCATCTGTCACCCTCATTCACCATCACACGCTCCGCCTTATTCCTCCTTCCCTACCCCTGCAACATCAGCTCCATTCCCAGCCCGTCCCTCCATTTCATTCCGTCACGCCCTCACTAACAGCCGCTCCACCCCACCCGTTACTCCCCTTTTGCCCCTTTGTGTACCGCCGTGCATTTGTGTTGTAAAGCGCCCTAGAAAGGGCGCTTTATATATTCTGAAAAGAAGAGATGTTACCTCGCCTTGTATACAGGAGTGCGTGGGTTCAATCCCGACCCTGACGCCTTTATATTTGGAGTTTGCATGTTCTCTCTTTCCGTGGTCGCATCGATTTTCCCCAGGGTCCTCCAGTTTTTTCCTCCACATTTAGAAACATGCGTTTCGAGTATTTGGCTGCGATACATTTCCACATGATAAGCCACTTCGTTCAGCTATCATTTGTGGCCAGGTCGCTTCTGAAAAAGAGCTATACAACTCAGTGGGCTTTACCTTGTAAAATAAATAAAATAAAATAAATCCCCCTTGCCTTGGTGGTTTTGTGGCAGCAATAAAATTTATCTCAGGTTTTTTCAGCTGTATAATCCAAACAGTTTCCCAGGAGAACTGATTTTGTGACAGTCCATCAAGGGTGCAAAATGTGTTGCCTCTGCATTCCAATCGGTAAATTAATATTACGTGGGTTTGTCACTCACCAAAAATTGTAAAACCAGGAATATTTTTTTTTCTGCATTAACATTCTCAAGTCGTGAGCCATTGTTAGTTTGTTGTTTGAGATATTTTGAATCACACATTGTGAAATGTTTCCAAGCCTGTCACAATATTATTTTCCCAACAATTACTTTCTTCAAGTTTTGTCTTGTCAGGGATGGATCAAAATTGTCAGAATTTGCAGCTCTGTTTCTAACAAGACCAAGAACTTTTAAATTGCTGTTGAAAATCGGCCAAGTACAGAATGTTTTAGCCTAATATTTCAACTTGAATTGATGAAGATATGAACATAATGTGTATATGTAAAAATTCTGTCTGGCATACTAATTGTTTTGGCTAAATATTTGTGTTTGCAAGTGCACCAATGAATGAACACAACCAATATTTGAGATGAATTGTACCCTATCTGTGTGCTGTAATGCTATGTTAATTTGCAGCAGCTAATACGTTGATTGCATTCCATTTTAATGCAATTCATGAGCTGTTGTGTAGTTATTTGTTAAAACTGCATAATGAGCATCAGGCAGGAAGCAATTATGCACAGCTAAGTGACAGCACATTATCATTTTCAAATGAAGCATGCATCACATACAGTTTTTTTTAAACATTCCCGTCATTTAACTTTTAAATCTAAATCATTACTATTTTCTGCATGCCTGCTTCTGTAATAGGGTTCAGTTTCAATATATATGCGCAAATGTTTGCTGCACACATTCAACAAGAGCCCCAGCAAATATTAAGCAAGAATATGATCAAGCGCATACATGGATTATGTAAAGAGCCTCAGCTGGCAGGATCGGTACGCCGAAGAATGTCCTTTTAGCGCTGGTTCTGTCTCCAGGTTTTGAGCAATTCATTGATCAAATTGGCCGGTTTTCAATTCAATGAGTCCCAAAGTTTTGTTCCTCTCCATTAATGTTGACGAGAGTTCGTGTGCCGCACTGCTACAACCCCACGGACAGACGAATGGACAAAGAGACAGACGGACGGACTGAGCTCATGCATCAATGGTTTCACCATGCATTCTGGAAACATAAACAACACAAAACAGAGACATTACAGAATCTCGCCCGAGATGCCCCTTCGTACCACATCATAGTGCGAAAATATCTTCTCAAAGTCCCTGCGTCTTTCTTCCTGGCTTGCATCCTGGCAAGGCACGACAATTGTTTTTCGCAAACATGTTACTTGGCACAAGGGTGCCCTCGCCTTTGAATTCAAGTCGTGCTGCACCTTATTTCAACAAACACAGTGCATCTGGTGATAAACACGAGTAACAACACTATTTCATAGGGTTTAGCGGCTACGCTCTACAGCATGTAACGACGTGCGTTGTGTGGCAGAATGTGCAACGTTTCGCTTCGCCACGTTTCGCTTCGCAGCACGTGAAGCGAATCATCTGACATGGTGCTGAACATCACGCGGCACCACCCGTAACACGTCGCCGAAGGGAACACGAGCCACTCAAGCGGCACACGATGCATCGCCGCAAACTGGAGATAGGTGAATGCCTTCCATGACACAGGTCTTTAACTTGTACAAACACTGAGAGGTGGACAATTAAAAAATGCACTATCTGGGTGTAAAAAAGCCTCAACCCATGTTTACAAAGATGTGTGCACTGCGAGACTGTTTACATGAGCATGCTAGGCTAACTAAGAAGGTAAACAAATAAAATAAATACATTAAAAACACCCACGACTTTCGAAAGACACTGCAGATAAACAAATAACGATTAAGTCTCAAACCATGACATATATTCCAGAACCCAATGAAATTGTATATTTAAATCGTCATCACCAGCCATGATCTATCTACTGCCGAATGTAGGCTGCCACGAAGCTTTAGCATCCCTTACAATTTTGTGATTTCACAATCTCATTCATGCAAATGAGCTGATATCATTGCTTCATCTCCGTGGTAATTGTCCTCTCAGATGCTTTCGTCCCTCCATCATTCGTGTTGATCAGTGGCCATCGTCCCTTCTAACAATGTGTCCCTCCCAAGCCCACTCACGTTTCGTGATACTGTAGCCAATATTATGTATTGACGTGTTTTTTTCTCATATCCATTTGTTTCTATTTGTGTATCCAATTGTAGTTCCAAACATTTAACTCCCCGTGCTTCTTCATCTTACTTATAATCATGGTATCATTTCAGTCAAAGCTGCCTGAGGATGAGCTCCAGAAAATATTACCCCTCTCTACCACCAACCCCTTAGAGTTACTGATACGAAGTTTGGTGAAATAGCTTTAAAAAACAGAAATCACTTCTTTACGTGCTTATCTAAAAAGAGCATACATGCATTGATGAATGAAAACACTATCCTAAAAAAATATAACTGTTACACACAGCACATCCGATTAGCAAGGGTGGCTATGTACGGTGCGAAAGAAGTTCAACATACATACGTACAATCTGCTCTGGGAAACATATTGACCCTCTGCATCAGGGCCGTTAGCTCTACATGTGTATTCGCCCCGTTAACCACTGCGGGGGTGATGATGCAAGGTGTTAGCATTCTCGCTTCTACACATGGCAGAGGGATTCACGATGGAGATGTTTGCACCCCTACGGTTATTAAAACAGCCCTCCGCCTTACCCTCTTCACAAATATTTCATTCCACGGTGTTCGCGCGTTAACACCTTGTCCACATGTTACACACAGCTGTATTTGCCTTACCTCAATGCTGAACTGCAGGAGATAATTTTCCTTTAGCGACAGGATCCTGAGTGACACATACAAATGATATACCTTTAAAAAAATGACACTTTAAAATTACTTTAAAAAAAATATTACCGCTAAGCTTTAGAGCATATCGCATCGCTAAAGAATTCTGTGTGCGCGGCTTAAGCGCGAGGCTTGATGTCAGAGCAGCGGCATCGATCGTTTGACACCAAAGCCGTGCAGCAAGTTCTCACCGCGCCATGTCATTCAGATCCAGTCGGCCATCTTTGTTCTTGTCAAAGAGCTTCATCTGCAAAATGCATCAAAGACGTCCTCAAGATAAAAACGTGACTTGTACCACCTGCAAAGATATTCTCCAAAGCCAGTTCATACTTGGAGCTCGAGTAAATGCCTGCAACCGCTCACTGTTTACAATGACGTATCGAGTCTCAGTTTGATTGTTGCCAAGCGGTTCAATGGAGTTACTTTTGAATTGATGCCGAGTCCTGTAAATGCACTGGACCTGATTATATACTCGCCTCTGGGATCAAACTGAAAATCTCACAAGCACCTCATACAGATCTCATGAGCATTTCCATCACTCACCCACCTGGTTGTAGGCCCCTTACCATGGTATCAGTGTACTCTTCAAGCTTCTTCTCTTCCACCTGCCGGCCGTGGTGGCTCAACAGGTCCTTGAGGAAATTCTGCAAGGTTGAGAGGGGCACGTAGCAGTACGAATGATGGTTGCTATTTGATGGACTCTGATTCACGTGCAACAGGAGGAAATGCAGCTAGGTATCAAAGATGGCCCTGAACTCACTTTTAACTCGGAGGCAGAAATGAAGCCACTAGAATCCAGGTCATACTGATGCCAGATCTGAAAAAAAACATTAACAATTAAAGAGTAAAAAAAAATATTTATAATAATAAAACCACAATATGAACACATTGTTGTGGTGTCTTTGTGGGTAAATTTTGCTGAGTGACTGATAATCTGAGCAACTTCGACATTTCAATCCAAATCGATCATACAAACTGCGCCAGCCATTCTTATAGCAGGCTAAAGATAATGTCCATGCACATAGGACTATGGCATGATCTCCGCGTGGAGCTGTGTTCAGTGGGGAGATGCTGTGATTTGCGACAACCTTGATAAACTCCACGCTGTTGTCCAGTGACGAGGCTCGCTTGAAAATCAGCAGGAAACTCTCATCCTCAGCCAGAAGCATATTTGCCACCTGAGGGACATCATCATCACCACTGTCAATGCTGTCACCACTCTGACAGTTTATACATCATGATTCATGACCAGACAGCAACGTACAAGAGTAATTCATCACCACAGTAATCCGAGTTGAAATTAATAGCGGCTATTTCAAATGTTGAGGGTGCTGCCATGGTTTTAAGAGAGGTTACCGGTTCAATTAAATCTTCTGGCAAGGCAGATGAAACAGTGGGAAAGTTTCTTATATACCCCCTGCCCCTGCAGTATAAATGGGTTCACCACAGTTAGTCGATCGGCAGGTTGCACGTGTAGGGTAACAGAAAGGTTATTCCACTTCTTCCAAGATGTCTGGCCAGCGTGGAAGAGTAGACCAAATGCCCTCTATAGGGGACACCCTAGTGCTCCCTCTAGTGGAGGCGTTTCTTCCATCAGTGGCATGAGCCAAAAATTACAGGGCTGCAACCTTTTCTTCTTATTGACATTTTAATATTGGGATAGGAGGGCACATGCATGAGAGTACGTCCACAGTGGAGATGGAGCTATGAGATCTGCTTGTGTGCGGGAGAGAGATTGATCATTGCATTACGAGACCATGAAGCATGCTGATGGTTTAGAAGGCTTTCATCCAGCAGTGAATAGATCATGGATAATGATGGTGACTGCTAATGCTACAGCAACACAGTTAATGCTATTAATAATCTCTATTACCATCCTCCAAAGGGATTTTAATATGGCTGTTATGACATGGTATGCTCTATTAATCTGTATGTATATATCTATTAGCACTATGTATGACAGAAGAGGAATTAATTTAAATATTTCTTCATCCTCCCTTGCCACATGTTCCACATAACCCCTAAGTAGGTCAGATGGAGCATGACGTTTCCATCAGAAATACCGCACGTCTGTTCCTACATTAAACATTATGACAGTATTATTACAATATTAATGCACAACCCTTTGTCAACCCAATGCTGGATGAAGGCCACTTCCCTGCAATGCTGGTCTGTGCTAGTTGGTGAAGGGATGAGGTGCCCAAGACTAGTTTAGATTATCACCCGTCACTGGTGTTTGCCGTGGCTGGGAATCGATGTCGAGTCGTTTGGGTCAGTTTTCCTCAATTAAATGAATACATTACATTATTATAAGCTGGTGTCTAATTATTTTGTACAAAGCGTTGCTCATGATTTAGCACGTGTGTCTTAATTGTCCCAATGCTATGCAACCCATGCTAGAAGCTTCGGTACCAGCCCAGTGCCTGAAGGCTGTGGAAACATGGCAACAGGGCCTCCCTCGGTTCCTTGCCCGGCCAAAGCCGCTCGGCTGGCGACTGATTGTTTGGTAGCAAATATGTTGCACGGGCTAGGGGCTGGAGCTTGCAATTTCACCTCGGACAGGTGCAGCCTTCCGTCAGCAGACTCATCGTAGATGGACATGAGGTTACGCTTCACGGTCTCCACCTTCTCATCCGACGCGCACTCCTTGGCAGCCGGCAAACCAAAACACGGGCAGTTACAGAGGCAGTTAACAACTGATTTTACTTATCGCGTGATATCAGCCGCTTGTGCGTGCGTGCGTGCGATCAATTGTGAAAGCCAAAGTTGCCGACCCCTGCTTGTTTGAGTAGATGCTTGAAAAATTCGTCGAGTTCTTTGCCTTCAATGTAACCATTATCTGACAGGCACACACACAGCAGGGTTGTAATGAGTCTGTGTGCGAGAAAACATCTGCGCATCTCAGTCACATGAAACACACATCTGGCAGTAGCAGGTCGAGAGCACGATAAATTGGAATCAAATTTCAAAGTTGTGTTCCTGATAAATATACCATGAATATAAACCGTAAATTAAATAAAAACTAAGGAATTGAACGCTTAGAAAGAAAGACTAACATTTGTCAATGTTTTTTTGAATATGCTCATTTTCCCCCATTTTCAATGTCACGAATTATTTTTTAGGAAAATACGCTTTATAACTTGAATCAACATAAGACACGTTTACAATTTTCAGCACACAAAGGAAATGTTTTCCTTTGGAAGTTGATAAAACCGTGGAGGCGGGGAAAAAACCTTCTAAATGGATTCACCGCGACGTTGTGCGGTCACGCCCATGAATTCGCATCCCGAGTGATGAATAACACCCAGCTTGTTCATACAGCAGCATCTGGAGTCAACAGATGTCGCAGCTGTTTACTCTGCGACTTGCCCGCTCACCAATGTCCCTGGTAAAACACGCGGCTAAATGCATTAAGTGCTGCGACTCGGCCTTCATCTTGGATAAACGTTCAGGAGTGCCCTCTCCAGCTTCGCATCACTTTTACAAGTCCGCATGGCAGTCAGTGTTAGTTTATATTACACACGAGAAACGTCACTGCGATACGCGTGAATCATGTGCGGTTATGTAAGACACATGTAATGTCTACCACGTGCTGTGTGCTAAAACACCCCACAGTCACCATTAATTTTCTTATTGATTAATCACATGCCATTGTAAGATGGACTTTGCAGCGATACTATGTTACCTAAACCTACAACACCACTATAATCACCCAGGAATGTCTGTCCTTAACGCTCGTGACGTCCCTCCACATCGACCAGCCCCCCTCATTAATAATCATGAGCAGGTGACGTTCTCCAAATGGGCACCCCCCACCCCTCCTCATTCATAATCATGAGCGGGTGACGTCACTCAATATGGAGTACTCCCCCCCCCTCACTAATAATCATGATCAAGTGACGTCGCTCCACATCGAACAGCCCCCCCTCATTAATAATCATGAGCATGTGACGTCACTCCACATGGAGCACCCTCCACCTCATTAATAATCATGAGCGCTGTTGTTGAGACATCAAAGTAAAAAGGACGTCGTGATGAACAAGGGATTATAACCTTTAGGTCTGTGTCACCGCGCCCCCATAAATTGCACACGCATTGATGCAATGGATATCACGTCGCGTTCTGCTTTTCACTTGTAAGATTCAGATTTACTGCAATACACCCGTCCTTGGACGGGCAAAAGGCTAGTTTTTAATACCAGCTGATTGTTTTACAGTACTTGAATGCCATTCACAGACTCATTAGGCTAAAAGTTGCCTTAATGAATTTCTGGTGTTCGTGCTTACCTTGTGTGCATTCGACAAGGCCAAAAGCTATCCAGGAGAAAAGAAAAACAATACCACCAAACGATTGAATGTGCCCAATCTCGTCAGATCTCGGCAGTTCAGCAGGTTTGAGCCTGCAGGGTAGTGCTTGGGTGCTGACAAAAACAAAGATCATCCAGAGACCCTGAACAGACTGTTGGGGCAAGTGCTGTGAGCGAGCACCTATGAATGCCGGTACGACGCACGAGGGGGTTGGGCAGCACCACACTCGACCGCCTTTGTCCCCCCAGTGGCGATGTTTACACACCATACTAGGTACTTATTTGAGGCTGAGTCGACCTAGAGGAGGCCCGGGACCAGTTCAGATAATCGGCACTGGTGTTGGCCGTGAGCGGGAATCGAACTCGGGTCGACGGCGCAGCGCACTAACCGTTGTACTACCACTCCCACCATGCATAAACAGGATGCCACAGGGATGTGGAGCTATGTGGTGAGCAGCGGATACCAATGCAGAAGAAATGTATTGTTGTACTGTACTTCTACGAACCCGTAACTATGCTCCCCACATTCACCAACCCGTACTGACCGGTGTGGTGAAGTATAGCAATATAACCATCACGACATGCACGACATGGAGAGGCTAACATACAGCATTAGATCAACAAAGAGCTGTACATGTGTTGTGGGTTCCACGGAGACAGACTAGAACTTGGAGGCAACACGTTTATGATAACACCCCAACAGGGTAACTGCATAAACGTACACTTGGTTAACGAGATCACAACGGGGTAACTACATAACCGGGTCAGTCAGTAACATACTGTCTGACCCGGTTATGACCCACGAAGCCGAGCGTAAACATCGAAGGCCAAAGACCGAGGACCGAGGATCGAAGAGACGTAGCACCGACGGGTTGATTCCAGAAGACAGCCGCGATTGCTCTCGGGCCGTCCCTCTTGTGCTGCCGAGCGTGGCCTTGCTCCGCCTCCGGCCACGCCCCCTTCTCGAGCTTTCCAGAAGGATCTGGAGCCAGCATCACGCGTCCCTCAAGCCCCCTTTTGGGCCCCCTTGCTACCCCGTGTCAATCACGTGCCCTCTCGGGTTCACCCAGACGGTCAAGTCCTCACCCGACCTCTCTCTCACTGTCACCAGGACCATGCCCCCTCGGGCCCGCTTCCATGGCATACCCACTCTGATGCCAGAGAGAGGCCCAAGACACACAGCTCCATTCTTGTGACAGTAGCTGGCGCTAAACGCCATAGTGACTACACATGTACACGATGCGGTTTCCCTATGATGGGCAGGAGGGTACCACGCCTATTTACTCATTTTATAGTTGGAATACAAGAGAATAAAGGGTAATGCGATCCATTTATAGATACCCCACTAAAACATCAGGGAGATCTTCATGAGAAAACAACATTTTATTTCAAAGCCTAATCATGTATGCCTCTAATCTCAATTTACTGATGATTTATTTAAAACTTCCTCGAACAAGATATAAAGCCATCACTAAACGGAGTGGCATACCACGTGGAAATTTATATCTGCCAAAAATTATATCTGCCAAAATGTGGAGGTGAAAGGCGGAGGACACGGATACAAATCCACATGACCACGGGGAGAGAGAAAGACGCCATGGTCGGGATCGAGCCCACAACCTCCTGTATACCAGGCGAGCGAATTAAAATCTCACCACCGTGGTGCCTATTCAGAACGAATCAATGTTCAGGCTGATATGTGCACACTCTTCTAAGAGCAGTCGTTTTGCAGGACATCAAACCTCCGTGTTGGAATATTGAACAGGTTTTGAATTACAAACCTGGACTGCTTTTGCTATCTTCCTCATTCACACGCACGCATTATCCAATATCAAAGACACCCCATATAGCCTTAACAGGATTTGGGGGCAAGTGCTGTTAGCGAGAACCTATGAAGTCCGTACCAGTTACAGAGTTCAGGCTAAGATGACTCAGGACCGGTTCAGTTATTTGTCACCGATGTTGGTCGTGAGTGAGAATCGAACTTGGGTCGTCGTGTTCGTTGCGAGGTGTGCTAAACCCCTACACACTACCGCTCCCCAAATATCACACGCGCACATTCGTTCATTTTCCCACCGCGACCCTGAATAAAACATGTATTGTAGGTGCAATCATCGTCCTTGTACCGTGCAAATCAAACATTGACCCAAAGTAATTAGGCCGTACCATCACGTATGTATTGCTCTTGGACAACACAAGGATATGCTATTGATTTATAACAGTCGTGGCCTTAACAGCTGTTACCATGCACAGAAAAATACGGTACACGTGTTAGCCAATATAACAAGCCAATCGCGTGGGGTTCGGACTCTCACTCGCTTGCAATTCAAACAATGCCGAGCAGTGGATTGACTTGACCTGTCAATCCACTACTGGATGAATGCATCCCATGCCGAGTCAGTCATGGGGTAATTTGATCATACTTCACCACGCTGGTTAGTGTGCCTTGATTAGTACGCAATATAAAGTCCAGTAGAAGTTGTCTTGATAAATTCGACCACATCGCTCACACCTTTTTGCCTCTGATCAAATGACCGAAAATTATCCCGATATGAGTAGTGCTTGGATGAGCGACCATTGTACATAACATGCGTTTACAGGCTGTGCAGCAAAATCCATTGTACTGTATACGGAACTCTCTCGTTGATGCTACCTGCAATCACCTAACGGCACTGACAAGCGTGAAGTATGGTCAAATATACCCCATGACCAGCACGGTGAGGAGGCTGTCCACCCTCCTCACCACGTAGACCCCATCCTATAACACCTGTTATGTATGGCAATCGCTTAATTCAAGCACTATCCAGGCTTAGGTCTGCTTAGCTTCTGAGATTGGGCGAATTCCGGGGTGATTTCTTGCATAAGGCAATTTGTTCGGAAGCGAAATGCCAATGTTGGGGTCTGTTATCCACGACGAGAGGGCTTCAGGGGCTGAAATTTTGCTATTTTTCCAGTGAAGGGGCGCAGACGACAGTGGGTTTACTAGACGGTCCATCGTTGGAGTTGCATGGCCACAATCGCATGACTGTGGCTTGTCTTTAATGTTTCCATTTATGGGTTTACTATATACTTCCACTATATATTGTGCAGTGCAAATTATGCTTAATTTGCATTCTAAAAAAAATGTTGATTATTAGAAGGGGTGTGTTATAACTTATAAGCAATATGTAGCTAGGAAAAATGCGTTATGTGGTTTTGATGTGTGGTTGTAAGTGTTGTTGGGGAGCAGAATTATACGCAATTGATGTGTGCAATAGTATGCAAATAATTGCAACAGTGAAAGTCTGGTTTGGCGTTCTGCAGGTACAAAGTCTGCTCATATATGTGTTGTCCTATCACGTACTAACGACCATATATAAGTACGTTGCAGAGGACTACATGCCACGTGTGGATAATAAAACATTTCAATTTATACATTAATAAAATGTCTGTGGCAACATTGATCTTATGCCCTCAAAATATACATTTATACACGAACGAGAATCAAAGTAGAACGGCTGAAAACGAGACTATATCAAGAAATGTTTTCAGAAACTTTTAGATTGCATTTCAAATCTCACCCTGAAGTTAGAGATCACGTACAATCGTGATAATATATAATTTTTGCACTATATTTATACGGAGGAAAGACAAGACAAAAGAGTACGTGAATGAGAACACATACGCAGGTTGAAGACAATTTTAACTTAAGGAACGCTTGGGCTGGACACGACGCAGGGAAGAGATGATGGCCCATGGTAAAGACTCATAATGGAGTGGAAGGCAAGAAATGTAACGATTCCAGGATCACGACCACCGAGGAGATGGAGCAATTAAATCTGCTCCTTTCAGATGTTGAGTGGATTATTACATCATTGTGGAATCGCGAGAGCCCTTCACTCAGCAGTCGATTGACAATGGCTGATGGTGATGAGATAGAAATCACTGAATAGTCCAATATTTGAGTTAGTGAATAGGTATTTACATTCAAAACACGTTAACAACCACTTGGATGTTAAATTCGAATATTCTCTCACAATGCTTAGCCTCTTGAGCTATGACGAGATCGTACGCACCATTACTCGACAGTCATACACACATCATGCATGAACTCTACTCGTGGCCTTTTCTCCGAATGTACAAGAAGTCACCCCTACCATCGGCGTCAAACTTCTGCCAGACCTCCAGCAAGCCCTGGGAGTCGAGTTGGCCGATGGCGAGACGCTCCATGGCCGTTGCAGCGAGAACCGCCAGAGGTCGAGAACCGAGTCGAGGGTGGAGACAGAAAATAAGGACGCCTGGGGTGGGGGTGCTAGGAACACGCAGCGAGGGCGAGTCGACGAGGATGATGATGCTGACGAGTAGGAGGAGCGGCGTGCCGGGTGGTCCCGTGTCCCCTCTTATCTGGCCGTGGAAGGTTGATAACGGCACGGGCGCTGGCGCACTGCCGCCGGTGCAAATAAGCGCTCGTTTGCCAGAGTGCGTTCGTGCGTAATTGCGCGCGGGGTGAGCGACTCACTCTTGGCTCTGCTTGGGTGTACGGTTACCGGGCTGCAATCTGACTCATTATCGTCCATTAGTAAATGAATGAACGCCACGATGAAACAAAACAGAACCCCGCGCTGATTGTATGTGTGATTGTATGTGTGTGTGTGTTATTGTAAGTGGATGCATGCAGGTGGGGATCGGTAGTGCGCCTCGAACCCGGCGACACGAGTTCGATTCTCGCTCACGGCCAAGACCAATGAAGGTTGTCTGAACCAGTCCTGGACCCCCGCGCCCACCCCCTGGTCGTATCAGCCTCAAATGAGAATATGATGCGGTGTGTAAACATCAGCACTCGTTAGACAAAAGCGGCCGGGCGTGGTGTTGCTCAGCCGTTCGTTTTCCATGTAGGCCTCGATGGGTGCTCGGTGTGGCTATATTCAATTTCGGTGCGCTCCTTATTGAACCAGGTTCTCACTCTATCTTCCCACTGCTGTGTCCAATAAGGTCCCTCGTCATAAATAAATCAGTTGGCACGAATACAATAACACAACATTTAGTCATATCAATCTATCGGCCTTCCGTATCAATGTATTTTTTTTCCCAGCAGGTACAACTCTGGACCGGTTTAGCCTTCTGAGTCTATCACAGTCATGCCTGTTAAACAAACGTAGGATCGTGTGCCTGAAGTTTTATTGCGATTCAGATTGCCTATGTTGCAAAGAACACCTGAGTGAACATAGCGACGCAAAGCTAAATAATAGTGATTGGATATTTATCGATGGCATTTATCTTCATTGGTGGAGAACTTTGTGCACACTGGTTTGGGATAGAGTAGTTATCACTTTGATGGCTATTTCCAACCAGCCTGGAACTAAAGGATCGATGAATATTCCTTTCCCATTCACTTTTTCAACATTTTTATCATGAGTATAATTTGCAACAGGATGACATTTTTTTACATAACCCGGCTAATGTCCATGTTTATTTTATTTAAAATACCATAATTCTATTACAGAGCACTTATTGTATATTTTTCCAAAGCATGGTTTTAAAAGGGACACTTTATAGCTCGCACGCCACAAAAAAAAGGAAATACTACATATGCCTACATGTTACCCACGTAAATCCCTGAGCAACAAGAAGGAACATAATCATGCTTCCATTACATACTTTTATTTATTGCATTGCTATGAGCATTTTCGGATGAAACCCACCGCATGTATGCATATTGAACTATTTTTTTACACCGTCCGTAGCCAACCGTGCTAATCGGAGGTGCGCATGTACTGCGACACAGCCCCATGGGTCATGCAGTTTCAAAAATGCATAACACTGTGAACGAACATAAAGATAATGCTTAAACGTCACACATTTTTTGGAAAATACATGTGTAGTGACATCGCGGGATGTCACTGTACAGTGCCGGCCCTAGAGAGGCTCGGTGAGCACTGGTTGATAGCGCTCGGTGCCACCATGCTTGGCGTGCAGTGCCGGCCCGACAGGATAAGGTGGGAGTGCCGGCCGTAGAAATGAGGTTGCTAAAGGCCATGGCACTCTGGTTGACCCAAGAGGACACGTGACCGGTTAAGTCGACAAAGGGGCCCCAAGTGGGGGCTAGGGGTGGTCACGTGGTCGGGGTCCAGATCCTGCTCGAGGATTCTGGAAGGTGGTCGTGGCCAAGAGCGGAGTCAGCCACGCCGCAGAGGATATAGAGGGACCGGCGTTGTTCATCCTGAAGAAACCTTCGTGGACCCGAGCTGTGGTCCTGGTCCGCAGTAGCTAGTTATGTTGTAATTAGTATAGTTAGCCTGGTGGTCACCACCATAGGTTGTTATTCTGTGAAGGGGCAGTTACCCCGTGTGTTGGTGTTAAATAAATGTGTTGCCTCCAAGAGTATGTCTGCGACTCAGTTGAACTCGCTACACATGGATAATGAGCAGTCCATGTTTACTTGAAATTCCTAGCTGCAAGAAGCCTTGAAATGTGAGAATAGGGCATCTGTTATGAAAGGCTATACGGTCATGGCAAAATAATAAAATAGACTGATTATTGTAGGCTCACCAGCAGATGACCCTTTCTCAACACGATTACTGGGGATAACGACGTTAATTTGGATGGGGCCCTTGTTGAAAACAAAGCTGCTGCAGAAATGTACCAGCATTTTATTTGATCAGTGGTGCGTGATGTGCATAGATGCGCCCAATCATGGCAATTTAAAATATGTAATTGTTTTAACAGTGGAAGTGGGAAGGCATATGTAGAATACTACATCTCATATCAATCTGTGGAATAGGCATATTGCACAAAGGATAACCGTTAAAATAATTTCATAACAAAATGTATATCTGCAGGAGCAACATCTATAACATAGTTTACTCTTGACTTAAAGCTTTCTTGACTGCAAGAATTCATATTCTTTGGGTTTTTCTATCTACGTGGCTTTACCAAAAGACCCAAATAATATAGTTTTCTCTATTTAAAATAAACTAATTAAGAATTAGTCGTAAAATTCTGCCAGTTGTAATAAGTAATCTAAATAAAAAAAGATTAAACGTATCTGAAAAATGTGGTCATCCAGGTAAATCTCAAATTATCCGTGAAATGGCTGACCATTTACTCGCGTGAAGATGCAAAGTGGTAACATTAGACACGCTTACCCAAATAAAATGGAAATTTTGTTAAAGTGGTGTACATTTCCATGACCATGGCCTTCTTTTTCCCCAACATGTTTATTTAAGACTGTTAATTTATATTTTCCAAAGCAGCAAAAAAAACGAAATGTAAACAAAACAAAACTTTGATGTTTACACTGATGTCACATGTATCCATTATAGCCCATCCAACATGGTTGCATTACATATATAAACATATTTACATCACAGACTTACTCTGGAAATAGTTGTTAGGTGGTGTAAGATAAAAGGCTACTAATGGACTGGGCGCTGTCGCGACGTGGAAGCACTGTGCAATCTTGCGGCAGATCAAGGCAGGGTCGGCACCACACACTGGTGGTATAATTCGCCAAGCTGAGCCTCTTCAAACACTTTCCCCAGCTCATTTGTACTGCTAATCTCCAGCACGCAGAAATCACTGAACCTAGACGGGGGGGGGGGGGGGGGGTGCAAGAATGGGCAAGTGAAGAGGCAACAGATGGTGCAATGCATGTACACGTCGCGTTGGTTTATTTATGAATCTCGGCATTAAATTATTCACATTTTCCAAAGTGATAACATTTTTCTTATTGTAGAGCTACATTCAATGCATCCTATTTAATTTTCTCTTGCAATTTGTCTAAATTTTGAGACAACTTCAAATTCTAAAGACAGGCAACTTGTATTTTAAACATACTTTACCAAATGTGAACATTCATTAGTGATTCCAAACACAGCAATTAATCATACTATTTATAGAACAGCTTCACAAAATACCTACGCTAATTTATATATTTTTCCAGGTGGTGGCATGGTCATGCTCATAACTTATACAATTTACATTGCGAGTTGTCACACCACTGGAATAGATGTTAGCATTCTTTTAAGAAAATGTTTCCATACAGTTACTTTACAATTTACAGGAAGCTGGACCTTAGTGGAGGTGAATGAAATACATGAGTAGCATACAGTCATACTAATGAGCGACAGTCACAATAGGGTGTTTAATAGCAAAATAGTCCGAGTTAAAGACGGTACATTCTAAAAATGTGTATCCTTTTGTTGCAGTCGAATTGTGTATACTACTTATAAGACCCTCAAATGACCTTTTTAATCACTTGTGAAATTATTTCAAAACAATTCTTTATGAGCTGATATTGATTTTATAAACCCTTAAGAGATGCCAGCAACGCACACTGATATGAGGATTTATACCATTGAGCAGCTACCCAGCCAACCGCCTTCATAATCCCAAGGCACTGCAGATCAGACTATTCTGTTGTACCTGTATTGCCGTGTAGACATGGTACCCTCCCAAAGCACACTCATCATCTTCTCTTTGCATCTCTTCCCACTGGAGTCTACATCTACCTTGCTTGTTTTCTGCAGCACAATATACTCCTAGAAAGAGAAAGACAAGTTATCGTTCCTACTGGGTATATCAGCTGAGTTTTGTGCAATTTTGCACATTGACGCTCATGCAAAAGTGGCCATACTGGTATCATTATACTCCCTTGTTGCAATTACATTTCCATAATGATCTTAAACAAATTATTACTGACGACCTTTAAAGTGGGCTCGGGTAGAATATGTTCCGAGAAGGGATGATGGCCGGTGGTTGAGACGAATGACAAAGTGGTAGCCAATGGAGGAAACATGCCTGAGGATGTCCACTGCAGATATGAAGCAATGAATGACGCATGTGTGCAGGAGCTGATGGATTGTTGCATCACAGAACTGTGACAGATGGTAATGACTCAGGTGGCTTCAACCAGCAGAGTATAGATCATGGCTGATGATGTCAATGTAGATTTTACACATTTTTCCTATGATTTACCTGCTTCATGCCTCTTGCAGAGCACTATTTTAAGAGTACATATTCAGGACCTCCCCCCCCCCCCTCCATTATGCAATATTCATACGCTCTAATTGATTTTAAAGTGCTTGCCGTGTACACAAGAAATTGAAGCCATTTACTCGAATACTGCAGAGGCTTCCCTGCAGCAGGACAAGGATTAATTTGTTGTAGAAGAGCAGGCGTCCCATGAGGCCCAACTTGGCCACCCAACCCTCGATGGTCCTTGTGTACCGGGCCCGTGCTCGCATGTGATCCAGACGCAACAGGGCAACCGTCCCCTTCACCTGCACACCATGTCACGTGTCATGCACGCAATACAATTTGCACGATACCATACAATTGTATAATTTCACGTGACAGTTATAGCCACATCAGTTTACCTTAACCTAGTAATTGTATTTTTCATTATTACTTCATTGTGTTTTTTCTCTAATATAATTATAGTACAAATTAAGATAAACGTATCAGTTATTCATCCACAGTTCCCTCCACATAATCATTCGAACTTTACAATATATAACGCTTATAACAAACATGCTGTCATTTAAACAATTAAATTAACGACAGAAGTTATGATGTCATATAACCATCGTGCAGTCAATTACTCTAGAACATTTTTGAAGCACTAATTTAATGGGTCATAACTATATTTTATAACTTCATTATTTAAAACTTTATTTCAGAAAATAATATGAGCACAGATAATCACTCTTTGACAATGTTGCAAAACATATCATATGACTATCACTGATCTTCCGTTATATGATATAGAGTGGTGTACTATAGTTTAACCATATCTCGTCAAACCCAGTTCAAACCTATCTGTCTTAACATCTGGCAACCCCCGGAGGAGCCACAGAATGAATAAGCTCTCGTATGTGGTGTAGCCCTTGTAAGCTGGCTTTTAAACCTGCATATGGCCATACAAGCGATTAGAGCTTATAAGGTCAATACAGTACCATGTATATAAATATACAATTATTACAAAAGTGTTGGTTGTAATAATCATACATTTTTCATTAACATCTCTGCCTTAATGGCACGATATGAAGCACTTTTGTATGCCTTCAAGAATTATGCATTCATGTCTGTATCAATGGGAATAACACCTATTTAAATGTTGTATTGAGGACATATTAATTACAAATGTAATCATTAATGATGAAATATGAATTATGTGATTATTTAATCATGGAATTGTTAGTGGATTTGAAATTGACTGCATTTTTTAAAATAAAATGCATGGAAATTAGACTGTTGGCAGAATATTTGCCTAGGAAACTAAATCCAATTACTCTGTGTATTGTTACATTTTTGGTGGATCTCAAATCCATCAAGATCTTCTTGCATTTTATTTATTATACAAAAATGTATAATACCAAATTTTTATTGCGAGTATTCATAATTCCTGGCTTTCTTTGGATTGAATACAATAATGGCCTTTCTGCTATGCCCCTTTTCAACACCATCACGAGAGCACTGACAGTTGCTTTCATTTGCCATTTTTAATGATGAAATAAAGAAAATATTAATAAAAATCACTAAGAATGCACAGAGGTTTAGCATCGGAGCGTGTTGGGAGGCAGACTGCCTGGGCGACATATTGTACGTTTGTGCGCAGAACCGGCGCCCCAGTCATGCTGTGTGGATCCGGTCGCTGAAAGGAATAACATGGGTGGCAATTGGCGACCTGCCTTAAGTACGCATCGACATAAGTAGAACCGACTTAAGTCGAGGACCGCCTGTACTTATGCTGATAATTGTTTACAACATATAATTATAATATACGGTAAATGCACATTCAACGCGTGTTCGCACAACGCGTTTTCGCTACAATGCGGTTCTTCCATTCGGGAATACGTTTTGCACAACGTGGAATGCGCACGTTGTTGATGCAGTTTCTCAGCAGTCCATGACAAACTACTTTCTTGAGCTGCGTGGCTGAGCAGTATGGACATTCTAAATATACGCACGGAACGATACAGTACGTGCTGTTACCCTTATCTCAGTTTCAGTTCTTTGTCCTGGCATGCGTGTGCGATATAGTTTTTGCTAAACGCGTTTTTCCCTTAACACATCACTTTTAAGGTACACATACTGCGTTAAATGAGTAATTACTGTACAGCCTTTGTCAATCCACTGCAGGATGAAGATATCCCCATGCCTGGTCAGTCATGGGGGATATTTGCCTAAATATAAGTTTGCTGGTCAGTGTCGGTTGGTAGAGGCAAAGGTCCAGTACCTGTTAGGGTATCACTTACTACTGACGTTAGCCATGGCCAGGAATCAAAGTCAGATAGGTTAAAAGCACATTGTGCTTCTACCACTGCGCCACACCCCCTCCATCTGTATCAATTCAATATTCACTACTCAATGCTAATTTAAACCAGTCACTTAACCTGATTTTTTTTATTTATCCAAAAAAATGCTACACATACTTCCAAATCCTTCGCGGATATGTTTCCATCTTTAGTCCCAGGTGATGCAGCTTCTGAGCAAAGATGTTTGGCATATTGCTCTTGCTCTGCTGTTATCGTGACCCCTCCGACGTGAAGCAACGTCTCAAAATTCTGCTGTAGCCACAAGGCTAGGTCATGCACGGCCGGCTGTGGCGGGAGGGCGAAGGCTTGCTGGCGGATGTTGTGCAGAAGAGTCCTGCACTGCTCCCTCGTCAGCACTGCCGGGCTCGCCGCTCCGTCCACATGCAACGACACCACGTCCAGGTGTTGTTGCGTTGGGTAGCCAGGCGGCAGGCGGATGAGGGTGCGCAGTGGGTACCGTACACCTCTTGACTCGCAGCAAATGTTGAGCGCCAATGTTATCCCATTTGTAACTAAAAAAAAACATATCCCTTGCAGGGTGAGTATTTTTGCACTCTGACAGGGACATCTTTTGAGAATTGCTTAATGAGCTATATAGCTGCATATATCATACATATACTGATGTTCTCGTGAATACTATTAATGGTTATTTTGTGTTCGAGCCCATTTTCTATGTTTGCAAAACCCATTAAATGTTTGAACATTAACATTCAAATGACATCACATGCAAATCACAGAGGCAAGCTGTCTGTCATACAGTGTGATTCTAGTAACGTGAAGCATCGTGTGTTGATAAGACACGGACATCGGAGCAGTTCAGATCACAATTTCACCATCCCGCACCGACCAGCGCAGTGAAGCATGGTCAAAGAAGCCCCGCGACCAAAAGGGCACGGGGATGCCTTCATCCAGGGGTGGCTTGACAGAGTCCTGTAATTACCTGTCACACACACAGGGTGAATACGGTGCACCCACCCCACGTCAGGTGACTCCAAAGCAATTGTCTGAAGCCTTTTCATATTGAGACATGTTTGCAAATCCTTACGGATAATGGTGTCAATCGTGAATGTGGGCTTCAGGTTTGAAGAGGAGTTAAGGATATGATCAATTGCTATACAAGGAACGCTGCAAGGAGAAGAGGTTTTCAAAAGGCAAGCTATGTTTGGATGCATTATTTTGCAAAAAGTTCACGAATGAGTGAAGTAACCACGACAATGTGTGCTTCTCCGTTGGTAACAGAGGCTGAAGCAGAAGAAGAATCCCAGGGTGAGACAGATAACCCCAATGCCACATGGCGCTGCACCACCGCCTCACACGGCGACGACCACAGCTTCTCATGAGTACAGTATTATTTTATCATAAAATATCCATTTTTACCCAAAAGATATGCTTGAAAATGTTTTCTACATTCCTAAGTGTGATTTTATTGTCTTGGGCCGAAATGTTTTCCGTAGGAACGCATCTCCAAATTAATGGGAAGAAGAGGGCGCGATATATGGAATTTCGCTTTTGTTCGTGACATGATTCCAGCTTTGTTTAAACTACGATCGTGTATTTAATGCGTATTAACTTCGCCTCGTTACATCGTTTACTGTTTAATGCTTTACAATACTCTTTGTAAAAATAGTTTTTAGTTTTGCCAGAAAAAAGGGGAAACCCCTATTCTTATATTTTGTTTAAAGGCAAAGGAAGTCCCATGACGCATGACCCCGTCCTTGTTAAATATCCCACTAGCGACATCTAGCGATCTCCGGAGGTTCCTTTGGTATTTTTTCGCTTTATAATACAGTACCGTACAGTATTTATATTCTACACGATGATGTTTTAAGAGTTATGTATTATACGGTATATAATTTTGTGTCGAACTTGGACCCATATCTTAAAAAAGGGGACTTTGCCTTTAACATTTGGCGGATCGCCAGCACTGATTCGAGGAAAGCTATTTCTGCTGAGAGTGTGAATATCGAAACCAGTCGTGAGTTCAGCTTGAATTGAATCAACGTTGTCCAAATGATTCACTCGCAGAGGGGCGTTTAAATGATTCGTGAGCATTCTGTGGAGACAGATGCATGGGCGGGTTGTCTTCTTGTCTGTCTGCGTGACTTGCGCTCGATGACCAGTTGCTGTAAACGAGCCACGAGAAGTTTAAATCACCCACGGCCACGTCCGCAGTCAAAACTGTGGAATCGGCGACGTTTCGGGCAGTGGCCCTTATTCATATCTTGTGCTCCAATGCCGTATACTTTACATGCTGTGTATATAAGCACACGGTGTTTAAATCACCTGAACGTTCTCGCACCTCCAGCTCGCCTCCTGCGCAGTAGATGGCCTCCAGCACGGCCACCTCGTCCCGAGCGGCGCTCATGGAGCAGGCCCGTTCCGGGGTTTCCGCCGCCGACCCCGCCTCGCCTGATTCCCCCTGCCGGCGAAGGGGCCCAACTCCCCGGGACGGGCTAGGCTCGCCCCGCCCTGGTATCCGAGTCGCCCTTATCCTCAAATACTTGTATTTGCTGATGTGTTCGTTTACAAGAACCCACTATATTCAACCATATCGATCCGAGTCGTGTCGTTTCGATTACAGCGCGTTACTTGACGTGGCAGACGTGTTGTGCGAGTTCAGGCTCCCGTCTGACGTTGCATACCGACTTGGCGCACCTCCCTCCACTCAACTCGCTCCCGTCGCCGCCGCCGCCGCAAACTTCTCCGCAGAACGATCTGCGCGGTCCTCTAATTGTGCACTTCTCGGGGGGGTATTTTACTTCTGGTCAACACTTATGACGTGCACAGAGGTGTTTCCCCACATCTCTCACTGTTCATTTATTACGGATTCATTCTTCAAATATATTTAGCTGGCTTCAATTACTAAGAAGTTTATGTAAAAATAAAAAAGCACTCGGAAAGTACCGACGAGGAGTGTGGTTTCTATTCCGCTATTCTAGTGTGGGAGACGCCGTTGTAGGTACTACCCTCTGGTAGCTGCTGCACAGGTGAGAAATGTTAACATAATTCGTGAAATGTCACAACATTAAACGTGTTACATTGAGACTTGTTGAAATATCATGGTCGAAGCTTCTTTAAATGTTATCGGTGTGCTGTAACGTGCTTTTAGAAACATTGTCCAAATCATGGTTGAGTTTACGGTTGTTTTTTCGTCACATACATTAACCTTTTATCGTACTACAATTTAACGTATTGCTGATGAAAGGGTTGTCCTGCTTTACGTTAAACCCAAAGTATATCCTGTATTACGTGGACTCTCTAATTTCTATTTGTAGCGAGGTTACCGAGGCAACAGGCGACTCCCCCGGGATCCGAGGCGGCACCGATGCACATCGTGCCCTGTGCCCGTGATGTGTCTGCTTTGTGGGTACGCAGTAATCCAGTGTCCACACACACACAGTGAGATTGGTACAACATAGAGATAACGATTTCATTTCAAAGCAACATACACTATATGTGTTAAATCTTGACTTAAAGCTTTCCTGACTGCAGGAATTCATATTTTGGGTCTTTCGGTAAAGTCACGTAGATAGGTTCAAAGTCCCAAAGAATATGAAAAACACCGAGGCACAGTGACTTTACCGAAAGACCCAAAGAATACGATGTGTTCCACCAATTTTAAACATTATATCCTGATACACATCCGCATGTTGAACACGATAGAGGATACCTTGATGTCAACCGACTAGGAATAATTCCAGCGAGGTGCCAGGCGAAGCCCTCTGTCTTGTACAATCATGTGGCAGGGTGGCGCAGTGGTAACAATACACAGCCGGCATCCCGTGTGGAATTAGTGTGTTCTCCTGTTCTTGCATAGGTTTCCTCAGGCTTCTGCCGGTATCCCCCACCCTACCATAAAAACATGCAATATCAATCTTTGTTCAAATTGGAAAAAAATGGATATGACCCACATATAGCTATCATCACTCCCTATTGGTAGACTAATGCACATCACCGACCTAGATACTGGACAGCTGCGAAAACTACTGGACGTCTGTAATAGCTTCTTAGCTCATCGGATTTCTCAAAGATAAAGTATTCTGATAAATATTCTGAGCTGTGACAACGCCTGAGCTCGGCGATGGGCACGTGCCTTGCCAGTGCCGCACAGGGGCAGCTGCCCAAGGGGGGTATCTATGCTGTGAGACAATTCGTAATTTGAGATTGCAATATTAATGTAAGCTAATTCATTCATGTACAGCACGAGAAGTAGATTGATACATTATACAGCAGACTATAAATGGATGACACTGACACATTTTTTTATTGCTTATTGGCTCTCGCAGTTGTGCAGAATAAATAATACAAATTACACATTCGTCAAAACTAACACGAAAAGTAATGTGTAAATGTAACCAGTACTTGTTAAATGGTGCATATTTTCGTGCTTCGGTATTATAATAACCTCTTTATTTTCTTTTCAACATATTTTTGACACTGCCCAAAAGGAAGATCGCAGCCAGGAAAACCCGATGCACAGTGGGCACGGGTCACATTGAGTACACAAATATGTTATAGGTGACATTTCAGACAAAGCCACTTAATATACTTCTGCAAATGCCTTCAATGTCATCCATTGTTTTCCTTTTCGGGCAGTGTTATTGATGAATGTGTTTAAGTTTTAGTTATTTGTGCTGTATATGTATCCATTGGCTACGTATGGTGCGTACATACAACGTATATACATTCATCACATTGTGTGACCTCGTGCGACCTGCAATTCCAGCCAAGATACATAACCAACAAAACGTCTCATCTCGCATTTGACAATCTCCTCACACACAGAAATTTACATCCAAGGGAATTCTATCCGGAGTGCAGACATTAACGCAGACATGACGTGTCACCATATAGCACATTTTGGCAAAATTGTAGAGAGTAGGTTTGTATTGTTATACAGTATTGGAAGGTAATATGATAGACTGTCAGACTTTAGTGATCCGTTTAAACGGGTCTGACTTGAAGTTGTTTGAGGTCGAAACCAAGATTTGTAATTGGTGTGGTGTGTACATTATAGCGACCAAATAATACAGATCACACATCCTGTCACCACATTTTATAGTTGAACGTTTTTATAGAATTTAGTTAATTTCATAAGAAACGAAGGCTTTCACTATTGAAGGGGTTGTCTATTACCCAGTTGCTACTAATACACCAATTTAAAACTGGTCTTCAGGAAACGTTTTAATTCTCATCAGGCCCAATGGTGTAAAGTGCAGTCCCCAATCTGTATACACTCTTTGCTCTGAACACTCTTTATGTATTGGGAAGGACTACTGTCCGAAATGTCGACTTAAATGCAGGGTGGCTCAAAAGTCAGGATACAGGGCTATTTGATTTATTTGAACACTGACATTAAAATATTGTTTTTTATTTATGTTATATTATATTTTTTGTCTCGTCCTGCATGAATTGAAACAACGTAATTGATGAATGTTCAAATATTACTCCATCTTAAATTCAATTCGAAACAGAATTAATGCGTGCATTAACGTTAATAGAAGTCAGTGTGAACATTTGTTAAAATAAATTAAATTACCCTATGTGATTTGTTAAAATAAATATCACCCTGTATATTTCATTTCAGGCAGTGTTATTGACTGTTTATTTTTTGTAAACGTTTAGCAGTTTGGTTTAACAAAGCGGAGCACTCAAACACGTTACAGAAACCAACGAAAATGTAACAAAATTATGATTTTCTATAAATAATATACATTCAGCATTGTGAACCCACTGTTGAAAGGAGCGCCCACGTGCCGATGACGGGTTTGTTTGACGAGTCACAGAAACGATGAATCACGTGGATTTAAAAAAATGCTCGAGAGGCGTTACAAACAATGGTATGTTCGTCATGTGCATGTTCGCTTAACACGTGACATACTTCGTAAGCAATTTCAAAAGAGAGACCAATGTGTGGGGAAAATTGTAAAGCCATTTGAAGTTACATCTCGTTGGAGCAACGGTTCTGTAAAAGCAGGTTGAACAAGACGGTTGATTAACTTTGTTCTCCAACATCGTCCACGTCGCAAGTTAAAGGGGTAATACTGCAAAGTGACGGATATTTAATCGCGTTCGCTTCATGTATCGATTGGATCGTCACTAAAATTAAAGTAATACTTAAACACAGTTTTTGTTTTACCAGGTAAGGCCCACTGAGCTCCTCTTCTAAATTATATTTATACTGGAGAAATCCGACGAGCTCTAATGCTTTTTCATAGATGGCCAGTCGGGGCTGGTCAGAACGTTACAATACACAGTACATATAGGAAAAGTAAACAGACCACTTAAAAATATATACAAATCTAAGCTACTTTTTATTTTACTAGGCAAAGCCAATTAAGATATTAGGTTTTTCATAAACGACTTGGCCACAAATAGCTCAAATAAGCAATTTATGTGGAAAATTATCGCAGCCAAATCATCTAAACGCGTTTCTAAATGTGGAGGGAAAAACTGGACCCGGAGAAGAAAAGCGACGTGAGCACGGGAAGAGCAGCAGCATCAGCAGCAGCATCAGCATCATCAGCAGCATGGTGTGAGGTCGGGGTAGAAACCACGACCTCCTGTATACCCGGCGAGGGAGTTAACGTCTCATAGCCACCGTGGTTGGTACGAGCAAAGCTGTTGAATATCGTCACCAACCACCACGTGGGCCAGCACTTTGATACCATAAAACTACGCGGAAATTACTAAACTGACCCATTAGTGGAAATTACGAATTTATAATTTATTTTCCAAGTGTGGAAAGCACGCTCGTGGTGAAGGGTGCTGTAGTAAATTGTACCACCACCACTACTGCTGCTGCTGCGTTCAACTTGACCATCGTGCGAAGCCAACCGAGTTGCGGGGGAAAGGTTGGCCAATGGTCGATGATAATCCACCATCATCCATCGTCAACCCACCATCATCCATGGTAATCCACCATCATCCATGGTAATCCACCATCATCCATGGTAATCCACTGCTCTATGGACTCGTAATCAATCCATCCAGCGCTTGCCACACGGGCTGCGTTCGTCGCTCCATCTCCACGGTGCTGGTAGAGGCACCTCGCGTGAGTTTACGTGACTCGCTTTGCCCCGACTGCAAATGGATTCTTCGCAGGCCGTGCGAACCCCACGCGGCCGTCTGCTCGAGAATTGCTTTCAATGTACGCGGCACTGCTTTCTGTATTCATCAGAGGGGCCTGCAATCGGAGGCTTGCCACGTTAGTCACTGCCGTACACACGACGCCCCCTTCGTCTTCCTCTTCTTGTTGTTCCTCCTCCTCCCGCTTCGTGACGCGCGATGTCTCCCGGCCTGGCTGTAAGTGCGGAGCGCCTCGCGATTGTAAGTGGCGTGAACAGTGGCGGTGGCGTGAACAGTGGCGGTGATGTGAACAGTGGCGGTGGGGTGGACAGTGGCGGTGGGGTGGGTTGTGTACGCGGGGCGAACGTAACTTAAGAAACGACTCCAGGCCCGTGTCGCTCTGTCCGCTCGTGTCGGCTGCTGTTGCGAGCGGCGACACCCGCCATTGACGTCGCACTCGTCGCTCTCGAGCCTCGTCTTGCCCTTTAATCAAACCGGTTGTTAAGTCTTCCCCCTCTCCGCCGTGTTGGTGGTTGTCCTGCAGTGTGAGAGGTAATGGATGCGGGTTGGTAATGTAGCTGTTACATTAAAAGTGCGAGTTTAATTTCGGTTCCTACTTTGAAATCGCCAGCGACAGCCGCGTGCGGCACCCCCCCCCCCCAGCTGAGGGCCCCCCAGCTGAGCCCCCCCCAGCGGAGGGCCCCCCCAGCTGAGGGCCCCCCCCCCAGCTGAGCCCCCCCCCCAGCTGAGCCCCCCCCGCACGCGGATCTCTTAATTCTCGTGCGGGTGGCTTTCTATTAAGATGTATAAAGTAACTTGGTATAAGACGGGGTAGAATACGTTCTAACTGCTCTAACTGGCGTGTAAGTAGTTGTACGACGCGTAACCTACATGGATAGTTTGCCTCTAACGCGGGACTGGATTGTAGTAATGTTATAAATAAACTTTACTTATTACATTAAAATACAGCGCTGTGGTTTAACAGGAATCTTGACGGGGGTTATCAATTGCTGTACGATTATAAAAGCTGCACTTCTAGATGTTGTTGTTGTCCTTCAAAGGCACCATCAACTAGGTACAGTGAGTGCTACTGTAACGTCAGATGTGACTCCATTTGACTTCATTTCAAAACAAACTACAAGGCCGCGGTTGAACACTCAATAATCTAAATAATTGATAACCTAAAGACAACTTTTATTACTCAACACTTAGACTGCGTTCGTGCCTGCGACACGAATTCTAAACTTCCTCAATGAACAACAAAATGCTTTGTGGAATGTAGTTAAGGTAAACTGAAGAAAGCATTTCATTATTGAACAGCGACTTTGTGAATGCAGTGAAGCCAACTTAAGGCGTCAACCACTTACGTCCAAGGGGCCGTCCATAAATGACGTCACGCACCTGGGGGGGGGGGGGTCAGACCAGAGGTCGCAATCGGGTACCCGATACCCGTACCCTACCCGATACCCGTACCCTACCCGATACCCGGCTACCCGTACCCGGCCGGGGTACCCATTTGCGACCCTGGTGCGGCCGGGTCCGGGTCAGACATGTGTGACGATGTGTGACGAGAGGGGGGGGGGGTGAGAAATGGGACGTCACATCAAAATGCGCAACTTTAAATAAATATAGACAACACGTTCTACTTAATTAAATATACTTTTTAATACATGTTTTCTCCTACAACATCAGAGTGCAGCGCCACATTAAATACGCACTACAATGACGATAGTTTAAAGCGATTTGAAGCATGTTTTATTTTGGGGGGGGGGGAGGCAGAGCTTTGTGACGTCATATTTGAGGGGGGGGTCTGACTTTGTGACGCCGTGTAACGAAGGGGGGGGGTCAAAAATCGCGTGACGTCATTTATGGACGGCCCCCAATTACAAAATAAACTAAACTTCCTCTTGTCCTCTTACCTTTAAAGTGCATACCCTGTGCATACTTATAACACGTTGCATACTTATAACACTTTGTCATTACCGTTTGAGGGCAAAGTTTACACCTTCACCTTGGTGCCTAAAGATGTCGACAGGAGGGAGTATCACACAAGCGAGGTTACTTGGGTAACCCCCAATGTGCTCTCCACGTGTATTGGGGTATACCACAGACAGGGTTTGGAACGGTGACGGCTCGTGACGTTTCCACTCGGAGTTGTGAGTGATCTCTGAAAGTTTGGTGTTCTATTCTTTGGGTCTTTCGGTAAAGTCACGTAGATAGGTTAAAAGAAAATAACAATAACTACGACGTTTCGATCTGATGACGACCGCTTTTGTTGCGATCGAAACGTCGTAGTTTTTTAAATTATTTTGTTATTTTCTTTGAACCTATCTACGTGACGTTACCGAAAGACCCAAAGAATATTAATTATTGCAGTCACGAAAGCTTTAAGTCAAGATTTATGGTGTTCTAATTAAGAAACACCTCGTCATCACATTACTCACCCCTGTTTCTGTCCAGGCATTGTTTGAGGTGGAAGAGTAAAACAGTCGGCAAGGGAACAGAAAAGTGCATTCTGTTTTGCACGTCCACATGGCCAGGCCTTTCTCGCATACCAGCTTGGGCTGAATGTCCCTACGTATGCTTTTCCCTGGTCGCCTGGGGGCTGGTTGATGTCGATTTTCGGTTGATCAGGGCCCAGTTGCTTGACATTCAACTTTTCCTGCATGGTCATCCTTTCAAATGGGATATTTAGGAATGACTGCACAGTATTCGTTGCTAATTCTTAGTTTCCTGCACCTGCTGCCATCGCCATTGCTGTTGTTTCCTCCTAGAGCGTGTAGGCCGTGGACCTGCTATATTTGCAGTGCAACCCAACGTTGTGACATCGTCATTACAGCCATGGGCGCATTTTCACCACCCTGGATGGTTCTCAAATGGCGTGGCTAAAATGTGTAGCTTCTCACAATGAACGAAGGCAAAACGCTCACTCGGACACCTTCACAGCTGCCCCGAGACCTACTCGAGACCTACCCGAGGCACAAATCAGACTTTGGTGTTGCAGCGGTTTCTAATATGAACAACTTAAAATGTTATCTTCATTAGCTAGTTCACGTTGAACGAATCACATTTGAAAACATTTAAACACAACAAAACTATAGAAAAGTATTTTTAGTTTCAAAACAGTTTCTCATCTTCAGGTGTTTGTTGGGGCGGCGCCCCAACAATCTATTACAATCAATTGCATATTTCCTACCCAAACCATTGAATATATTTACTGATCTCAGTTTTTTTTTCATTACTGTAATGCATTGGGGACACGGTTAAAAGAAGAAAAGTGCCTCTAGCTCCTCAGATAGGGCTGGCTAATTCATATGTTGTGTGGATCACCGTAACAGTGGTATACGCACCATGCGAAAGAAGTTCAACATAGGGCAGTCCTTGACTTACGAACATAATTCGTTCTTGAGACCCGTTTGCAAGTCAAACGGTTCGTAAATAGGAACAATAATGTACTGTATTTAGATGTCTATACGGTAAGTGCTATGAAATGTGTTACGGTTCAACAAAAAATGTAAGCATTGTTAAACTCATAAATAATAAATATTGTGCATTTGCATATAATAAATACTGTATAGTAAAACAGACAATAAAGTTCTAGATTTGAAGCTTTCGTGACTGCAAGGATTCATATTCTTAGGTTTTTTTCGGTAAAGTCACGTAGGTAAAACATTTAAATTAATCAAAGTAAAATAAAAATCACTTAAGAATAAGACAAAGTAACATAAATTGAAACAAAAATCTTCTTGGTTCTTTATTTAATAAAATATTATTATGTTTTATTTTTATTATTTTATTACTTCCCTTCTACGTGACTTTACCGAAAGAACCAAGAAGATGAATCCCTGCAGTCACGAAAGCTTTAAATCGAAATGAAACAAAAATCTTTATATTTTCACTTACCCGATAATAATAATAGTACAATTTGTAACGCGCGCAAATTTGCAGACGTAGTGGCCGCAACTCAGAGGTGCGGAGCCAAGCTCAGAGTCGCTCAAAAGCATGATTGTAGAGGTGAGTTTTTAAGTGTCTCTTGAAGGAGGCGATTGAGGTGATGCTGCGAATGTGCAGAGGGATATCGTTCCAGACTGTTGGGGCTGCCACCGAGAAGCGGCGCGTAGACATGACCACGATGCTGGCTTGCTTGTTGGAAGGGGCGTAATGAGTCACCACAATTGCACACACACACAGGGCACGCACACACAGATACACTTCAGTGGTGGTGAAAACAACAACATCCCCATATATCCTTAGCAGACTATCGGGGCAAGTGCTGTTAGCGAGCATTGCCGATGAAGGCGAGTATGGTACACGAGGGGGTGAGTGGGCAGCACCACACCCGGTCACTTTTGACTGTGCAGTGACACATCGCACCAGGTACATATTTGAGGCTGAGCCAACCTAGGGGGGGGTCCAGTACCCATTCACATAATCGTCACTGGTGTTGGTCATGAGCGGGAATCGAACTCGGGTGGTTGGATTCGAAGCGCAGTGCGCTAACCGCGACACAACGTCATTATGGTGTATGATACTGACATCAGTATGACCACAACATTGGAAGCAATGTGTGTCGAAAGGTTGTAATTGCACAGTTTATAAAAAAAGTTCCTTCATGTGACGTTTTTTCCTCAGACCAAATATAACTTAAAAATCTATTTGGTAATTACTGTAGTTTGACTTGGGTACAGGGCCATCCAGACCTTGTGGAACATTTTCCATTGCTGTAGACAAGTTTTTCATAAGCTAGAGACTTAACGACAAAACAAAATTTTTTAAGTGACTAAAACATATCTGTTTTAATTACTTTTATACAACTTGTTTTCCATTTTTAGGAGTTCTCAGAGTGAAGAAAGAAAGCATGTCATTTCCCATCGACGACCTTTCAAAACACCTTTATCGCCTTGGCCGGTTTGTAAATTGCCCATCAAACTTAGAGCCACGAATACGGGATCTGGCCAAAGCTGGATTTTTTTACACTGGCAAGGAAGACAAGGTCGAATGCTTCTCGTGCAAAGGAGTGATCGGTAATTGGAAGTCGGGCGACTCGGCCATTGCAAAGCATTTGCAGAGTTTTCCACATTGTACATTTGCTCGGTCGCTGGCACAAGCTACAGACACTCAGACCTCCAGTGGAGCATCTATACCAAGACATATTGTGGCGGCTACCAACAATGCATCCGAGATCACCCATCATCATTCTCTGCCACCTTCGATTGGCATGAACGAACCACCTATGCAAAACGCTCTCACTTCCTTGCCAAATGTGGAGGCAGGGGTACCATCGAATTCAGAGATGCATGTCGAAGCGAACAGACTGCTCTCATTCTCCACATGGCCAGAGTCATCTCCTGTTCGGCCTGCAGACTTGGCACGGGCTGGACTGTACTACGTGGGTCCCGGCGACCGGGTGGCCTGCTTCTATTGTTCCGGCGTAATGCGTGACTGGGAGGAGGGAGATGTCCCTGCCAAGGAGCATGAGCGACATTTCTCCACCTGTGCTTTCGCGATGGGCAGCAGCAACACCGGTAACATCCCACTCGCTCAGGCCCAGGTGGGTGTTTCTAAATGGTCTTGTGGATACTTCTCAATTATTCAATGTATTTTATGCCTATAACCATATTATCTGCGTTATAAGATGCAATATCTTTCCTGTACTTAAAAGCAATACGTTTGTGGCCTCTATTGCTGCCATGGCCACTTTAATCAAGTGTAACCAGATTTCAATACCTTTATTGGCACCGGGCACGGTCAAGTCCTTTATTTGCATTACCCAGGATGTTGTCTTTTACATTTATCTTTCAAAATAACCACAACGTTTGGAGGATGTCTTTGTGTTTATAGACACCCTATTGATTTCTTATAACTCTCTTCCCAACAGTGAATATTGTGAAAGCCATGCCTCATGTCTTACAGAGGAGAGTGTTCAACGACCTAATAAGTGTATTGAAATCATGTTTCTCTCTAATTTCTCCATACTATTTAGTGGAGTATTTATAATTGGATCACCCTGTACTTTGTTGATTCTAGATGACATTTCTTGACAAAAAGTACTGATCGTCAAGAAGAATGTTATATTTGATGAGTAATTGTGTTGTTTTTGGGGTGCTTTTCTAGCAGGCCTCATTTTTGCCGGACACTCAAAATAGTGCGTGTTCTGCATCTCCTATGGCAAGGACAACGAGGGCCAGAAATCCAGAAATGCATTCGGTGGTGGCGCGGCTTGCAACTTACCAGGCCTGGCCTTCCACTGCCAATGTAGCTGCACAGCCACTAGCAACCGCTGGCTTCTATTACACTGGTATGGCAAGATCATTCTCTGAGGTGTAAATGTATGGTCCTGTTTTTTTAAACCAGTTTGGTCTCATGGTTGGTCACTAAATGAACCATATTCAGTTATGTGATCTTTGTGAACAGTTTATATAAAGTATTTGCGATAAAAGGCTAAAAACGTAACCATAGCAAGGGTATGAAGTGAGGAAGTTTGACCAGTTTTACAAGGAAATTGCGTTGCAGAGTGAACATTGAGTTTCACCATTTTACAAGGAAATGTTTAAGGAACATACATTTTTCACAAGTTCTATAAGGTTAAAGAGTAGCAATACAGTATTTTTTCATACATTAAAATATTTCATAGTAACTGCAATAATGTATTGTGAATTTCTGTATATTCATGTAAATTCAGCTAAGTCAATTAAGACTTTGAATATAAATCAACAAAAAGTTCAAAATAATCCCAACCTTCTACTTGGTACTTAAATTTTTTTGATCCCAGTCCATTTTTAATAATTGTTTTAGATATACTACATACTCATAATGCTTCCTAGTTGTGTTCATCCAACAATCATTTACATTTCCTGTAGTTTATTGTTCATGGTTGTAATAATGACTTATCAGCAAATCCAAAATTTTGAATACTATTATCAATTATCTTCATCGTTTTATTTTTGCCAGTAACAGTGTTTAGAAAATATTTTCCAGTGCCACTGATTAGAAGAAATCTAGTAGCTGGGGTCACTTTGATTAGGGTTGAAATGAAATATTTTATTGTGTCTGCTTCTGCTTTGGATTTTTTTAAGTTGACCTTCATTAGTAGTTGGAATTTCTTTTAAAAAACCCATATTTCTACTCATAGCCTTAATTTGATTACTCAGGGCATACTTCCCTTGACAGTGGTGCCCCAGGAAGTATTTATAGCTATAACTTAAACGTATTAAAATATACTCTGCATATCATAGCATAAACATGATTTTTTGAGTAAATATGAATATAGAATATGAAAAAACACGTTTTACTTTATGTGTATCCCTCCAGCTGATGTGTGTCTGTGTTTCTCCCCACTATGGTACTTTTAGGATTTTCTGAGCATGAGTGTTGAATTTGCAATTAGTGTAAACAATAGCTACAGGTAGCCAAGCTAGAAATTGTGTTTAATGTTTGGTTAAACTGTATTCATTTTAACATTTTAATTCAGTTGGCTCTTAAATGTTTGTGTGTGTCTGAAATATGGCAAATGCAGTACAGGAATAACATGTATATTTTGGATAGGTCATGGAGACAACGTGAAGTGCTTCCACTGTGATGGTGGTTTACGAAACTGGGAACAAGGAGATAACCCTTGGTATGAACATGGCAAGTGGTTTCCCAGGTAATGCATTTGGCACCTGCTATGTGGTCAAATTAAATCCAGATGGACACTTCAAATACTCGAGCAAACACGATGGCTATCAAGAGCTGAAAAATGGCCTGCACTTTAATGTTGAATCGCAAATGACGACTGCTTTTCTGACATCTATGCTCTTTTCTCTTCAGATGTGCATTTCTTTTACAACAGAAGGGTGAAGCTTTCGTAAATGAAATAATGAGGCAACATCCACAATTGATAGACCTCACGGTAATGTACACTTGTTCTGTTGAGTATTATACAATTTACATAGATACATTAAAACCACAGTTCCTGTTTGTCTTAAATTTAGTAAAAATACATTTGTCTGAGCCAACTTTCGTTTCATGTACAGTGAGGGGAAAAAGTATTTGATCCCCTGCTGATTTTGTACGTTTGCCCACTGACAAAGAAATGATCAGTCTATAATTTTAATGGTAGATTTATTTGAACAGTGAGAGACAGAATAACAACAAAATAATCCAGAAAAACGCATGTCAAAATTTTTATAAATTGATTTGCATTTTAATGACTTAGTACTTGGTGGTAAAACCCTTGTTGGCAATCATAGAGGTCAGACGTTTCTTGCAGTTGGCCACCAGGTTTGCACACATCTCAGGAGGGATTTTGTATCACTCCTCTTTGCAGATCTTCTCAAAGTCATTAAGGTTTCGAGGCTGACGTTTGGCAACTCAAACCTTCAGCTCTCTCCACAGATTTTCTATGGGATTAAGGTCTGGAGACTGGCTAGGCCACTCCAGGACATTAATGTGCTTCTTCTTGAGCCACTCCTTTGTTGCCTTGGCCGTGTGTTTTGGGTCATTTTCATGCTAGAATACCCATCCACGACCAATTTTCAATGCCCTGGCTGAGGGAAGGAGGTTCTCACCCAAGATTTGACGATATATGGCCCCGTCCATCGTCCCTTTGATGCGGTGAAGTTGTCCTGTCCCCTTAGCAGAAAACACCCCCAAAGCATAATCTTTCCACCTCCATGTTTGACGGTGGGGATGGTGTTCTTGGGGTCATCGGCAGCATTCCTCCTCCTCCAAACACGGCGAGTTGAGTTGATGCCAAAGAGCTCCATTTTGGTCTCATCTGACCACAACACTTTCACCCAGTTGTCCTCTGAATCATTCAGATGTTCATTGGCAAACTTCAGACGAGCATGTATATGTGCTTTCTTGAGCAGGGGGGGACCTTGCAGGCGCTGCAGGATTTCAGTCCTTCACGGTGTAGTGTGTTACCAATTGTTTTCTTGGTGACTATGGTCCCAGCTGCCTTGAGATCATTGACAAGATCCTCCCGTGTAGTTCTGGGCTGATTCCTCACCGTTCTCATGATTATTGCAACTTCACGAGGTGAGATGTTGCATGGAGCCCCAGGCCGAGGGAGATTGACAGTTCTTTTGTGTTTCTTCCATTTGCGAATAATCGCACCAAGTGTTGTCACCTTCTCACCAAGCTGCTTGACGATGGTCTTGTAGCCCATTCCAGCCTTGTGTAGGTCTACAATCTTGTCCCTGACATCCTTGGAGAGCTCTTTGGTCTTGGCCATGGTGGAGAGTTTGGAATCTGATTGATTGATTGCTTCTGTGAACAGGTGTCTTTTATACAGGTAACAAGCTGAGATTAGGAGCACTCCCTTTAAGAGTGTGCTCCTAATCTCAGCTCGTTACGTGTATAAAAGACACCTGGGAGTCATAAATCTTTCTGATTGAGAGGGGGTCAAATACGTATTTCCCTCATTAAAATGCAAATCAATTTATAACATTTTTGACATGCATTTTTCTGGATTTTGTTGTTGTTATTCTGTCTCTCACTGTTCAAATAAACCTACCATTAAAATTCTAGACTGATCATTTCTTTGTCAATGGGCAAACGTACAAAATCAGCAGGGGATCAAACACTTTTTTCCCTCACTGTAGTTCATATAGATTTATGTTTGTACAGTATATTTTATTTTACGTGATTGGGTTTGCTCTGAATTCAGTTTGTTATTTTTAAGGTTTTGTGTGTGATTGTTTTGCGCTGATTTCAATTTATTGATTCTGATTTATATTTGCTTCGATGTTTCTAATTTTATGTTATTGCTTTTGTCATTTTTGTGACCTAGGTCAATGAGTTCTCAGCTGTTAAACAAAATAGACTAAAGTTAAACTAAGCATACAATAGAAATGTTGTAAATCATTCAGGGTAAGAATATAAAGTATTTGGTTTGGTTACCAATATGCTTAATTGTAAATAGAGCCGAGAATAACAGGCAAAGTTGTGATTTTTTTCTGGTATCATTTATATGTTTCATTTTGTGTAACACCAGTGATCCAAATGCTTTTCATTGACAAGATCCTGCTTTTTTAGGGTGAGGTATTTAGACAGAGATCACAGAATGCAGCTGCACAAAATGGGAATGGTAAGGTGATATTTTTGTACACAACAGCATTGTCATGTTTTTATATTAATTTGTGCCAAAATGTGTACATTTGTGCATCTCGTAAGGCTCTCCTTACGACACGTTTGAACCCTTTATCCAAAGTGTTTGTTGATTGTCTGGTTGTTTTTTTGATCCACTACAATTTACACCGATGGTTGAATGTTTTTGCAAATGTCGTCTTTGCGTACAGGCATCGGCAGCGCAGATGAGACCTTGATGAAGAGCGATGTGGTCAAGGGTGTGCTTGAGATGGGTTTCCTTGCACCGATGGTGGAATCGTTAGTGCGCACTCGCTACCTCACTAAGGGGGAGACGTACAGCTCTGTCGTTGAGCTCGTAACAGACGTGCTTAATGCAGAAGAAGAAGAAGGAGAATCACCGAAGAAATCCGCAAATTACGTTCAGGGTAAATACCCAGCAACAGAGATCGACCTTGCAATTTACATTGTCCGTAACTTTCTTGCTGATTAAATTGAGTAAAATACGTAGTCATTGTGTGGTACACATAATAGCAGGTGTCATGTTTCTGATGATCACATAGTTATGTCAAGGCATAATTGTATTATGGATAATATACCATACTGAAAAACAGTACTCAGCTCGCTTCATGTGAACATGGTTGTGATTACCTATGTTAATCATGCCATGTGGATATATCTTCAACAGAACAACAGAAGTCTGCTGCTGAGCAAAAGGAACTGAAAAGTGAAGAATGTAAATACTCCATGCCAGAAAATTATACAAACACATTTATGATGGTTATGTAATTTATCTAAATAATTTATATATCAACAATGTAGCCCTGTAATTGGAAATGTCCCCACATGATCGTTGGTGTTATTCCACATTATTTTACAGTTGCTGCTTGTTTCCATTAATATGTATGTAGGCTCTTCATGATCAACCATAGTTTTAGAAAAACTGAAAGTGTATGTGTGTGCTCTCCATGGTAGCGCTACCGCCGGAAGAGGAGCTCAAGCGGCTGCAGGAACAGCACACATGCAAGGTGTGCATGGACAAGGAAGTATCCGTTGTGTTTATACCGTGCGGCCATCTCGTGGTGTGTCGAGACTGCGCCTCCTCTCTGCGCAAGTGCCCCATCTGCCGTGCGGTCGTGAGAGGAACAGTTCGGACGTTTATGTCGTAGGCAGATGGCCAAGGGAAAAAATTACATTGACACTATCTTTATGGCGTTTATATAATCTGTATTAACATACCTAATCATTTATTAGATAGTTAATTAATTGTGTGTTTAACTTCTTATATAGAGACAAAAGACGGCCAATAGCAGAGTCGGTTTGGCAACAAACCTCAGTTACGATGTGTCAATAAAAACAAGAGTGTGAATTATAGTTTAAAGGAATAAATTGACTGCCTTAGAAATATTTCTGAATCTTGAGAGGCAGGTAAGGCACCTCAACGTGACATGTGCTGCTTTTAAAGAGCAACACTTTAATTATTCGCAGCACAAAGCAGGATGAGGTAGTCATGGTTAAGGGTATTAAATATTGAGTTCCAGACAAATGAACATTAAAGGTTTTTATTTATATGGGCAATATTGTTTACAGTGTACATTTGGGTCTTTTTTTCTCTCCATTTTAGTTTGCTAAATATAATTGCTCTTTCGGTGGAAGATGTGTTTTAAAGTTAATGTGACCAATGTTTTTTCCTATTATGTGCGTTTGTCACATTCCAACTGGTGACATGGCAACTGATGTTTCCCATCGCTACAGTTGACAAACTTTGCACAGCTACACTGCATTGATGATCTCCAAAAAGAGTGAAACACGTGGCCATTACTAGTTTTTGGAATAATTCTTTTCAGCAGCTTTGTAATTCAGTGGGATTCTTTACATTTTCATATAAGTTTTGTAATGCTTAGTTTGGAAGTCTTAAAAGTGGTCACAAGAATGTAAATTGCGTGTATTCTTAATACACTGCATTTCAATTGGATTGAGTATGTGGCTGAGGAAAGTGTGCCTGTCAATGGTATGAAAATGTGATAAATCTGAATTCAATATGCCTTGTTACAAAAGTGCGTATTTTTACAGAACCTTGATAAGTCGTTTAATAAAACACGTGTCTGTAGTTGCAATTTATTGGCCATAACATTTGCTTTATCCACTTTAAAGTAGCTTTACATCCATTAGTGGATTATATATGTTCAATGGTATCGTGACAAGATTTTTGTACAAAGCAATATCAGTTGTATAATTATCCTGTTGTCATTGCTTTACTGTACCTATGATAATTGGTACTTTGCAACTGAAAAGACTAATATAGTTACATAATTAAAACTGTATTTAGGCTCATTCTTGTAATGAATGTACAATGGTCCATGGAATTATAAGTGTGGTAGATTAACATCTATAAACATTCAGCTAAAATGTACACGTCACGTTTCACACAAAAAAAACTGGTTAATATTGAAAATGTGTAAATATCATTGCATCTGAAATGGATGCTAAATGTTATATATATCACTACAGGAACACCTATGCATGTACTGTGTAGTAACCGTTATTGATGGGTGAAAGAGCTTACATTGCTATAATTGTTGCTTAAGTTCAATGCACTTACCACTAGCCAGTTAACCATTTTTCTCAATAATCCACATCTGATACTGAGGCACATGGTTGCCACAATATGGAATCCTGAGGCTTTCATAAGGAAGCTCAGGAGAACTCAATCGTGGCTGCCAGGCGTCTTCAGTTGGCCCTGCTTCATCCTGTCTTGGACAATCTCAGATTGATTTCTTGGGATCTCAAGACGAATTCGTGGAGGGCCGAGCAGGGTCTTTGTGGAACAGGTCAATTCTTCCTCAGATTTTTGTTCAAGTTGGTTCTATTTCAATAAAGAGCTATTGCCGATTAAATGTAAAAATTATTTCTGGAGTAATTGATGGCATAATTGTAAAAGTGCATTGATTTGAAGACTTGAAGTGCAGTTGAATGATTTGGGTAATCTTTATTTGAACTGGAATGTGTGTGAACGTCTCGCACAATGTCGTCAACCGTTCTAATCAAATGAACATAAAGCAAAAATATACAATTGAGAATTAAAATTACAAAGCTATGGAACACTTGTTGCAATGTGAAAACATTGTATTGTATCTTGACTTTCGTGACTGCAGGAATTCATATTCTTTGGGTCTTTCGGTAAAGTCACAAAGAAAATAACAAAACAAAAAACTGTTTCGATCGCAACACAAGCGGTTCCTGATGACGACCGCTTGTGTTGCGATCAAAACGTCGTAGTTTATTTTCTTTGAACCTGTCTACGTGACTTTACAGAAAGACCCAAAGCATATTGTATTGTATGCTATGGAAAGTTGACAACCCTGCTGAGAATGGTGGGAATGTACAATGATAGTGTTTTTAGATGACAGTGTCATGCATTAGTCATTAATTCACTGGTGGAAGAGGGTTGATCCACACCTCGTCATGGTGGTTGTTTTGCTATACCAGCGTGGTCAGTGTGGGTCGATGCAAAAATTGCCCCAGACCAATGCAGACGTCACTAATATTAGCCAGGGCTCATCTGTGTATTGGACATGTGAAAAAGAGCTTAATAGCTCATCGGATTCCTCCAGTATATTCTGATTGCCAGGCTCATTGCGCAATGCACCGTCTGGACCAACTCTCTAACTAACCCAACGGCAAAACCCAGTTTTGAATAGCTGCATTTAATATTGAATGCACAAGTTGATCATATACAATTATGTTAACATTGTTTTGCCTAATGCATTAAACATACGTTGAAAACATCCTGAATGAGTTGTCTTAATTTTGCACTGGTACATTTTTAAAATTATAGTTAACGCCTATGGAAGACCAACATTTAAGTTATAACCCATGTGTTTACAATGGAGACAAATGGATTACAGTACTTTGCTCACAATTGAATCATACACGCGAGAACTGACTTGTAATGGATTCTCTGAACTGCTTCCACGAGGGATGCTATATTCATAGAAAAAATATATTTTAGAATCAAAGTGACCATGAATTGATGGGCTTAATCATTACACATCTACTTAACACAAGTCCTTACATTTGCTGCAGCACTTTTATAGTCATAGTTACACGCAATACCGGGTTCCTTCCACTATTTCACTAGAACTCTACATTACAAAGTAACTTCGAGTGAAGCCTTGTACTTACAATTCATGGGCAACCCAGACATCTGTTCCGGAACATTTTATGCCGCATTAACATCAATGACGTATAATAACTCCTGATTGGCGGATTAAAAACAATTACAACAAATGGGGCACAAACGTAAAAGGTTATAAAGAATTACAAAAAATGAGGCACAAACGTAAAAGGTTATAAAGATTTCCTATGTTTATTTACAGTCACAATTGTACACACAATGACGCAACGTACAACTATGAAAGAAAATAATATGCGATTTAATGGAGAATTGCATTCCAATAAAATGTGTCCACATACATTATCCCTAACCAGGCTTAACCAGCCAAAGTAAATATGCTGTGTTTAGCTTTAAGCAAGATCTGTACATGGAGTTGTTTTTCGGACCTTGTGAAAGAATTTAGTTCACTTAATGTCTTGGTAGTTTCATGTCATGGCAGAAATGTTCTTCTATGCAAGGCTGCAAAAAGAGAAACATCATCATTAACGTCACAGTAAAGGTTATACTGAAGCTATCTATAACATGCACAAGCATAAAAGTTTTCCAAAGATTTTTGTAAAGGATCATTTTAGGAGTATATCAAAAAGTTGGATAAAGGCATGAATGTGGAAAAAGAACAGTGGCCAATGAAGCTCTTGTGAAAGCAAAAGTGGAAATGGGCAGGCCACATACTGAGTTGACAAGAGATGGACACAATTATTAAGTGGAGAGAGAAGGCAACCAGAGGAAGACAGCAGAAGAGATGTCAAGATGAAATTGAGGCCACTGCCGGGCAATAACTGAGAAATGGAATTCATTGGGAGAGGCTTTTACCAAGCAGTGGAAAACTACAAGCTAACTTCACGTACCTGTCAATGAGTGAATCTCTCATTGTGGTGGCGATGGCGCTGGGCTGTGCCTCATTCAGCTTAAAGATGCTCTCGATAACCGACAGCTCTGTGCTTGTTGTGTCCAGCCCGCAGAATGCACACCAGTCGTTCACCACCATTCCACCCGCAATTACTTCACTGCCACGATTAACCGTTCCTGCCTGAAAGACACACATGACTTGCCTTTCGACGGAACAAAACATTTATTCCACCCTATATAACATCCATTATTTAAACCAGGCCAGAGCAATTTAAGATTTTTTTAAGGGAGACTTGGGGACACAGTAAACGAGAAATTGGCCAAAACCTTGCATTTCGTATCAATACGTACATTAAAATAGAAACATTAAACAACTTAATGATAAACAATAACATAACAAAAAAATACAGCATACATTTGTGAGAGAGGATTTCATCAGGAGTGGTCTGATCATGGCTGATGATGACATTGCGAGGAAACCCACCACTAGGGGCACTTGCAGGAGTGAGGAAAGTTCATCCTGGTCCTCGATGGTGGTGCGCGGATGTACCAGGCCACCCTGATTGCTGAAGGTGCAGTAGCTGCCCACGAGCACCTGCTCTGCCACTGTTTGCCGGAAGACCTCCACCTTGAGGACGTCTGCCAGAATATCTTCTGTTTCCTGCAATGAACAAGTGGACAGTCACAACAGGAAGTCTTTTAGACGATATCTTATTTATGGAACATCTGCACTGCCTTTGTGCTATATACCAATTCCAAATCCCTAAGTGGTCAGTAAAGGGTGGAAGATTCAATCGAGGTGGTGTTGGACAAATGAGAGGGTGTGAAGGGGAGAATCTGTACTGCAAGCATGCAAGCGTGAAATGGGCTGAAAGTATTAAACTTAACGAAGGATGTCCGAGCCTGCAAACTCGTTTTAAGTTAAGCCAAGCCAAAGAGTGTGTTGTATACACAGAACATCCATTTTCCAGGTCATTCTTGAAAAAGAATATCCATCAGTTGTATATATATATTACAAGCACATGATTACATATGAATAAATAATATAAGTTTGATGGAAAAAATACGACCTTTTAAGATATACGAACTGCTAGCATATCCAGGTAAGTTTTTTGACCACAATTGTGCAGCGTTATGCCCTTGGATTATAATCAAGGGACACGAACACACCCTGTCCAAGTCGGGATGCACGAGGGCGACGTAGTCATTGCACGCTACAACATTTCCAAGTGCCGAAAGGCGTTCTTCTATGCGCTGGATCATCATGCCGTCGGGCAGCGAGTTCCGCAGGTGCTGAAGCTCCTGGTCTGTCGTGTTGTTGGGCACCAAAAGTCCATGCCTGTTGCCTGTAAAGAACAATTAATGGTGGGGAACCATATAAAGTGAATTACAAACAGTATTCATATTTACTCGATGTTGGCTTTAGAAATGTCATTCCTCATTTAGTTTCGGTGTAGATCCGTATACATTTTCCAGAATTGGTAATAAAGTACAGTAATGAGTTTTGGTAACTGACGCAAATCTGACCCTTACCTACACACATGCGTCCAATTATCCTGCAGCCGGCGATGGAGGCATGGACGACAGGGATGGTCTCTGAAAGCTCACCCTCGAACACACTGCAAAATACAGATGGCATTGAAAACTTGTTTGCACCTTTTAATCCAGACATCTATTTCCTTAAATTAAAGTACCAAATATACCGTCAACTTATGGTGCTAGTATGTGGATGTGTCAGAGCAATGTAAATTCTTACTGCAGTCTATATTGATGGCTACACAAGCTGTTGAGATTATCAGATGCCTATACTCTAACTGTACGTTGGTTGTATATTCTGGCAATAAAATGTGTTACTCAACTACTTTGGCTTTACTTCCAGTACGTTTAAATCGTACTACGGTTGTGGAAGCACGCGGAAATAAAATACTGAAGATCACAATTTCACTTGTAGGTTTTCATTCTGGACAAAAAAGGAAATACAAGCTCACCTCAAAACATATCCAATGTTCAGTTAAGTTAAAATCAATAGCCAATATGTCAAGATGACAATTTAAACTACACTGACATTTATTCGTCATCCCCTACTGGCCGAGTTTAATATATTGTACTGTACCGTGTTCGCGTCATGATCTTTGATCTAAACCTACGGAATAACCCTCGAGCAACTCACCTCGTGTCACGGCCAGCGACGCCTATGAACACAACACCAACGTGGGTAAACAACATACCATCACTAGGTACATTACTACAGGTCGCCGTGTGACTCACTGAAGTTGCACAACTTGCTGGGAGCATTTCATTGGTGGTCAAAACGTCTCAAACACCGAATGCCATTTAGCATAAATCGCTGATTATTCCAACTCAAATTTGGTTTACCGCTTTCCCCCAAACCAGTGATCCCTTTCCCCAGACAATTACAGTATTCGTATTTCCATAAACCTGATCATCAGTCCCCAGACTCCATACCTTGGACCATCCTCAGTTGCAAAATCCCCATCACCGGACCTGAGACCCCGAGCACCTCGTCCCCAGTTCCACCCCTCCCCCCTCACCGGACCACGAACCTCTATACCCTCTCCCCAGGACCCTATTCCCGGAGCTCGGACCCTCAGACTCTCTTCAAACCACTACCACAGACTAAAGAGCACCATCATGAACCCCCCACACCCCCGATCTGAAACCAATACACCCAGACCCCCTAGACCCAGATTCTGTTCCCATAATACCAGAATATAAACCAGATCATCAAACCCCGGTTTGAAGACCCTAGATCCCCGATCGCTGGACCCCCACATCCCCTTTCCCAGCTCCCAAACCACCACGCCCGATCCCAACTCGCGGTTTGCGAAGCCGCCTCCACGCCGCGGCCTGCTCGCAAGCGCCTCGCCTGAACCGCCACGCCGCGAGGGCCGCTGTGCCACGGACCTGTAGAAGTTCTCGGATCCGCCGATGCCAACGAGGCAGTAGGTGTTCGTGAGCTTCGAGAAGACCCCGATCTCGTTGTTGTTTTCGAAAGACGTGCGGACCGCCATCGCGAGAAAGGGAGGCGAAGAGATCGGAGGTAACGCAGAGAACGTGGGACCAAAGTGCGCTTCGTCTAAAGAAAAAAACACGTGTGACGTCCCAACCGGCGTGATTACGTCACAACCGGCGTGATGACGTCGCTGTCAGATAACGCTGTGATGACGCCACGAACGAACCGATAGCGTGACGTCAGTCGAGGGGTCTATAGTTGAATGGTGACGTCATGTACGCGCCCATCATAAGACGTCGTTCTCACAGCGCGGTGTTGAACAAGTTGTGACGACACGCACGTGAAGACTACATGACGTCATGCTCCTCACGGTGATCTGTCGGTGATTTAAATGAATTCTAATCCATAATAGCGGTTTTTTTAGAGTTAGATCGCGTAAATATATAAATGTGTCGTTTAAACCCATCACCACCCGACACAGCCAACTAGTAAGGGTTGTCACGTATTTTAATACGCACAATGGGCAGCAAGAACGAGATCAAAGGGCGCAGAAGCGTGGTCACCACGTCTACGCCGCCATAGGGAACGAACAGATGGACTTCACAAATCTGGCTGTCGCCTGATGAAGCTGGTTGTAATTACTGGCGAAACGTCGTACTCAGATTGTAAATGTTGTGGCTTGGCTCTCCAACACACACCGGTGTGCTGTACTAGTACACTACACTATACACTACACTATTATACACTACACAACTATACACTACACTATACACTACACAACTATACACTACACTACTATACACTCCACTATACACTACTATACACTACACTACTATACACTACACTATACACTACTATACACACCACTATACACTACTATACACTACTATACACTACACACTACTGCTGTACTAGTATAATACACTATACACTACACTATACACTACACTATACACTACACAACTATACACTACACTATTATACACTACACAACTATACACTACACTATACACTACACAACTATACACTCCACTATACACTACTATACACTACACTACTATACACTACACTATACACTACTATACACACCACTATACACTATTATACACTACTATACACTACACACTACTGCTGTACTAGTATTATACACTACACTATACACTACACTATACACTACACGACACACTAGTGCTGTACTAGTGACGAATTAGCACGTTCTGTTTACGTCACAACCCTTAATAGTTGGCTGTGTCGGGTGGTGGCGGGTTTAACAACACATTTATATTTACACGATCTCACCAACCCCCCCCCCCCCCCCCCCTGTATTATGGATCATTCTAAGCCACTCTTCCGCTCGCGAAAGGATTGTTCTAATCAGAATCAGAATATTTCTGGAGAAATCCGATGAGTTATGAAGCTATTTTTGACAAGTCTCCAGTTGGGGTGGGTCAGAAAGTTACAAAAACTAAAATACCAAAAAGCTACAGGAGTGAAAATCACTGAAAATAAATGAATTTAAACTAAACTATTTAGATTTTACCATTTTTCTGAAGCGACCTGGCCACAAATGATAATTCAACGAAGTAGCTTATCATGCGGAAATGTTTCGCAGCCAAATACCCGAAACTCACGTTTGTAAATGTGGAGGGGAAAACCGGAGGACCCGGAGGAACATGTCTAGAGGAGTGGATTATTGACGGAGTATGCAAATTGTATGTAAAGGTTACCGTCAAGTTAATAGAACGACCGAGACAGAACATCCGCGATTCCGGTTGGTGGTGGCGCACGCGTGGAGTAACCCAGCACAGGTCGGGGGGTCACACGCGCGCACGTGTTGCGAGACTCCCTTTGAGTGCGCGTCGAGAAGATGCCAGGAGATGGCGCTACGGTAACATGTGAACTCCCACCTGCTCCGTCTCGACGGGACCGCGTGCCTGTCCATCACACGCGGCGATTTTGTTCGTGTGCTCCGGTGTCCTCCCGGGTGTAGACATTCGAAAATTGGCCGATAACACCTTCATATAGAGGACCGCAGAGCTTGGGGAATTGTTGGCTCCGGTTCACTGCATGGCTGCCTTTTCATGTGGTTGGTTCTTTATCGCGCCTCTGAGCTATTCTCTTTGAGAGTGGGCGAATACTGTGTTCGTTACAAGAATACATGATTGTTATTGTATACAAGACGAATGAAACAGTACAACCAATATTTTCCAGCAGCATTTTTGCTGTATTTAAGCCAGGGGTCGCCAACAAAAATATCAAGAATAGGCATTGTTTTGAAGTCGATAAAAAAATCATCGACTTCAAGAGCCGCGATGCACGCGAATACGAGACGGTCTTTAAAATTACGTCACGAAGCAGTCATTAAAAAGCCGCATGTCGCCTCCAGAGACGCGGATTGACGATCCCTGATTTAAGCTGACAAGCCTGGACTTGTTTCCACCTCTTGATTCTCATCAGAAAAGTTTGCCCCAACGCCGTTGAACAAAGTTTCCTATGTGATAGGTACAATCCACATCCATTGCGTCGTTCAGTGCACAATTTTAAGGAAACGTATATTTTTTCTATTTTTAATTGGAGTTAATAAAATAGTAGTATTTGCTTCCTCACCAGCCGATTGTCATTTGTAATAAGGCAATTATCATTAAAAATGCATCACACGGTCATGTCACCACGCAACTCGGTGATACCAGTGTGCAAGTGGTGTGGCGGGGGAGAGGTTGAATCTAATTAGAACGGGTTTTATGTTTCAAAGCACAACGCCACGTGAGTCATCGTGGAAGGAAGGAGTCATTCGTGCACGTGCAATTCATTCAAGACATTGGCGGTGGATTAAAGTGCCGCCTCAGCATCCTGACTTAATCTGGCTGATGGGAAGCGACGTGCATCAGCCAATTGTGGGATGACATAGGAAGGGGGCGGGATGCTACGTGCGGTTTGGCAGAGGGTTCCTGAGAGACAAAGACAACATTTTCTGAATGGCAGCAACATTTTATGATTAAGCCAAGGTGACGAGGCGTAGTGGCCCGTTCATGATCAATAAAGTGTCTGGGTCTGAAGTTGAATGTTGCGATATTTGTGATAAAATGTGGTTTCCCCAGTTTTATTGCAACCAATCCAAATTGCCATTATCACACAAACTCAATAGACGGTGTGCATTGAGAATCGATCAAATACTCCCATACTGTACAATATACACATTTCACTGATCACTCTGGTACAGCTGTTTCACGAGTGGCGTTATTAAAGAGAATTGACGAGGAGCGAGAATGACCTTCTATCCAAGATCTCCGAACGTATTAAAGACTTCAGAATCCTCATCAAGAGTCTGCTATATAATACTTTGATATCAAACGTAAGTTCATACAAGCTGTTTGAATCATATTCTCTGGGAACACCGCCATTTAAAATTGCCATATTCCTGAAAAGATAAATTGCAGTGGTATAATTCCAAAACCATCTGGTTGCATAGTTCCTAAAACTTGAAGTATTCATCCTGTTAATAATTGGGTCATTGAAGGACAACAACAGACATTGTAGATTGAGACAAAAACAGAGCAGAGCATGGCTTCATGCTGCCAGGCATATTCCATAATTTTGTCAGTCTGCATATCAGTCTAGACCTGAAACCATAAACATGAACTTTAATAATGAAAGCCTGCATTGTGCTCCACACACGTATGTGGGTGCAGACTGGCTCACGATTAATGGATTGGACAGCATGCATTAACTGATTAACACAGATTTGGTTATTGTCAGAGTTTCTTTTCAAGCATTAGTCATGTCTGTCTTATAATTTACAACTTGCATGGAATGTGGCGGTCGTTCCATATAGTAAAATATATTAGAAATATGTAATGCATTTAAGTTTAACATACAACCAACTATTGTGAAAAGTGTACTCTATATGCAGATCCATGGAAATAAACTAGTGCTTTATATAATATATACATGAATACAATACGTCACAGAGACTTAAATGCTACACCCACACACAGTACAGGAAAGAAAAGCAGGTGTGTGATGTAATTTTACAAAACCATTTATTCAAAATGCATAACACAGACGTTTAGGCTTAAACAGAGGAAGAGTCGGAAGCACAGACAGCTTTGAGAAGGATGGCACATGTGAAATTTACAGAGAAGGAATGCCCTCGCAAGAGCGATTGATGGCATGTTGGAGAAAAGGCAGTGCTTACTCGGAGAAAGTCGTAGCGATAACTAGAAGTAAGACGAGGAAACATTTTGATGAATCAAAACAATACAATACACAGATAAATGCAACCACATATCAAACTACTGTGCACAACATTGACACATGGACATTACAGGAATAGGAGGCATACTTTTTTATGATGAGGCTTTGAAGCTGATATGCAGACGAACGGTGACATAGAGAATTTGTACGGTAAGTGTACAGTGGTTCCTTTTGGGTTCAAGGTGAGGATCCATTCATGCAACAACATTGTGCATCACCTGACATTTTAAGATTTGGCATGTGGACATAATATTTAGAACAGATATAATAACCGAGGTGCAACAGTCAATAAATGAATGAAGTATGCAATCGACCTTGAAAAAAACCAAGTTGAGTGGGCGAGGGTACGAGGCACTCTGCCAGAGGGAGCAGCCTCTCTAACAGTGCCTTGTTTTTACTAAATATATTTAAATGTAAGAAGCAACAAAGCAGTGCTTTTAAAATGTTAAATGAGAGCATCGGATGCATGTGCGTAAGAATGACCTCTTTGCCCAAGGCAGTGAATAAAACAAGGGAGTCATCTGAGCCAGGTTTTATAATTACATACTGTGCAGTCAGACATGGATAGTGCCAGCTAGTGGCTCAAATCATTGGCGGCTCAGTGCCGAGGCAGCAGAAACCAGGGGCAGGCGGGGGGGGGTAAGATGTCTCAATTGGTCCTGTTTCCACCTCTTCAACAACGCACATTGATCAGCAGAGTGAAATATGGTCAAACAACCCCTCTTCCACTTAGTGAACTTGTACAATCATGATTATTGTTTTTGTAAATGTCATATACTGTATACGTTACGTATAACCAATTAGAAAAACAATAGGACATATTGGTCGGAGGGATTAAACTGGAAAACAGAGCAATTAAAGCCAGACTGGGATCAACATTATGAAATGAGGCAGGTGTGAG